ATGAATCAACGGACCCTCGAGAAGGAATATTTGATTGACGATTGTTAATTTATAAGTCTTACTCCATGACTCATTTATTAATCATCATTGATTGGCTCCTCGACACAATTTCGGTGAAGGTTACTCGGCTGGTTTTTAAATGCGGTTTCCTCGTTCCGGCGAGCACGCGTCGCCTGTATGTCTTTCGGTGTCGAAGACCGATTGGTCTCGCGTCGGCACACGCACTCGGCGAGAGAGGGAATAAGGAGAAGAAGCCGAAGCCGGTGGAGGAAGGGAATCCAATATAACTGCACACACGTTTATAGGGTCGATGGGAATATATTGGAGCGGATATTGAAATACTTGTTGGTAGTTTGAGTCGAAGGCGAGAGATGCCTTTCTCGATGCCATCTTGATTGCGCAATCGAGGCATCGGTCCACGAGTACAGAATTTAACGATAAAGATCGTACGGATTATAGAATCCTAGACGAGGAACAGTGCCATCCCCCGATCCTCCCTGACCTCCTCCCGGGTCAGGTTTGCCTTTATCAGCTCTCTCAGCCCCTACCTGTTTACCGCATCCTTCCATTAAATGAGACCGATATTATCTCGCGGTTACAAACCTCGACTCTCGGTATTAGACATCTACGCTCTGGTCGTACGCTAACAATGTGAAAAATAAACCTGAAAACCTGAACGTATTCACACCGAAAATGAGTGAAGATTGCGTTGGAAATTTGAATATTGATTGATCCGCGCGAAGGATGTTCGAATCATTTGTTTATCCGATGAAAGCGAAGCTCTTTCTTTGAATATAACTGTGTACCGTGAAATACGGTTCGAGTATAAAAGATGAAATATTCCCTGCGGAGAGGGTCGGTGTGCGAAGGGTGTGAATGCTTTCAATATAGAGAGTAATTGTCGGCGCGGATACTTTTTGTTTCGTCACTTATTTACGAATTAGCGAGATGAAGAAGGTGCCTCCTCCTTCATGGATACAAAAATGTTATACAAGGAATACGCTATTTCATCGGAAAGAGTCTCGTTTATTGAGAACGGAAATTTCTTTTCATCGTAAATTGAATGGAAGATTCCCGTGCAATTCAATTACGCGCGCCGGATCAATGGGCAGCTCTCTGAGTGAAATTTTAATTGGAAAAGAGCAAGACACGGGAAAGATGCAACAGGCCCCTGCGAATATTTCCTAATCTCTGCAACACTTCTCCGTTTCCAATAGAAAAAATTGCCCAGTTTAAAGATTGCTCATTTCTTTGTCGTACGAATGTTGGATGATTAAGCATTTACCACCTAGTTATCTCTAGTTTTAAGAAACGTACAATCAAATTGGTCACTACGGTCAAAATCAACCCTGAGTCACAGGACTAGGAGTGACTTTTCCCTTCCTATAATTAAAATAATATACATACCCGCCGACTTCCAAAGCGGAGAGATTTAGACTGAACTCCATACGAACCACATTCGCCTTGAATTCCTCTATGTTGAACAATACTTTGGAAATAGAGCGTTACACTCAACCGACTTCCTTATGGATTCTATTAACTATTTATTAACGAACTAAAAGAAATATCAATTTCTATCTGATTTTATCAGAATTTTATTTTGCGTAAAAATCCGCGACCTGATTATGAAGGATATCCGAGGAAGGAAGCTCGAGTATCCTCAAGGATTAAAAGATCCTGAGAGGCTTGCTAAGAAAATATAAACGGATGTTCTCTTACAGTTTCCGAATGAATTTCCATCGGGATTCTACATTACAAAAACGGGAATAGGGATTAAGGGGGAAGATAGAATTCTCGAGCGCGAACGATTCTGTCGAACGGAAATGCAATTCGCAGCGACGCCGGCGCGGCGGTCTCAGCTCGAGTCGACAGATAGATAGAGTCAAGATTCAATTAGCTCTAGCTGTCAACTGCATGATACTCGTCGATTCAATACACCTTTCCCATTCGTGTGCGCCCGCACACAGTTCCTCTTCCCTGTGTAAGCGAGATTGCGTGAAAACGCGCACGCTAGTTTCGCGTTTTCCGCTTTCGTTTCATTCTTCGCTTCGCAACGTTTCATGAGCCCGGCGCCGTGTCCGCGAGCATGTAAATAGGTACGTTCTCGGTCGCACGAACCGAAAATTAGCTCCGGCAGACGATTCGCGAATTTTCGAAACGATTTCACGGTTGCGGAGGGCAGGGAGTGCATAAATTTTCGCTGAATAATGAGCTGGACCAACGCGATCATCCAAACAGCTTCAGCTGACGATGTCATACACGAAAAAACACCGTTGCTGATTAATTAATATAATACCTGTTGAATTCATAAAAAACAAACGCAAGTATCTATTCTAATCTTTCGCTCAGAACGTCGCTCGATTTCTTTTGTTGAAACCAAATAAACAAGCAGTGCATGCAAGCGTATTACGTACCCCAGACTTCACCGTTGCGTCGGAACTCCATCCACGAGCCAGTCCATATCCTCGTCAATAATTTGTAATTCAGTTCAAGCACCACGAGTCCACATGAGATACACATTCACACATAATAATATCTATAAGACGAGAACAACAGAATACATGTATACAGGCACGCGCGCGCGATTGATATAACGTTTTCGAACGCGGATTTAATTGATCGTTTTTGGCAACCGGATACGAGAAAAAACATCCGCGTGGAATTCTGTGGCGAGCGATACGCGTGTAGGTGATGTAGGTATCACTTATCCGTGAGCACAGGGCGATACCAGCCATTTTCAATTTATTTCAAGTGCCTTTTCGTGGCGGAGAAAAGAAGGGTGCCACGACTACGGGCAGAGAGATACCTATACAAACGACCTTCGGTTCCCGACGACCACTTCCACGAGCAACCGCAACCAATATGCTGTTTCGCGAACCCGATATTAAGGTATTAAAGTTATCTCGATTCGAATAACCACGTTTCGCAAAGTCGATCATGGACCGAACACGGGAGGAATCAGTTCACTGTGGCCATCGATCAACGACAATGAGTTAACTGAATGTAGCCGCGGACCGCCGAACAAAAACGAGTCGTTTGACCGATGGATCAATCGATACCTTGAACGTCAGAATGAGAACCACGGTAATGCTGATCACTCAACAAATCAGTTTTCTGTTTTCCTTCGTCTCGTTTTTAAACAATATTGAGTATAGTTCTCGCAATAAGTACCTTTAATCCTCGTTAAGCGCCCCTCGTTCCTCTTTTTTTGTTTACGACTAGGATGCTTTTGAGAGAGTTTTCGTGTTGCTGTCGGTACTTCACATTTCACGCGGATAGAATTTTAATGCACGTTTTATTAAACGTTCTCATTGTTCCGTCGAAACTTAATATTCCAAGCAGAAGTTATAAGTATAGATTTCGTTTCACCTACTTTTTATCTACGCGGTTAACAATGATACTGGTTTCTCGATAAAATTACGAAATGTCGGTGAAGCACTAGCTGCGCGCTTGAAAACGATTTCAAGCTACTTAAAAACCTTCCGATAGTCGTCTCGCTAATTTTCCCAAAAACGCGTACTCGAAATGTACATACAAAATATGCTGGTAAAATTCAACCGCGTACGTACCAGGGTACATAAGTGTGAGCAAAAAAAGTCCGTGGAAAGATTTTTGAGTAATATCCTCGCACAGGTTTTATTCGCGTTTCACGAAACTCAAGCATGAACTAAGCACCAAGATGAATTTCTGTTTATACAAATGCATACATGTTTTCATAAAAAGTAAAAGTTGTCGTTCTGCGTAGCCCCGACTTCAGTGCCGTGCCGCGGTAGTGAGAACAATGTCCCGCGTCATAGAATCGTCCGAAAATGTTTGTGCCTAAATAATAATTAAATGTGTTTTGTGCAAATGGTGCGAGAGCCGGCGTAGCGGCCGTGGAATTATCGAACCCCATTGCAAATGTGAGAGAACAGTCGAGGGAAGGTAAGAGGAAAAAACGGATGGAAGGAGACGCGGGTGGCGGATGGGAGAGCGAGAGAGTTGTAAAAATAACGCAGTTAATTAGCAGCAAACCACTTTAGCGAGCTCGAGCCCAGTGCACACACTGTAATAAGCAAAGAACAACTCGCGGGCGAAAAAACGCCCTCGAACGCGAGGCAACTGAAACGCGGCAAGGCCCAGACGAGCCTCTTTTTCCGTCCCTCCTCTTCGTTTCTGTTTTGCTTTTCTCGCCCTTTCTTCTGGCCACCCCGATCTCGCTTTTTCGCGTACTGTTTCCTCCTTTGCCGGTAAAAACAACGTCGACCGTAAACAACGGACGTTTTAACAATTTCGCTGTGTTGCGCACCACTTCGCAACTCGTTCTACCGAGAAAAACGCGTTCCTTCCGAACGTTCATTTGTTTCCGAATTTCCCCGGCTCAAGTGAATTCATTCTCCGTAAACTCTGACTTCTTTTTCATAAAGATCACCTTTACCACCGGTTTACTTAATCAAAAAGAGGTGATCATCAATTTAAAAACGCTCCTTAAATAATGTTTTGCCAAAAATAAAAGAGGAACGCGGTAAAGATATCGAAAGCTGTCACCTGCACGAAAAGACACGAGAATTCGAAACCCTTTCCGCAACAATAGTAATCGTCGGTAGAAATTGGATTGGCAACATCAGTGAACGACCACGAAAGTTGCTGCCGAAAAGGAGTGAGGAGGGAGTGGGCGAAGGGAGCAGAGAAAGAGAACAGAGCCGTGTTTCACGCCTCGTGAATTTCAAACCGTTTGAAATCCAGGTGGAAATAATACAACTTTGCGTTCCTTGTTAAGGATCAAAGGGAACCTACCCCAATCTCGATTTCGAGCTTCTCCGTTTCCCCCTTCTTCATCCCTTCCCACTCTTATTACTCTCGATGCTACGTAACTCGTCGCGAAACATCTAATATCCGCGCATTCTATTCAAAACCATTTACGATGACATCTCATTGTTTCTCGCACATGATTGATCCCATTGTTACGTTTCGCGGATAAAGGATTCTATTCGTTTATGTAGGAATAAGAATAAACGATATTACTTTTCTCATGAGTAATATATTACAGCGGTATACATAAAGATATTATAATAATTAACTAGAAGTATGTTATAAACTTCTGAGTTTCTTCAACTCCCGATAGAGCACTTCTTTCTGGACTGCAAAATATACTCTATGTAATTAATGTGCTTATAATATTTTTTATTGGGCTTACCAAAGGGATCCCAGTAGACCACTTCCAACTTGTCACCTAGCCTCTCCCGAATTTGAGAACGTTTGTGACCACTCGCCACTGATTCTAACATCACTAAAATATGTCTGGAATCGAGAAATGTAACGTAAAATGTTCACGTTCGCATGGACTAACCTAGCTTCTGTGTAATTCTAATTCGATGGCACGTTGCTTTGAATGTACTCACTTGCTTTTAACTCTTTTCAACAACACATTTGTCAAAAACATGATTACAAGCTCTGTTTAATTATAATTTTAATTCTAACTGTGTTTACAAATGGAAATTGAGTAACTGTGTGAAAGGCTTAGGAGGTTCGAGGTAAACTCGTTATTTTACTGTAGGTCGAACATATAGGAAGGTATGCGTCCTCGTATCAGCTGTTGATACACTTTATTCGTCGATATCACAGTATTTTTTTATACAGCAACGAAATATATAATTAACAAAAATAACGAATAAATTTTTTACGAAGGCATTTTAATATTTGATCATAAGACATAATATGATGATTGTGCAAACTTATATAATTTTTTACCAGTGCATTAATCTAGAAAGAATAGAAAAAGATATAAAGCGCAGTATAGAATAATTCTCAGTATAGAAAATTGTATTATCGTCGTATAATACGAACATTGCATAAAGATACTCATGTACAAATTTATATGAAAGAAGGAATGATTGCTGTCATGTGAATAAATGAAATTGTCATTGTAATTACTTATACGAAAAATTGATCCTTGTAACACACCGATCAAATCATAAGAAAACCAATGAATCCCTTTAATGATGCTTTCAATCATGAAGCTTTCACTTTGTTATTAGCCATAATTTCTAGTCTCTTTACCACCTTTGCCAGGTCAATTTCTTTCTGTAGCTTTAAATAATCTATTTTTCGAACATGATGTATACTGGTCCACATAGGCAACAGTTTACACAAAAGTCGTATATGCTCTTCTAGATCCGCGGGACTTAATTTCGCTCTGTACGAGTTCTCTAATTTCGTGATCACGAATTCTAGTGTGAGCACTCCTTTTTTCTCAGCTACGAATATACTACGCAGTACTTTAACCATCTCAGGTAATCTGGAATACATGACTGCTTCCTTCTCCGCATCCGGAGGACGCGTCATAGCTTCTAACGCTTTGGCAGCCTGCTTAGCTCGAACCTAACGTATAACAGTCGATTTTTATTGAGATGAAATTGAAAAGAGAAGAGAACACATGGGGGAAAATCATTTACCTTCTCGAGAAGAGCCTTCGGTATGCCTTTAAGAGTCGAAGTGAAATTGGTCTGCACCGTTGGCGTAGCAGGCGGAGTATCCACAACAGTGATATTAACTTTTCGTATATCATCCGTTTGAGTAGAGTCATTCACCTTAATCTTCTCCGGAGATGACTGCGAAGTCATCTTTGCATCGGCCAATCGCTGCAACGCCTTCTCCATGCGAGTACCGCAATTGAACAATGACTTTGCTCTATCAAGAACATCTTTGGCAGTTGTCAGTTTTTCCACGTTAGGCGGCTGTGGCAATTCAGCTTGTTCGATCGGCTTGCAATTTTCGACGTCAAACTCTGGATGCCAGCGGACGATCTTCTCTTTCGATACACGCATCGGTGTTTCCAAGCTCAGTAAATATTTCTCGTGCTCGTCCTTTACTCTGTCGAGCAAAATACTGTAGAATTTCCTTCGTCTGTTGAGAAGAATCCGAGGTCCCATGCTGGCTTCGGATCCTGATTTCAAAATATCATCCGAGTCCGGAGTAGCTCTACCATCGTTCTCTTCCACAACCGGAGTGAGGATCAACTCATATTTATCTTGCTTAGACGTAGAACCGAACGTGCGATGCTTTTCTTGATTAAAAATATATGCCTCTGGGAAAATAGTTTTAATTTGTGCCAGGTGCTCCAAATTGAAATTTTTGCGCAACAGTTCCTGAACTGCAGGCTTCAGCTTCTTGAAAGTTATCGTTTCCTTACGATTAAAGAGCATTGCAGAAACCTAAAGAAGAATAATGATTTACATGAAACAATAAGAAGTAAAGAATTATTTTTTGAACAACAAGCAACATACAGTGTCCACGCATCTGAATGCTTCTGCTAAAAATCTATAATGATACGGCAGTGGTAAAGCCGGAGTGCCACTCTCTGCCAATGACAGATATTGTTGATAAGCTGGTGCTTTAGTTGGGCTGCCCTTTACTGGACTCGGGGTCGATTCCTTCGGTTCAAACAAAATTCTACGTTGAGGACTAACATTCGCTAGTTGTTCATTCTTCAAAGGACTCAATACAGTTTTGCTAGGAGATTTGTATCCTTTCTGTGGGCTGAAAAAAATAATAGAAACGTCAGAAATCATGGAAAACAGAAACTATCATTTCACAAACATCCTACCTAACTGGTATCTCAAGTTGAATCTTTTCAAACTTCTGTATCTGTGGCTTTTTGGTATCCTTCCCTTTCTGCAACTGCTCGAGTTTCTGTTCACAATTCCTGAACCGTGCGATAGAAGCCTTCAACTCCATGAGTCTGCTAGATTTATTAATCTTATTCTTGATTTCATTCAAGGACATATCTTGTCTTGCCAATGCATCCATAGTCGTGACTTTCTTAGGTGTCGTACAATTAGCTGACAGTTGCTCGTTGGAGGAGTTAGTACAGGATTCCCCAGTAGATTCGTCTTTCTTAGGTGTACTCATCCTTCGACTTAGCGAACCTTTCTTCTCAAAAACCACTTTGTTATTCATATCATCTGCGATCTTCTGAAAGCTCTCTCTGATGTCCTGGCCCTCTTGTCCAGACATCTTCCTAGAACGCGTAGCTCGAGCACGAGTGTTCTTCGGTGTTTTTTGAGAATTTCCTTTGGGAGAATCGAACTGAATGTTTCGAACGGCCGTGTTGGGCTTCATCGTGCGACTCCCCATCAACTCTTTTCCAGGCACAGTAATAATCTTCGGACTGGGTCTCATTGTGCTCTCGTTCTGAGTCGAAGTTAACGGTTCGGAGCTATCCTTGTGTATAGGAGCCCGATTTTGGCTAGCCACCGATTGTTCCCGATCGAGTAACAGAACCTTTGATTTGTTCCGCAGATCTTCAGTTGCTTGCCGTTTACGCGTATTAAAATACGCCGTTACTGACGGCTGGGACATTTTCGTACATACGAATATATACAGTACCTGTGTATGTGTAAACAAATCTGCGAAAATCCGTTAAAATTTTGAAAATCTCGATGCACTGCTAGCGGACTCCGAAATTGCTACCAGCAATCTATGGTTACTTCGACAACGCGTCATTAAATCCCGCCTTTTTCGTCAGTATGCGTCAGTTTAGGCGGCAAGAACAGATGTTCGCGCGGGAATTATGTATTCACTGTTACATATTTCTTATTACGTAAATAAATAGTGTTATGTTTGTCGTGTCGTTCTTAAATAAGATTACATATTTTATTGGCTTCGTTGTTGAACACGTGTAAAATGCGTCATACGCATAATAACTCGTGACAGTTGCAAAATGAAAGGAACATGATCAAAACTGACATATGTACCATTTAACATAAATATAGAAAAGTATTAATAATATAAAATTTATCAAATTGTGTGCATGAAAATGGAAAGACTGCAGTAACTAATAAGTAAGTAAAGATTTCTTTTTTCTATTGCATCGCAAACATGCAGAAGTATGCATTTTTTGGCGCCAGTTTTTGTTGTACTGAGATAACATGTATAAAGAAATCTATAATATTTATAATTACTTGTATATATTTCTTTTAAATTAAATGATATGTAGGCACACCTGAAATTCAGTTTTCAATCTCAATAAACATTTTGACGTTTATAACTATATTGAAATCTGAATTGTTTGTACAATTTGCATTTAAAAATAACTTATTCGAACGCAAACTTGTTAAATTAAAATTACGTATCGGGCTATAAAATCAGATCTGATCTGATTAGATCTGAACTTCTGTCTGTACGTGAAACATGTGCTTAGAACAGTGCTAAAATTTTTTATTATGAACGACGACATAAATATATGACAATACCAAACATTGTATTAAATGTTAATTATTATCCGTAAGTTTAATCATTCTTTTTAGTTACGGTTATAGTAATTGTTTCAATACATCGAAATTTCATTGATGAATTGAAAAATCTGCTCCTAACCTTATACTTGCGTTTCTTACGAGCCTGATTTTATTGTTTTTTTAGATTATGAGTATAACGAGAAACATAAGTTTATTTTTCAACAAAATACCCGCGATCAAAGAGCAATTGTTTTCTCCTAAATATTTATTGTACACGAATGTAACGATATCTATCTCTCTCTCTGCAGCGGGAGACGTGTTAGAGCAACATTATGAAATATTGAAGGTATTTCGTAAAATTGTTCTATGTATGTATAATTGTAATGTAATGTAATGAAATGTGTATGTATAATTTCGTTCGTTCCAGGGTGAGTGGAATAAATGGAGTTTTTATAGAACGAGGAATATGGCAGTGTCTGGCATGTCTATCGGTATAGTATGTCACTATTGGTATAAATATTTAGACGCTAAATTACCGGGTCGCGGGATCAATATTGTTCTAAAGAAGGTTGTCATAGACCAGCTAGTCTGCTCTCCACTTTGTATAACAATGTTTTTTTTAACATTAGGCATATTAGAGAATAATAGTTGGTCTGAATTGAAAGAGGAGGTTCTTAAGAAAGCTCATAGATTGTACATAGCAGAATGGGTAATTTGGCCGCCGGCACAACTCTTTAATTTCTATTTTCTGCCAACGAGATATAGGGTGTTATATGATAACACTATATCTCTTGGCTACGATGTGTATACTAGTCAAGTGAAACATGATAATGTAACGGCTAACGCGAGAAGTATGAAACTTTGACGAACTTGTAAATAGATCAAATAAATATGTAAATAGTAACAGAATTTTATCTTGAAAACTGTTGATCGTTTTTTTGTCACGACTTCGACTAAAAGATGATACAGTGAAAAGTTATTTTTCTAGCATCCTTATAAATATTGAGAAAAACATGTAAATCTTTGATAAAAAAATTGTACAAACTTATCCATTTATTACACATGATATGTACATGTAAAAAAAAATAATCTGTACAGTAAATCGTTTGAATTATTGAAAAATTGTTCAAAACATTCCATCATGAATGCCAATAGGTACAAGAACTGCAATAAAGAGTAACAAGTTACGAGCTACCAGTCTCCAATCGTTTGGTACAGCGTACGGTGCTAAGACTCGAGTTAATCTGTGTATCTGTAAAAAGAAGAGTCATTAGATTTCATATCGTACAACGTTGAATTGTAAAAAATGAAATAATTGTGAGATACTTACTTCATGACTTGCGCATATAAAGATAAACGATGTGACTAAGAGATTTAATACTGGGAACCTAGGCAATAGAACCAAAACCCCGTGAGAATCGGCCGCCAGCCAAATGTGGCCTTGTGCGACTAGAGTTTCTAAACTGATGCGACCTAATCCAGCCAAAAGGGCTGAGTGTTTACCGCGCAATGCTAACGATGCGTTCCTAAGGGCTATGTACCCTATGATCTTGACATAACATAAAATTGAAAATTATTTCTTTAGAAATAAGAATACCTGATAAATACTTACCGGTATAAACGCGACGTACGAGTGAATCTCTTCGCACTCCGAGGCCGAATGACACAGAATAGTAAAAGTAGTGTAAGCTGTCAAGGAGATAAATGCCAACAACGTAGAGAACGCGGTTCCTGGAATGTGCTCCAGCCTTTGCAAAGCTACAAGGCCTGCTCCAAAAGTCACACCCCAGGCAACGCTGTACCTGTCGACTCTCCATCGCGACCACCACTCCCTTATATCGTCATCGGTTGTAACGAATAGCGCTTTCCATGGTCTCGTTACGAATACTTTTTCAAAAAATACCTGTTACGTAATCATGCATCGTACATTGTTTGTCATTACGCTTTAAACAATAGCTAATACATCCGTACCTCTGACATATATAATATTGTGATCATCGATACGAGACCAAGAAGTTTTAATGCGAGATAAAGCAAAGCTCGCGGTCCGTACTCGTTTAAACTACCGGAATATATTCTTGGCGGAAGCCACGCTAAGAAATAGATGACTAAAAACCAGAACGAGACCAGAGGAACGAAATGGTAAAATTGATATGGCCTGTTCATGCAAAGGCATAGGGAGACCGTTAAGAAGTTCAGTCTAAACATTACCTAAAAAGTAACACATTAAAATACAAATATCATGATTTGTGAAAATTCTTTCGATACGTACTCGAGCAAATCTCACTAAAGAGACGTCGCCGGTTTGCCAGAAGTAACAAAAGTGTCCGTATCCAGAGAGAAATAAATAAGCGGAATTAATTAATCTTAAATACATGTAAATAGGTAAGACGTTCTTAGCACCGGTAACATGATAGATTAACACGACAGCCTGCATCAAGCCTCTCCATTCGTCTGTCTGTTCACGATTTAAAAATCTCGGCCCTCTTTCTCTGTCCTCGGTAAAAAATAAACCAAGAGCCAGAATATAGCCAAGCGGCAACCAAAAACTAAACTCGCTGTAGTACTTATTCTCCTTCATGAAAAAATTTGTCCTGAATTTACAGAAAAATAAACTGTTGTAGACATCAACCCAAGAAAAAAAGTATACTTTGTGTACCTGTCGCACAGATAAAAATATGCTAAAATGATCGACAGAAGAGCCAACGATGTTATTAGTGTATAAAAATCTTGCACTTCGGGCTGTTCAATCACTTGGGTGGTTTCTGTATTTGTCGCCTCTTCCGTATTTTCTATTTCGATAGTAGTAACGCGCAAGTAAGAAACTTCGGCTCGGTAATGACAAAATTTTCTATATAACCACATTCCTCCTCCGATCAGTATACTGTAATAAATCATGTTCCATCGTTCGATTCCATCGTTCGTATTTGTGATGTCATAGAACGATGCGCGAAAACTTACCACAGAGCAAGTGCGGATAGACTTAATAGCTGCAAAGTAGTCGCTGGTTCTGGGTAACTGCAACAACTACCATCGTCGAAATTCATATGATCATTGCAATAAGTGTTTAACAATATCTGAACCTTGTGTCTCAAAGACAGAGGACTTGCCAAGTATCCATCTGGACTTTGTTCCAACACGCCTGCACCAACGAGTTTACTACTCTCCCATATGTGAACCTCACTGTGAGATAGTATCTATAATGTATCAATATAACAGTCAATTTATTGTCATATGCTTGAAAGAATTTATCAGAGCAGTTACCTTTACTGCCGCTTTGTTACATAAAGTGATCTGTCTATTATCAATGCTTGATAGCTGAGCAGGTAATCTTTCCTTCAATACAGGATCCTGTAGCATCCATAAATATTTCGTATTCTTTTTGGCTAGAGAATCTACTGGCTGTACAAGCCTCACTAATCCCATAGTATATTCGGAATACAACTGAGTGTCGCTATTGTTATTAGCAAGAATCGTCATTGCTGCACAGCCTGAAATAATTAAGCTAGGTGCATTGGTTTTCTGAAAAGTAATACAGCCATCAATGATCCAGCAAAAAAATGTAATTCTTATTAAAAACAAATAATTACCACCCAGCCCCTGAGATCCTCCATCATAGAATTATCCAACAGAGGCCTCCATAAAAATTGTACATTCAATCTAAGTTGTGCATCATTAAAGTTTAAATCAGAGTTCTCTGGTAATTCTGTTAACTCTGCCTTCCCATCGACTATGAATTGTGATATGAAAGATTTGTATAACTGTCTTAATCTGGTATCGCCGATAAATACAAAATGATTATGGTGGCCCATGAAAGCTAGATATCTCATACATCTGCGGCTGTCCCTGTAGAACAAACGTTTGAACAATTTTTTAAGCATATCACAGTTATCTAATTGGAATTCTTACGTTTGGGTATAATAATGCATCATACAGCCGTAAGGCTGCCATTCTTTATCTCCTTTGTACCTTCCTTCCGTTAATAACCATTTACAGGAATCGCTACCTGTTTAAAAAATGAGCATAAATAAGTGTTGAATCTTAGAATTAATATAAATTTTCTTTACCATAAATAAGATGCATCAATCCATGGTAAATGATAAAACATAGGACAAGTGCGGTAGCTAACTTTTTGGCACTTGCCACAGTGATTAAACTAATAAAGTGTTCTGCTGAAGTCATGAATAATTTATCTCTCAATTACGATGACAATAAAAAAACACGGCTATTAATAATTGTGCAATCGACACTGTCAGTTTTTAGGAATATTTCATTATGCGTAATTAAGAATGATTTGATAAACGAATATTACTATTTTATCGGATACGCGGGCGGTATGTCATGCGATTAGAATGCCGAATAGTCATCGCTCCACTTATAATAATATGTACGTGCAATGATTTTAGAACCATCAACACTTATCGTGTTACAGTGGCACAATACTCTGTTATCGGAGCGATCTAACCGACTTTTTAAAACAATAAAAATCAACACTACTGAAACATTCACGTAACGCAAGACTGTATTACAAAGCGGGAAATCGCGATCAAGTCGGGAGCGAGGTTTCGGTTCGTTAAGGAAGTAGAGCAGAATATAAAATGGCATAAATCCATAAAACAATATCATTTTATTTAATTCAATCTGTGTTGTATATGACAATTGTATTATTGTGCACTCGCCTAATTGTCGATTTAGTACACACCTGGTGCTGGTGTGCGACTGCGACAACCAATGGCTGTCAAATTCGACTGATTTAAGTACGAATAAGCATGTCCAGTCGCAAGGGTCGCAAGCTCTGACAGTGCTGTGCGGCACCGCACTTTTTTCCGTTTACGTCATTAGGCGAGACACGAAATTTGAAAAAAAGGAGATGCAACACACTATTATTGCATCAGCTGTGAGTTCCCGATTAAACCAATAACCGATTCAAATGATTCACGTAGATACGTTGCCATGAACAGCGGTTATGTTTTTCAATGGAAAACGAAATAACGACAATGGCGGCAATGTTCCCATCAAAGGTAAGTTGGTACTGAAATTTCTCTTATCGTGCTCGGATCACCGTGTTGCCATCGTACCCCGATACCATACTGTATTTAATCGAGTTAGTTTGATAGTCAGTGCGTTTCATGCTAGTTGAAAAATGTGGCATTAAAGATCGTCAACGGAAGAATCCATTCGCGAAGTATTCGTCGAAATTCGGATGACGTTTTGCGTCAAATATAAGACGCTTACCCTTTCCCAAAACTATTCTCACAACGCATCACTCTATCTTGTTAAACATTAGAAATGTAATTAGGTACGTTTACGTCTTATTTAATTGAATGCGTATTCGTATATACCTGTTTTAGATTTCTAAAAATGATTTGTTGTATCGTACAGTACTCCGTGTACTATGTATACTGTTTGCTATTTGTATTGACGATTAATAATAACACGGATAACGCGTAGCGCGTTTGCTGTTGAAAAAGAATAGCGTTTTAGAATTTATCGAAACGTTCGAAAAATATTACAGAGAAGACTTGAGAAGGAGTTGACGTCGTTAATCCGCGAACCTCCGCCCGGTGTACATGTGGACGAAGACCTTGCTGGTCAAAATTTAACGCAATGGATTGTTCACATGGAAGGTGCTAAGGGTACCTTGTACGAGGGAGAGCAATTTCAACTGCAGTTTAAGTTTAGTTCTAAATATCCGTTCGATTCGCCGGAGGTGACGTTCATAGGTGGAAACATACCAGTGCATCCGCATATTTATAGCAATGGCCACATCTGCTTATCCATTTTGACTGAAGATTGGTCACCAGCTTTGAGCGTGGAGAGCATCTGTTTAAGTATCGTATCGATGCTGAGCAGTTGTAAAGAAAAGGTGAGAATGCAAGCTTAAGATTCAAGGATTAAAACATATCAACGGCGATTCATATTATTGCAGAAAAGGCCACCTGACAATTCCTTTTATGTGAAAACATGTAGTAAAAATCCAAAGAAAACGAAGTGGTGGTACCATGGTAAGTTATTTAAATTGTATTTAAGGATCTGTTTCCTGATTCCTGGATTATTTAACAAATATCTATTTGGAGAAGGAATTAGGTAGCATTTTCTGTTGTGTTTCCAACAGATGACAGTGTATAACAGCAACTGCTAGAGTCATTAACAACTTGTCAATGCGCAGTTAATGCTGGACCAAGTGGAACGATGGTTTCTGTGTCTTAAAGTAATTACTAAAATTTCACAGATGAAATTGCTGATATAATTTTATCATGTATTTAAAGAATTAGGTGCATAAGTTAGAAAACGAGAATAAAGCGAAGGCTGCATATTACTTATTATTATAATAAAGAAACGTCAGCTATCCAGTTATAAATTATTCCAATGTTATTAAAAATACTACGTACTATCTAATAATTGAGAGAATAGAAAAAGTATAAGTTGAAAGCGAATAGTAATGTAACAAAAAAAACCGTGCACCTATGATACTAATACACGATCAGTTGTTTCATTATTTGTGTAGGAAGTGCACTGTAAAATATTAAATTAATATGTTGCAGTAATCATTATATTAAAATAGAGTAATGATTGAAAATCTAGTATGTCGTCACACTTGTTACCCCGCTTATTTAATATTTATTTCATTGTACTATGAATTTAAATAAAAAGGTAAGGAACTATTACAATTTAATATTGTGCTGTGCAATCTTATATAATTCATTAGAAATTATGTTATTTAGTCGTTTGCGTTCGTATCTCACAAAGACTATGCTACTCATTTTTCTGTTTGTTTTTTTAAATTAAAACCTAGTAACTTGTAATTTTATGTATTATTACTACAATAAAAATTGTACTTTCATAGAACAGTGGCATGGAAAATCAGTTGATTTATTACTGTAATCTCAATTCTACAAAACCTGAATTAAATACGAATAGCAGTATCTTCATTTCATACAATCCTGTAAATAGTTAATTAATGAATCCCTGATTTTGAACCAAAAAATTGATATTTTTTATTTTGCTGCATTGTATTTATTATGATTCGCGTTATTATAATAAGTTACGATATTTTCACAATTTTGGCTTGGTCAAAATATCCAGCACTCCTTGCAGTGTTGAAAGGCACCCCTAGTACCCCTATCTCCTATTCACTGTCAGCTGCGGCATACGCGCTCCCTCCACTTTTCTGATTAAAGTCTAGCAGCGCAATGGGGTTGCGCACTTTTTCAGGTAGTCAATTAATTTTGATCAGTTTAAATGAATCTTGCGAGTACTTCTCTATTTTGTGTTATTTCCGTTAGAGATCAAAGGATTGAGAACACAGTGATTAAATAAAGAAGAATCTGTCGTTTATTACGGAAATACATCGGTAAGCTTAACGTACAAAATTAATTATCGCGTTTTTAGGTTGTCTTTCGTAACAATACTTACAGGAATTTAAAATCAATTTTTGATTTTGATATATTTACACATACGAAGTTTACTAATTAATGAATTGACAATATCAATATTATTTATAGGTACGTTTCTAAAAATATACAATTTTTTAATTACATTTCTATTCTTATATTATACTTAAAGTAAAGCTTAATTTAAACTCTTTGTATGATACATGATCGATTGCTTATCACATTGCATGATTCATCATAATAGACATTTAACTATTTAAGTATATTCAGACATTGAAAACTTAGAGTTTCATTAGTTGTAATTGACAGTGAACAGTTGAGATACTTTGTGATAAATTTTCATTAGCAATTCCTCCCGTCCATTAAGTATATATTTTAGAATATTTTCTTTATATTGTACAAATGGATAAATAAAACAATAAATTTTAATAATGTTATACTTGTACTGTGCCATATTAATTTGTACTGTATAGTGATAATTAAACATCATAAGTATTATATGTACAATCTCATTAAAATTGTTAACGACTTCAAAAATATTTCGAATCTGAGCCGAAAAATGAGAAATTCATTGCTCTTATTGCACTCTATCCTAGTCTACGTTTAATTGATGATATTTGGGATGAAAGAGTAGATATTATGCCTTTGCACAGAGAGAGTTTCAATATTATGCATTTCATTTATAAAAAAGGGTGTAAGCTTGACAATAGCACTTGTGAAAAATTTAACATTTTTATCTATTACGCCTGACAACGAAGTTAAAAAGAGCAATAATAAATTAATTGAAATATCATCAAATAAACCTTATGAAGATGCCCAATACTGGAAAAAAGTATGTACAGACGATAAAAAATAATTTAAAAAATTTCTAATCGATGTACTCGTCATCGTCATCGTCAACAAATCTGATGTTCTGATCGTAAATTGTTCCCTGCTTCAGACAGAACGTTTCTATACCGTAATCCGGGTTTTGAATGTTCAGAGGATCGATATCTTTGCAATGTAATTTGCGGCCTTGAGCAAAATTCTTCAAAGGACTTCCTGACAACTCTGTCATGGGAATATTAACCGTGTCCTTTACGTTCGTGAACGATTGTGTACATTTCATTAATTCTTTATACTTGTAAGACATGTTCGAGTCCTCATCTTGATTATTAGAAATTTTCATCTGATTAGAACTTTGCTTTGAATAATCTCGTTGTAAAATTTTATTTGTACCAGAAGTGAACGCTTTATTATTTTCGTCGTTACCCAGCATATTTATGGGACTTCCCAGGAGGCTTTTCGAAGAATTAGATTCTTCGCTAGATTCTTCGTCTTTACCTATACGGACCCTGTGTAACAATATTAATGTAACAGTAATTTAAGAGAATTATAGTGAACCTTTAATGAAATTGAACTCACCTCCTTCTGTTTGATATAACGCAGTACTGCTTGTGTTCGAGAATGCCAGATATTGATTCCGTGCTTACTTTTATACTAGAATCTTCCAATAGTTTCTGAACAGGAAGTATTTTCTCAAACGTTTTCGTTCTGAAAATTGCAGAGATATCATTCCCAACAAAATTCCTAATTAAATAAATATTTTTCGGTGTTAATCATTTGTGAATCAGAACTCAAATCGACCAATCAAATAACTCATGTAAAATAAATTTGGCTTACTCACCTCTGTTCTAATTCGAATCCAAAATCTTCGAAGCTGGAAAGTTTCATTCGTTGATATTCAGAAGGTGTTAGGGCTGCGCCTTCAGTTTCGAGAGCCAAAACAGAATTTCTTTTGCTTCTATAAACAGATATGCAATTTCATTCATAAAAAGTTAACGAGTATGAAAAAATGAATCGACATAGTTTACCCCAAGAGAGGATCGTCCGTGTCGATTGGTGGTATCCAAACTAGAAAAGCGGGATCCATTCCCAAATACGATCCAGGCACAGCACTAGCATTCGCTACGTTGTAGTCATAGTAATCCAATTCTAACTCTGAATCAGGATTCGTTAGACTGAAATCCGATCCGGGATCTTGCAAAAGCTTTTCACGGTTTCTTCTCTCTTTCGTTTCCTTCCCGCTTGCCAAAGTCGACGGGCTCGAAAGTACACTCTCTGACGAAGTCTCCTGTACGTTAAGAAAGCAATAAGTAAAAAGGTACGATACTTGATTGTACATTATTTTTCTAATTACCTTTCTTTCCGAGTAATTTTTTTCATTACTGTGATAAACTTTTGAAACGTTCCCACTATTATTTTTCATATCCTCATCGTTTATTTTTGATGCTTTTTCTTCCGAAGTGTCGTATTCTGTCTTTTGCAACCTATAGTAACATTTAATATATTACAATGAAATTTTAATCAGAAACATTGTCGTATGCTGTAATTGGACTAACTTTACGGGGTAAGCATATTTCACTTCGGGTTTGTTGTAAACAAGAATACTGGATGCTGATAGTAACTTATCGCAGTTGGATTTCATCGATGTGATTGTTTGGTCCGAGGAGGTTTCGATTGTATTATTTAACTTCAGTGTACTAGAGCTCAATACAGACTCATCTTTGTAGCTGTGTAAAATAATCTCTTTTTAAGAAACAGCCAAATATAGTTAATAAAATTATTAAATATTTCGATCGTACCCTGTCAAAGTCTCGGTACTATTGTATTGTTCTCCTGCATTGCTCAAACTTTCTTTACGAGAAACCTTCGTGGTAGTTTCTATCATTGAGATCACTTCGGAAATAATTGTGCTTGTAGATAGAAATTTCGATGGGCCGGGCATTAGCTCTGATTAGAAGCAAACTTTAATTAATACCGCAGTACATAATAAGAAGATTGTGTAGAGCGTAATTGCTACCGTTCTTACCGGACACATCGCTGAGATTATCTAAGTCCTCGGCAATCCGATATTTTCTGTATTTTATAACAAATTGCAGTGTCAAGAAAATAGAAACTATAAACATTAGTATCAAAAGCAGTGCAGTCGCTAGGTGTGCTGGTTTCCAAAGAATCCATTCTTGTCCAACGTTCATTGTATTCGTTTCAAAAGGCACAACAGTTGAAGTTCCATTTTTCTTTAAATACTTCCTATCTAAATATGAAGTATTTATCAATTTTCTTATTTCAATTGAACTATTAGATTATAAATGCAATAGTTACCTAACACAGCTGCATGCGCCAGGAAACCACCGGTGCAAGCATCTCCAGATGCAGTAAGTTCGTCGCTAAAAAACTCTAACAATAAATTCTGCCCAGAGCTAATTAAAGTTTTAACAGTACGATGCATTTTATCGGAAGCAACATCGACTAAGAGGTTTGCGTTCAACGAATTGCCATCCCGTATGCGAAAATACTGTCCTGGGCAAGGAAATTGCAATTGATCTAAATGTAATGCGATCACAAAATTTGTCTCCGCCTAAAAATATCAAATGCTATTACATCTCATTCATTCTTCTAATACAAGCGACATAGTGATTGATTACTTGTAAGAGCCAGAACGATCGGCCAGGACAAGCTTGAGTGTTAGCCCCAAGTATTTTCCTTAAAGATTGTTCCTTCAATACGACGCGACATCCGCATCTGCATTGCGATCCGATCTCGGCTATAATTTCCGGTTTCGTAGCAGCTAATATCGCACCACGACATTTAGGGTTCTCGATTCGACCACCCCATTCATTTTGCGAATCCTCCCAAAATAATTTCCCGCAAAATTCGGTTTCTATTGCTTTCCCCTACAAGTTTAATCTATCAGTCATTTAGAAAACAGAAGTTTAAGACGAGATACGTACTTGACAAAATTTTGCTCCATATTTCGGTGGTGGGGTGTCGCAAAAACGATATCGATTTCGAATACCACCGAAACAGGAACTGCTACACGCGCTCCAAGGACTCCAAGGCCCCCAACCCGCTGCGTCGCCTACGAGAAACAATGAGAAATAGCGTTTAATGTACAACAATAAGAAATAAAATAATTGAAATGCTGAGAACTCACTTTGGAAGGGAAACGTAGGAATGCAAGATATCTTTACATCCCCCATAGCACCAGTGGCCGCTTGGCTAACGTAGATAAAACAATACTCGACGAATTTTTCCGTGAAAAGATCGCAATCGAAGGTCAAAGAATGCTTCCCTGGTATCGATCTGGATTCCGTAATGTAATGAAGACTGGAGGGCGAAGCGACCGAGGTAACGTCGGCCTTCAAACGGCCGTAAACCCGTACGCGATCGCCTTCCAGTCGACACGAAGGATATTCAAAAAGGACGGGTACACCTCCCGAACCTTCGCAAGGATATATTGATCTCGCGTGAACCGTCAGTTTATATTCTTCGGACCAATTCACCTTTAACGATGAACGGATAGTAAATTTTCTGAAAGTGCTTGATCGAACGTTTCATCGAAAATGCAGTTGTACCTTGAAATATACGCTGGTATTTGGTGCTGTCGGATTAGTACTAGTAGCTCTTAATCTGACAGCGTAAGTTCCAGGCAACCCGAATAATTCGCATCGGAAAAGAATAGACTTCGACGATAGAATATCTTTTATGTCTTCATAATATAATATCTGCAAATATAATTGTAATAATTGCAGAAATGTAGATTGAACAATTAAAATAGAGAAAGATTCGTTTACTTGAGTATAAGTAGTGTTCTGTAAGTAACAGGCAGTCACAGTGGATCCACAATATACCAATTGTAAAATGTAAACGGCTACAGGAACATTTCCAGAAGGGCTGCAATTTAATCCATCGTATTTTACTGTGGCTCTGACAGACTCATTTGGATAAGTGCTGATCTCTTTCGGTTCCAGGAAAATTGTCGGCAACGGCCACTTTACATCTAATATTTTACTGGTCTACGAGTGAAAATGATTGATCGAATGAATGAAATAATTCGTATATAAAAAAGTAGAGTAAAATTGTTCGTATATTTAATATGAAAAACCTGGTAATGGGTAGCAACAGGCACTGTTGAATTTTTGTATTTATACTCGACTCGTAGAGCGTAAATACCGCCACGAGTAAAATACCCGCAGGGAATGGTAATTGAAATGGTTTCATTTCCTAAAGGCATCCGTTTTAGTTGAATCTCACCGATTAATTCTGATATGTCTTCGAGAAGATATAACACTCTAAAAGTCCGAGAAAATATTTTCCCCTCGTAACTGACGCAGCAATAATAATATTCGATACTTGGCAGATCTCTTACCTCAGTAAAAAAAATTCGTTAGAAACATTTTTATAGAACTGATGTTCTTTGAACTCGTGTTTGTACTTTGTTTTTTCTAAGGTTTGATTCGACTTGCCGATAGATATTGTAAGGTCTCCCGAAAGGGCGACATGGGAAGAAGGAGAGTCAATTCTCAATGCAGCAAATTCTTTTTCATCTTCCGTCATCGATCTAGTAATATCTAAAGTTTTGTAATTACATTATTGTTCATATTCATCGTAGATAAAAGTCAAGATTAAATTAGAAATCGTGCAGATTCGTATGATGAGAAGAAGTATAGGGATTCTTTAAAATAGTGCGATTAAAAATGAGTAAATTTACCGAATTCAAGGTGGATGATAGCTAGAGTTCCGAAGAAGAGCCATTTAAATTTCAAACTCATATCCAATTCGTCATCCGTGTTCAATATCTGAGCAGACATTAAACGTTCTACATTTCCTTTGGTTTCAAATATTTTTTAATGTAATAATAATGTATGAGTATGCTTGACGGATAAATTAATACGGAGATATTCAATTAATTTTAAAGACATTTATCAACTTACTACTCTTGTTTATCTCAATGCGAACATTCTTCTTAAGAATTTTTCTCGACTCGGGCGAAGGAGAGTCAAATACATATGTGCTGTTGGTGGATGCACCGCTGCAGCAGAAATCGATATCGGAGGGCTTCGACACTACGCAAACTTTCACTCTTTATTTTCCAAAAACTCGTTCATTCTCACGTCGTACCAAAACACTTGTCGTTTTTCATTGCGTTTCAACATTACAATTCTTGATAATATCTTTAGCTGGAACAATATAGACAAATGCATTAATCGACTATCCGTGGTACAGTTTAATTAAAGTAAGGCAGAATGAATTTTGTTATGCACTATTTTTATCAACATGATCGCAAACGGAACTGTCATTAAAGTATTAATAATTTTTATTTTATGCTCGAACAACCGAGAATTAATATCATTTATTTAAAATGCCGAAATGAGATTCAATAATTTTGGCACTGATTTCACGTTCCAGATTTGCTTTACGAAGTACAAAAATTATAAACAGGAACAATTATATGTTTTACGACAAAACGCAGCTCTTTGAATTGTTGCATAATTTGCATAATATTCTTCTTTAAGGTGATCGTGGTTTTAAAGTAATTCGTTGATTAAACGTACACAAAGAAGATGCACTTAACGAGTGGATGACAGAAGTAAACGAAGAGTTTTCGTGGAAAAAAAACGTACGGGATGAAACGCGAGGCTCGTACGCGATTCATAAGGCAACTAAACCCGCAGGGGTCGACGGCCAACTCTCCCTTATTCGTCGATCCACCCCACTACGAAGGTCGTCCTTTGGGGAGAGAATTCTAACAGAACATCGACTACTAATCAATGGAGGGATTACGCCGGCTCGGAAGTCTGTGTTCTCTCACAAAGGAACGCTTTTTCAGTTTTCGAGAATTGAAGGGATCATTATTTTTTAACGCCGAGGGTGCTATTGCGACAGCCACGGTCGCACGTGTATTCGTTAAGGCTGCGTTATTTAAATATCACCCTTTCTGCTAACAGGAAATTGATTACAGATTTTTACATATGAAAAGCCTCATCGTTTTAACCATATAAAAGTTATAAAGTTTAATGCTGTTCATTTTGCCTGACAATATACTTACCAATAAATTTAATGAATTCCACAGCAAGTTCTAATAAATCGATTTTATTTAACAAGCCATAACAATTATATTTCAATTTTTCATATTCAATTGTAAATTATACGTAAGCGCCAACAGACAGGAATGAGAGTGCTCGCGCTCACGCTTTCTTTTTCCTGATTCTCGAAGTACGGCTTTCAGCATAGCATCTACAAGAGCCTATTTAGTATTTATCCTGTTTGGTTCCACTGTATCACAGGCGAGATATATGCGAGTTGACCTTTCACCTTATGAACCTTTTTGGCTCTCGTGTCCTAAGCATTGGTCCTGTGTTCGAGTTTGTCTGCCATACCGACGAACCATACGAAAGACGAAGGCTGATTCAAGCGTCTTCCGTTGAGTGCAACTTTGAATCCTTTGAATAACTGTCATTGTTGTGTTTGTATTTTGCAATATTTTGTATGGATCTGTGCCGCGTATCTTAACATTTCTGACCGTAACGTAAATGTTACAATAACAATGAATGATATACTGATTCTTAAAGAGAAACATATGAAGATGGTGGACTTAAAAATAAATGATTTGTTTCAAAATCAGTTTAAGTTCATCGATCACGTTAATAACGAAGCAATCGAACGTTACAATGGTAACTTGTCACATATTCTACACGAATGCATTTAACGTTTTTAAATATAAATAATCAAGTTTTTCTGTAGAGGACGAAATAAAAGTGAAGGATTTGACGTCGGAAGTAACCTCGATAAAAGAGTATCTACAGGCTGACAAACAAAGTTTGGAACATAAGGATAACGAGTTAGCCAAATGTTTAGGCTGCATAGTATTTATTTCTTGCATCTTCGAGCGATCAATTTTTATTTCTCAGACTTAAATAATTGATGTGAAAAATGTTGTTACAGGCAGAATTAGAAGCAGAGAAAAAGAAATTTCTCGAAGAAAATCACTTATTGGAATTGCAAAGGAGTAAACTCAAAGCATGTAAGAGCAACGTGCATGATGAAGAGTTGTTGACTCGTGGAAGGTTTGCATTTTATTATAAATGATCAAACACTTGTTATGTATACATATTTATAATATATACTATAAAAGTAGTGTAATTGTAGAAGGAGGTTTACATTGTATAAGCAGATAACAGGAATACATTGGGATTATGGACGACTTAAGGAAAGCATTGCAGGATGTATCCTTTCACAAAACCTAGAAGTAATATTCTCAATGCTCTTCATGATATAAATAGTTCCTCAACTTTCGAATTAGATGTATGCAATGAGAAAACAAACTACGTTCGTCATTTTTCTTATCAAAAAGAGAACACAAAAAATGTCAGCAATCTTCTGTGGGAGGAGATACATAAATCTGTAGTCTATGCAGAAAATAAGGATACACACGAGAAGGAAAATATTGTACAGAATAAAATTCTATAATGTACATTAAAATAAATATTTATATAAATAAACAAGTTTTTACTTTAACTCAACCAAAATTTCATTGCTTAAAAGATAAGATTACTATTTCTACGTTTTATTTTAATCGCGTAATTGATCTTTTTAATTAAAGCAGGAGTAAAAATTAATCCCTATTTACTTCTACTGATTTTCTGTCTAATTCAAAATTCAACACAGTAGCGCGGTCTAGCGTTATTCCCTTAGAAATGATCGATATAAACGAAGCCAAAGAATTGAATTTTACTGTTTCCTAAATTGAATTTCCGAATGAGGAAGCACTAAAAAATTTAGAAACAAATTTTTTAATAATGTGCGAGAAGTTTCTGTTAAATATAATCAGCTCGAACGATCAGCTGTTGTATATAGATGTAATTTTTTAACCTGCAAGATTGGTCGTCATCCATGCTTTATACGTATACGTGTGTGTATACGACATACGATTACCTAATTTCGGTGCAGCAGGTATAAAAGCTCTGCGTAGAAAATAGTGGCGATTAATCATAAATTAACGAGCACATACAGGTGTAAATAATAAATTTGTGTAATTAATTAACAAACAGATTATTCGTGAAAGAAAGTATGTCAACTCTACTACGACTCGCTCGTTCCCAAGGAATCAAAAGCAAGTTGAAGTTTCTAACACCGAAAGATATTAAAATGTGTAGTGCGGCGTCTCGCAGCGATTCGCCCATTCAGAAAGTCGAAAAAGCAGATCAACCGTATACTGCGGAAAAACCATGGGTCAGTTACGGATTCCATTATACGGACAAGAAGTTTGACCGTCAAGCTATGCATGTATCATTCTTCGTCCTGGTCAGCATATGCCTAGTATTCGGGGCACTTGGAGTAGCTTATATACCAGATCCCTTACTCCGAGATTGGGCTCAACGAGAAGCATATATCCAGCTTCGTTATAGGGAAGAAAATGGTCTACCATTGATCGATAAGAATCTTGTAGACCCAGCAAAGATTACTCTTCCAAGCGACGAGGAATTAGGCTATACAGAAATAATCATTTAAACACTGCCAAAATTATGTACATATTACGAACTAGCATTTTTAATTACTACAGCAAAATTTATCTATTATACCACATCAGTTTGTATAATAGCATTTTGAGTGAGTAACGATATGTATGATCTGCAATAAATAATGTTTAATGATCATGCAAAACAAAAGTATGCCTCCTATTCACTTAGAATATTCATATACATCAAGAAGCCTTTTATATTTGATATTAGTACACAAGTTTTATTTCATTANAAATTTTAATCTTATACAATAAAGATAAATTGTGTAATATGATCGCCTATATGTAAAATTGGAGTCATCAAGTAAAATTTTAGAGTTTAAAGAACTAAAAGTATAAGAAACGTAGAACAATGATTTAATACTTCTTCATTACTCTTAATTGGTTTAGTTCGATCCTTATCTATGTACAGAATTATATAATTTGTCCGCGTTGTGTTGGAAAATTTCTATACATCACGTTTGAAATAAGTAATGAAGTATAAATGCGCGAAGTTCAATGATACAATATATATATATATTTGCAATGGATTATTTATACGTCATGTTTTACTTTTATTCTTCACATGTACCTTGTTATAAAACAAATATTTTCAGTAGGAATAACATAGCGTTTACTGCGTTGTTGGTACTGTAGGTACGGGCACTGTGTTGACGCTGATTAATTCATTCTGTTGTTGAAATACAGGCGAATAGAAAGATGTATTCTGAGGCAGACTCGCGCTAACTGTAATGGGTGGCATGCCGGGCAACGATATTGGCGTTGTCACCATATGAGACTGAGGCACGTTAAATTGTACAGGCGGTGGTACAGTACTCTGTACATTCGTAAAATCTTTGGGCGTTCCGGTATGCTGGACGTTGGCTGTTTCGTTCAATGATATTGTAGTAAAAGTTGGCAAAGGCGGAGTGGTCGGCATGCCGGGTATGTTTGGCATCGTATTGTGTGGATGTGCCCCGAAATCATTACCTGAACAGCAAAAGGATATCGCTGTAATCTCTTGTACGAACGTTACGATTTTTTTATGTACACTCACCACACGATGTGTTAATAACATTCTGATTAGGCACAGTGTAAGGTATGGAATTAGTAGTAGTGGATCCTCCAATAGTAGCCGGATTCAGTTGAGGAGCATAGTACGTTTGCGAACTTTGCGCATACGTAGGAGGTTGCATCGATGTAACGGCTTCAAGTTCCGATTTAGTGCCGCTACCTTGCGTCGTGATGTAATTTGATGGAATAGAAAAACCAGGCGGTATGTTCGTAACTATATTACTTCCAGCCGTGACGCTTGTTGGCACGGTGCACGTAATCTGGCTCGGGTCCGGAATCATAATTGGTGTCGTACTCGGAATTGTAGTCGCAATCGTGGGCTTAATGTTACTCTGAAAACATGAAACTAGAGTTTGTTATGTGAATCGTTTCGGAACGACTTCGCGTAACCATCAGTAGTTCAATATCTACCATGTAGGAATTATTGGATTTGTGCTCTTGAATATTCCTGATGGGTATTCTATGCAGATATCCATATCCAATTCCGCAACCCAAACTACAATCAAATGTAATGGTAATACTTTAAGATGTGGTTCTTCAAGGAATAAACGAATTGCAATTACCTTCCTTCTCCACCCCAATTATGATTGGGTGTAATCATTATTTCTCTGCAAGAATCGTCATCCGTGTTATATACATACAGCTTTAAAGATCGGGATTCGTGTGATTCTATCAAACTAAATAAATTCTCGGACTCGTGTAAAGGAGAATCAGCACCAATGATATAATCTGTAAATGGCCGTAAGCCCGCTACTTCGGCAGGAGAAGATGGATGCACTTCCTGCAAAATTTGAACGATAATTCGTCAATAATTTTTTACACAATGTTTCTTATGAACAAACTGCATTTATACTTACAAGTACATGCCAAACGTTTTCATTAGAACCTTCAAAGGAACAAAACCTCACGCTTACACCAAGGAGACCCTGTCCACCCCATGTCAAACTTGGTACTACAACAGTTTGCCTCACAGACTGTGTTTTACTGCTATATACGGTAAGTGCTAATTTTTTATCGACACCATTCTTGAGGAGTTCTTTCAAAGTATCATTGTCTTGATCCTGTCAGAATAGAGCAATGTTTTAACTCTGTACTCGAGCTAAAGTTTAGTGTGTCACATGACACCAATTAAAGAAACAAAATTAGGACCCTACCAAACGAGTATTTCCAATAGCTACTATAAAATCGAAGAATGCTTCGAGTCCAGCCTTTTGACCTGGAGAACCTTCCTGTACCTGTTTCAATTATGAAATAAGGATCGAATTATTGCAAAATAATAAGAATTCATTCATTTCTTTTTTATCGAGTTACGGTTAATCTACGATACATAATAAATCGAAATCAGAGTTCGTTGGGATTGAAGCGGCATAAAAATGAAATATTTTGACAAGTTCCTTTACCCTCAATACATGATAACCTTCTGTTCCACCTCCGGGTATTTCGATACTGTGAGAAGATCCCATTTTCGCTCTGGAAACTTCTTAAGTCACTTGATCTGAAGGAATACAGAACATCAAAATGAATGTTCCTCAAAAATTGTTAAATGGAAAATATGTGACACGAAAACTCTACAAACTCTTTGGTGACGTAGCCTATCATATGTAGATTGTAGAAGTTCTGGTCGTGCTTTACGATTGCTTACGATTCATTCAGTGGTACCAATGTATCTCAAACCCTCAAACCTTTCTCACATTGAATGTTTATTGACGATTCATGTCTCGGTTGATCAATGTAATGATCATTATAATTATATATAATCATGTGTTGATCAGTAAACTTATTGCAAAAATGGACAACATTATTATTAGAACTTGGCGATAAGTTTAATATAGTTGCGTGAAGAAATTGAGATACATAGTTGTATTTTCGTATAAAATATTTGATCAAACTTATTATTGATCACTTATTACATCGTAATCAAAAGATTTCTTCAAAATTCATCCTCGAATACATGAAAATTTGTCACAAGAATTAATCACGCATGCGTATCATGTTTGAATGCGTTCAAATCTAAACTGTCGTGCAAAGCGTGCAAACGACTGCAAAGTTATAACAGTCTTTCGACTTTCTCTTTGATTATACGGATTGGCAAGTGGGAAATTATTACAGCTGCAAAATGGATTTGGATCTCGAACATGTGCACAATATTTTAACTGAATCAAATCTTCCATCAAGTATGAATGATTTAAAAAATCCAACAGAGGAATTTGTTGTCAATCTGATTCATACCTTCCTAAAAAGATTTCACGTCGACATTAACATGATTGATAGAGTAAGAATCCTGGAGACTGATCACTTATTTCTTTAACTTTCCAGCCCTAACGGATTTTATTTTCTATTCACAGCCAACAATGGAACAGCACGAAATAATGTTGTACTCTGAAGATTCAGATATAATTAATCTGATAAATTTACACACAGTTATGGTTCAACTATGTAATCGAATATTCTTGAAAGATCTGTGCATTACTGATATCACCAGTCCAGGTATATTTATTGTTATGCAGTAAAAAGTTGACGATATACAGACTACATCGATAGGACGTAAAGTATGATTTTAGCATTCAGGTACGAAGAAAATACGCAAACAGGCGAAATTGTTAGCAAATTTTATACTATACGTAAATAGTAAAGAATCGGAAATTGGACATCGGCTTGATGAACTTAAGAACAGAGTAAAAATGCTGGATGAAATCCTGGATAAGAAAGAAAAAATATTAGAAACTAAAAATGAAAAAGCATTGCACGTGGCAAAGCAATTGTCAGTGAAAGAAACGGTATTGTTTTCAAATGACTTCACTACTAATTATATCGTTAATATTAAATATAATTCCTACTGTCTTTAGTTGATCGCTGAGATTCAAAAAGTAAGAAATACAATTGAAAAGAATAGCAAGGAAGATGAATCGTTAATTGTACAGATCTCGGATGCAGCAAAGAAGAAGCAAGAAGTAATGGAACGTTCTGGAACTTACAAGACACAGATTGCAGAAGTGAGTCAACGTTCATATGTTAAACTGAATCTTTTTTACTGGATCATGTACAAATTGCTATATTTAATTGTAGTTAACTAAATCGATAGTAGAATTGAAATCACAAATTATTACATCTCCTGAAGAGTATGAAAAACGGTTGTTCGAATTGGAGGAACAGCAAAGTACCAAGATGAAAGAACGTGAAACGATGGTAGAAGCATTGCACGATAAGCTGCAGTTGATTGAACAACAAAAGAATAAATTGAATTTTATTCACGAAAAATTGGAGAAGCTGTCTGAAGTTCGAGACATATACGATCAATTAAAGTAATCATGCGACTGTTCACGGAAACGTCCGTTAAAGTTTCAGGCATCAATTTGCATTATTTTTTTTAGGATGCTAAGTGTCCAAGAAGATGGAGTTAAGAAACAAGTTGATGTTCTTAAGAAGGATATTATAGATTTTCAGAAAAAATTAGAAACTCAAGCTCAGCGCAAAGAATACGACATAGACGAAGTTTACGCGCAGTGCGAGAAAATTCTATCTCCTTTGCGCGTTTCGCGTGATCAGTTATTGAGGTATCTGGTATTTAATTACTTCAGTGCATGATCGTTAAGATTCTATGTAAAGTTTAAACAATTTTTACTCGCAGCGATAAGAAATTAAACGAAGAACGGTTGAAGACAGTTCAAATGGAACAAGATGAAGATTGTTCAAAATTGAATAGAATGAAAAGCGCAGTAAAGGAATTGGAAGGAGAGACTGCAGTGTTGTTAAAGAATTATCAAGAATTGTATGACAATGAGATCTCAACTGTGAGTTTTATTAGAATCAGATATATACATTTGTTAACGGTTGTCGTTTTTTATTTGTAACGGAGATACTGATTAAGTAAATGTAATTTTGATTTTCTTTGTACTAACAGGAAAAAACTTTGCGTGATCAGTTAACAAAGGAATAGAAGACGCGAAATGTTGAAGGGTATATGTGTGTAACATACGTGAGGTAACATTTTTTAAATCATCGTCCGTTATTAGTAACTAATGTCGGAATTAAATTCTTAAAAACACAGAATGTCTTTTCATTTGATGATGAGTGTCAACAACATTCTCTTGTCGTTCATCTAAATATTATATTTATTGCATAACTTAATAAGTGCGAAGTACAGATTAACGCTAATAGATACATAAAATGCAACGGTAGAGCATTTATGAAAGAGATAATTATTAAGGTTTCTTCTCTTAGTTTATTTTAATACTTTTTATTGCTTCCATTATACCAATAATAATTTCAATTATAGACCTCGTAATTATAAGCGATTTCCTATAAGACACAATTAACTGTTAGACGCTCGATCATTCGATTCTCAAGGTCTTGTACATTTGCTGAAACAGTTTTTCAAATCCAGCACTTAATTCAATTTATGTATCCAGTTTTCAATACCAGCACCTAATTCAATTTATGTATTATAAACTTGCATTCAAATCGATATCCTTATTTGGAATGTACTTAGTAGTTTCAACCATGTAGAGTTATGAATTTAATTTGGTTACGCTTTGGCATAATTAAAATTAAATGTATCATCAATAAACTCAATCATGTCTCCCGTGCAATAAAGTTTATATATTATTTACATATTGACAGCTTTAACAATATAACAAGCTCTAACAATATAGTCATAAGTTAAAATAATATACAATATTTATACCATATACATACATAAATCACGATAATTTCGTATAATTTGCACATATACATAGAAGATACTGTAGATTATTGTTTTATATTCTATATGAGTACATTGATATTTCTCCATCATTTCTATTAAACCCGTGGTGTACACTATGTACATATTATTTTCGTATGCAAGAATTTTCTAATATCTGTATATATGACAGAACTAAGTGCACAAGAGAGTTCTGGTTTTCGTCAAATATACAGAGAAGAGCGAACTGTGGAATACTCTAAAATGTACATTAGATGTTTACAGTTCTTACATATTTACCAATTCCCCGTTCTCTTCGTCTTCTGTACAATTATTACTATCGTTATTATTCTTTTGATAAATTCAGTGACTCTTTAACTTATCACTCTTTATTAGTTAAATGTTCTCTCCCTGCAATTCGTTAATACTTACAATTCGTATTGTTTCTTGTTCGTTTAAGTTTATAAGTTTTATCATGTTTAAATACAATTATATAAGTATATAATCAGGCGAACTTATGAAACACAGGTCGTCAAATACAATTTTTACTTGATTAAATTACACTATCATGGCAGTGATACAGAAAACTAAATCCTGGCTCCCCTCTACATAAATTAATCTACCTAATTAAGGTTTCTGTGTCTCCGGTATCGATTAATGTAGAACGTTCAAATAATGTACAAAACTATTCTTCCTTTCCGTATTTGTTTCGCAACAGTATACTATCTATAAATTATTAGAAAGTGTGTTAATTCATTCGGTTTCATCGAAGTCTTACTTGATAAAAGATACGTAAATGACTGCTCGCAATACTAAAAGAAATATACAAACATACATTTGCACTTCTTTTTAGTAATAAAAGAGAAATAAAAATAAAAATATTTTCAATTAAAAAAAGTATTGTACATTGTATTAATAATAATTGCAAATATACGCACAGGGACAAGTTGAATGTTCTAATCGAAGAACTTGATTAATTAAGACGGGTCTTTCGTTATATAAATTACCTAACTATAAATGGATCTTGATGTACATTCAATTTTCACAAAGACAGTAGTACTACGCAAAGTTACATCCTTTTAAGGGAGTACGATACAAATCAGCCTTCTTTCATCTATTAGTCGATAGACTGAATTTAGGATTATTTATAATAATTTTTAGAAATCACAATAATTAAATGATTGCTTCAAACACACGTTCATATTATTTCCTCTTTCGCTTCTTTTGATTTAATATTAACATTCGTATTAATACCTCATTAAACACTCTTGAATAATTAAAACACGAAACATCGCAGTATACTTTTCTTTTTTCTCTTCGTCAAACCGATAATGTAATGCAGTCTTTTCAAGCAAATGCCAATTCTGATATCTAATTCTGATGTACTGTTAGACTTGCAAAGATTTATTTAGCTTCAAACTCTTGTCTCTGTGTATTTCCAATTTTATAAATTAAGAAGTATAATCAAAAGTATAAATTGAAAGACCTTAGGTCTCTTAATATTAAAGTTGTGGAAAAACACGCTTATACAAATTATTTTAAAATCGTCATTTACAGACGTGATAGTGAGAGATAAAAAACATTTATCGTTTAGAAATTTATATGTAAAAAAAAAAACACATCGTTATCTAAACATAAATTACGGGCAACTCTATGTAGATAGATGTTAAAGATGTTATAGAAAATATCATTGTTAGGAAAGTTACGATTCATCTAATTTCTCTTTTCTACTTTAAAGCGCCAACCAGCCACTCTGGATTTTCTCCACAGAGTGGCTGACTTTTGAAGGTGTAATAAAATATATTATTTTTATGAAACTATACAAACCCAATCACGATAATTTCGTATAATTTGCACATATACATAGAAGATACTGTAGATTATTGTTTTATATTCTATATGAGTACATTGATATTTCTCCATCATTTCTATTAAACCCGTGGTGTACACTATGTACATATTATTTTCGTATGCAAGAATTTTCTAATATCTGTATATATGACAGAACTAAGTGCACAAGAGAGTTCTGGTTTTCGTCAAATATACAGAGAAGAGCGAACTGTGGAATACTCTAAAATGTACATTAGATGTTTACAGTTCTTACATATTTACCAATTCCCCGTTCTCTTCGTCTTCTGTACAATTATTACTATCGTTATTATTCTTTTGATAAATTCAGTGACTCTTTAACTTATCACTCTTTATTAGTTAAATGTTCTCTCCCTGCAATTCGTTAATACTTACAATTCGTATTGTTTCTTGTTCGTTTAAGTTTATAAGTTTTATCATGTTTAAATACAATTATATAAGTATATAATCAGGCGAACTTATGAAACACAGGTCGTCAAATACAATTTTTACTTGATTAAATTACACTATCATGGCAGTGATACAGAAAACTAAATCCTGGCTCCCCTCTACATAAATTAATCTACCTAATTAAGGTTTCTGTGTCTCCGGTATCGATTAATGTAGAACGTTCAAATAATGTACAAAACTATTCTTCCTTTCCGTATTTGTTTCGCAACAGTATACTATCTATAAATTATTAGAAAGTGTGTTAATTCATTCGGTTTCATCGAAGTCTTACTTGATAAAAGATACGTAAATGACTGCTCGCAATACTAAAAGAAATATACAAACATACATTTGCACTTCTTTTTAGTAATAAAAGAGAAATAAAAATAAAAATATTTTCAATTAAAAAAAGTATTGTACATTGTATTAATAATAATTGCAAATATACGCACAGGGACAAGTTGAATGTTCTAATCGAAGAACTTGATTAATTAAGACGGGTCTTTCGTTATATAAATTACCTAACTATAAATGGATCTTGATGTACATTCAATTTTCACAAAGACAGTAGTACTACGCAAAGTTACATCCTTTTAAGGGAGTACGATACAAATCAGCCTTCTTTCATCTATTAGTCGATAGACTGAATTTAGGATTATTTATAATAATTTTTAGAAATCACAATAATTAAATGATTGCTTCAAACACACGTTCATATTATTTCCTCTTTCGCTTCTTTTGATTTAATATTAACATTCGTATTAATACCTCATTAAACACTCTTGAATAATTAAAACACGAAACATCGCAGTATACTTTTCTTTTTTCTCTTCGTCAAACCGATAATGTAATGCAGTCTTTTCAAGCAAATGCCAATTCTGATATCTAATTCTGATGTACTGTTAGACTTGCAAAGATTTATTTAGCTTCAAACTCTTGTCTCTGTGTATTTCCAATTTTATAAATTAAGAAGTATAATCAAAAGTATAAATTGAAAGACCTTAGGTCTCTTAATATTAAAGTTGTGGAAAAACACGCTTATACAAATTATTTTAAAATCGTCATTTACAGACGTGATAGTGAGAGATAAAAAACATTTATCGTTTAGAAATTTATATGTAAAAAAAAAAACACATCGTTATCTAAACATAAATTACGGGCAACTCTATGTAGATAGATGTTAAAGATGTTATAGAAAATATCATTGTTAGGAAAGTTACGATTCATCTAATTTCTCTTTTCTACTTTAAAGCGCCAACCAGCCACTCTGGATTTTCTCCACAGAGTGGCTGACTTTTGAAGGTGTAATAAAATATATTATTTTTATGAAACTATACAAACCCTTTCAATCAATTTCTAGCGTACAGAACGAAATTATTGGCCCGCTTTTAGTTACTAGCCACTATCCGTCGTTTATTTTAAGAATATTTTTGAACATTGCCAATGAATTAATGCAACTACTACAAAAAATTAAATAATCCAAGCGCGAAGAGAAACACGATTTAATTTAATGATTAACATAACTTTAGGAAAGTATGTGTATAAGTACATTTTGTGTTTTAAATAAAATGTTGGTTCAATAGACGATCTATCGTTTTTTTAACAATTAAAATCTCTGAAGAGTTACAAGCAAAAATATTTCAAGACAATATAAATGTATTTTTACATTTATATATAATGACGTTGTTTCAACATTATTAAAGGAAAGTATACAATTTTAGCTTATTGTTCCCTTCCCCATTACTTTTTTTATTAGTTTTTCTTTTATTCTCAACTAGCCGTAGAGATCATTATAGTAATGGACCACGCCCGATTTAATATTACATTTCTGAAGATGATACGCATAAAACGCTTTGTATAGTTTCTTAAAATCAAAGAAAATGCACAAGTACTCGTGTAATTAAACGAGGGATAAAAAAGAATTTGTAACACAACTGTTTGCAATTGTTCAATATAGTCCATTACTATTGTCTTGTTATCTTGATTTTATAAATCCAACTGCATTAACTTAGACAGAACTGACCTGTATAGACGAAGTCAGTTGTTCCGTTTCATTATGTGTTCTTATATTAATAGAAGTTTCCATATTAGTATTATCTATGTCCCCGCCTAGAGCAAGGCGATCGCCGTCCATCAATGGAACATTATTATCTACTGCGACTGAATTATTTTCTACACTATTATTCTTTTTCCTTGCTGAACACCCATTAACATTACCATCGATCTCTGTCGATTCACTATTTAACATTGAGGAACTACCTTTGATGCTCTCCTTCGACGTCGCCTGAGACCCGAGCTTCTTTTCCTTTTCGGACAAGGTAATGTGAACGTTCTTAGACGTCTTACCATCCCGTGGTTTCTTTCCAAGTACTGGGAAATTCGTGATTTTCGACGCAGTCTTTTGATCCTTCGATTGTCTCATCGAACCAATTCTGTTCGGTTCTATCGTTTCCTCTTCCGTGATCGATACAAGATTACTCTTACCTTCGCCACCGGAATCATCTTTCATTTCTTGAATCGGTATATCATCTAAACAAATGAAAAGCACAAGAATGTCTCATTAATCACATAAGAGAAATGCATTTAAGAGAAGAGATCAAAATACTGTAATAATAAGATGCAAAAGTTGCGATGTCTCACGTGAAGCAATAAGTAGTAAAAATTATTATACATAAAGCTTTTTATTCATACTACACGCCATTTATACCGGTTAGACACACGTGTATCGCAACGTGAATGAAATGATTCATGCTTATTGTGAATGAATACTAACAATATTCACAAAGACTTTCAATTTAAGTACTGCGTTGCGAAGAGAAACGAACCAACTTAAGCAGTAAGTAGTAGAGCTATCGGGGTGTATGAGGGGAGGATGGGTGTAAACCTGGGTGATGGCAAAATTCGCTATCTTCGGTGAGATAAACGTGCCGAAACTGCATGCAGCTTTCCCATCATATGCATTTGGATATACACAATAATTTATGCAAGAATCTTTTTTCTCGTAAGAATGGAGGTTCCTCTGAAACGAATTCATCGATAAATGCACAAATTGCTAATCAATGGCAATGTTACGATAGTGTAACAGCTAACTAGCCGCGTGTTCTTTCTTTCGTATTTGCTCGAGAGATTTGTTTTAGATAAATGTTTAGTGATCCTAGAGTGCTGAAAACTGAATCACTAATACCATGTGTTTGTTGACAGAGCAGCAGTCGTATGAAAACCAATCGATTTATTCCCTTCCGAATACGAATTATCCATCGATTCGTGAATCACTTCCCCTAGAAACTGTTCCTCCAACACGCTATACAAGTGCGAACCGGGACCAATTTTATTCTCAGCCTGAATGAAATCAGCGTGCTCTCTCTGTTCCTTTCTCGCTTTAGGATTCACTTTAGTATTCTGATCTTCGCTTTTCTCACACGTATTTTTCTTTGAATGCTCTTTGTTTCGTTTAGGCGAGGATCTGATAGGCGAATTTTGATTACTACACACGCTTCCTCGTCGGGACATATCCAATGAGGAAGAACTGCCTTTTCTCATTCTGGTATCTTCGTCGATCGGAAGTGCTTGCTTCCTATGCCAAGGGAACCGCTTCACGGGGTTGGATACTGTCGGTTGCTGTTCGTTTTCAAGTTGAGTAGCGTTCGCTTCATCCTCAAATAACTTCGCGTCCAGATCGTCTAGCGACACACACGTTTGCAACCAATGCAATTTGCTTAATCTACTGACTTATAATATCTACTTTGTTACTTATTGTTCAAAAGTTTTAGCACAAGTGTGTTCCGTGTGCTCGAAACGTACACGATTTTTAGGATCTCTCGTACATCTAATTAGCTGTACATCTACGCTAGCTTAAAAGTATCGACTAAAGTACACTTGTTCAAGAACAACTACAAGTACTATCCGACCGTCATATCATATTTCTTTACTTAATTTCCTACCTACACGCCTACACACATCATACTCATGCGTATTTTCCCTTTACCTCTGGTTTCTAATATTCGTTCGTTATCTTTAGCGTTATGCATATATCTCAGTGCACACTAAACGAATATTGCTATACAAAACTTGACATGCTGAATATTTATAAATTATCCAATTGAATATCGACGTTGTCATCGTTCCAATAAAAAAATTAAAACAAATACTCATTGAAACATCTGACCGTTCAATTAAGCAGATTACACTCCGACAATACTTATGAGTATAGTGTAAGTGTTAATGGAAGATGTACCTGGTAGCTTTTTCGTCCGGAACGAGGCGTTTGTAATCATTGATTTAGATACCGTCGCGGTGGCGGTCGCTGGTGATAACGCAACGCTAATACCTATCGACCCTTCGCTCGGTTGACCTGAACCAAATAATTATTGAATTAAGTACTCGTATAACAGGCTGCAGCCTTTCGTTCGTAATTCGTTATTATACTACCTGACGATCCAGTGCTTGCAGAGTTGCGTATGGCATTTGTGACTAGCATAACGTCTGGATACGTCTCATAACATGCACGATTATGGATATCCTCCACTGCTTGTGTTCCTAAATACCAACAGTCATTATACCTGCCAATATATGTTACTTTCTATTATTAATAGCCTTCACAGAACATACATCCCTAGTACCCATCCTTCACCAGCATATTACTCACATAGCGAAATATACAGCGTGTACAAACTCAAGAAGAAATTGACTGGAGACTGGTATGCGCGGTAAAAGTCTCGGAACGAAACTGGATTCGCTTCCGTACGAGGATCGCTGATGATGTCCCGGTTTCATGAAGCCTTGAGTGACAAGTCTACGATAAATTATTCATATGACTATCACGTTTTCACAGACTCTACAAAAACAATCGATCTCGCTCTTACTTAGTGGCTACTTTGCACAATTGTTCCAGGGCGAATTTGCTTATATAACCGAGTTGCTGGTTGTAAATAAAAAGGAGAGCGGTCATTACTTTTAACCTGTTCTGCGCATTTAACGTTTCGACTTGTTGTAAAGGACCCCAACTAACAAGTTTCGTGTTGCACTCCTCGAATCTGCGCACTGCGCTCTCTGTTAAAGAAGCGGGTGCCAGACTGGCAGGCTACAGAATGGGAAATAATTACATCGATATCGAATCCTTACAGAATTCGATAAAGTCGATTTGTTACAAGATATACGTACCTCATGAAAAATGGAGAGCATGGCAAGTGATGGTAATCTAAAAGAGATTGCTTTCTGTTGTCCAGATTTATCTACTATTTCTAGATTGTACAGGCCAATCAATAACGTTTCTACAGACCTACAGTTCTGTAAAAGAAAACGCTAACTAAAAAGGTGAACACAGAGTCCAAAGTTTAATGTATGCGCATAATGAAAGACAGCAATTAGAGTTCTTTGATACGTATCTCAGAATTTTTGTTCTGTAACGAAGTAAATGACACCGATATTCTACTATACAATTTCATCTTGAATCATAGTTGTTCCGTGTTATGTAACACTAATTTCCATGTGAATTACATTTCATGACTTAGAAGATATTAACAAGATCTATATTTAATTATATTTTCGTTTAATTATACTCTGCTGCCTTACCTTGATGTCACCGTGAGCTGCAGAATTCAAGTAAATGTATACTAACGTTGGTAAGAATTGCAAGGTGAACCTCTGCAATTCTGTTTCACGAGAACGATAAAAATTATACAATTGATCACATACAGTATCCACCAACTATAAAAGATGATATTATTATTAAAATAACAAATGGTAGAAAATTATGGGAACTGTTTCTCAGAGATATGTTACCTGATTATATTTGCTACGTTCTTCTAGAAGTACGTAAAGTGCTCGGACTATTTCATTGTCTTGAGACAAGGTGGTCGCGAAAGAGTGGAGTTCCGATGACGAGACATCTGCACAATCAACTAGCCATTCATTTATCAAACTTTCCGTCATCTTTATTATCCTTTCGCCTATGTCAATAAATCAGGATCTTATTGATGAGAAATTTCGGTATCCAGTATAAACCGTCGAATGCTTTGATAATCATTACACCAATCTCGGGAGCGAATGTAATGTTAATTCGTAAATGTTTCTTCAAATCCTGATTCAGTCATCGGGCGTGCATCCTTGGATCAGTTTTATTTGCATTTGGACTCACGACAGGCTAATGCGGATTGGTTATATTAAGCGGTTTACGATCGACGACTGTGATTGTGTGGAACGTCGGAAACATTGCTTGACGTCGGTGACACGCGTGATCTCAACTTTGATCGTTCAGTTTCTCGTAACAATTTTCGCGCCGACACAGTTGACGAAGCTAGAACTCCGTCAAGATCATACTTGTACATTTTCCAATTACTTCGATGTTCTTCCGAACGGCATTCAATTTTCTGTTACATACACTTACGAGGTTCTGACTCTGACACTTGTAATAAACCGTCCAGATCACAGACCACAGACCATCGAAATTGAATACGTATATCCCTGGTATATAGCCGTATTTAACTGGATATACACGAAACAGAGAAGAACTGAGGGGCTCGCGCTCGGGATTTCTTGATTCCCGTACAAGTGCTCCACCAAAAGGCAAATTCTCGAAAGAATTTATGTCCCAACGATTACACGAGTATAGCCACCTTTAGTATAGTATCTCCTCGGTATAGTAGAGTAAAGAAAGAACCTGCGCAAACGGCGTAAACTAATGTGATACATACGTAAATTGACGTAAAATCAACTTATAAGTTGAAAAATTGTCATTGTTTAGAATTGCAATAAAATCGTTATATGACCATTGAAGTTAAAGAAAATTCGTTCATTGTACAATAGAAAGTTAATATTTAATATCAAGTGGTGAGGTCTAACAATAAGTGTGAGACTAACAAAGAAGATTGAAATGTGCAAACTAAACAATTACTGAAATTCAAGCAATGATCTATCGAACCGTGTGATTTATAAGAAGACACGTACGAAACATATCTTTTTGTAAATTGGTAAATAAACATCTGTATATCGTAAGATAAAATGGATGTACTTGCGAAGCTACGGAACACTGTCAGCAATACAATTTCTAACACAGTTCAGAATACTGCTTACGGTTTGTCTCAGTTGTCGAACGTTCTTCCTGGTAATCCTGTAACCAGAGAATTCGAAGTAACTGCTCATATAGCGAGCGCTGGACCATCCTTGCTGTGGAAAGTTTACAGCGGTTATAAGAAGTCTACAAAGCAGGAAGCTGCAATCTTCGTGTTTGAAAAACGAATTTTGGAAAAATTATCGAGAAATGAAAAAGATCTGATCGTAGAAACGTTGAAAAAAGGGGTTGCACAGTTGACAAAGTTACGCCATCCCCAGGTTTTAACTGTTCAGCATCCGTTGGAGGAATCGAGAGATAGCTTAGCGTTTGCAACCGAGCCTGTATTAGCTAGTTTATCTAATATCTTAGGAAATCATAATAACTTGCCCAAACCGTTACCCATAGCATTGAAGGACTATAAGCTGCACGACGTCGAAATCAAGTATGGCCTTCTACAGCTTGGAGAAGGCCTCGCATTTTTACACGGAGACGTTAAACTGCTCCACAGAAATCTGTGTCCAGATACTATCATTGTGAACAGTCACGGGGCATGGAAGATTTTTGGATTCGACTTTTGTGCTCTGAATCAAAGTGCAGAGGGTAAACAGTCTCAATGGTCGTACACAGAGTACGACGTTACTGCTCCGTTCATGGCACAGCCGAATTTAGATTTTCAAGCGCCAGAATGCATTCTAGCGAGTAGCGTTAATACAGCGAGCGATATATTTTCCTTGGGAATGGTCGCGTACGTTTTACATTCTCCGACGAATGCACCTCTTCACGAATGCAACAGAAATTTCTTGAAGTGCAAGCAATTCTTAGAAAATTTCAAGAGTTCGAGCATCGCCGACAGACTTCTTCCAATTCCGGAAAGTCTTCGAGGCACAGTTAAATTAATGCTGAACCATAATCCCGAACTGAGACCAGATGCTCACCAGTTCGTAAAGATCGAATACTTTATGGATATAGGTGTGAAGACGCTCAACTATTTAGACAAAATATTCCAGTGGGATAATTTACAGAAATCCCAGTTTTACAAAGGATTGCCACAGCTTTTGAAGCAGTTACCGCACAGAGTTATACTTCATAGAGTTCTTCCCGCTTTGTACAAGGAATTGGTCAACCCCCCGATGATTCCATTCGTATTACCTAGCATAATTTATGCAATGGAAACGTGTTCTGTAGAAGAATTCCGAGAATACGTTCTACCGAACATTAAACCTGTCTTAACGCTAGACGACCCGCCACAGATCAGTCTTGTACTGATGCAACACGCTGATTTACTATTAAAGTTATGCACGACGGAAGTAATAAAAACGGACATAGTCCCGATGTTGTTACGCGCTTTAGAATCCGACTGGGAACAATTGCAAGAATTATGCTTGTCGGCTTTACCCAACATCATAACGATGATCGAAGGACCAGTGATTAAAAACGCATTTTTACCTAGAATGAAAAAAATTTGTTTACACGGGAAGGGAAGCAATAAAAGTCTCGGCGTTCGAGTGAACTGTCTGCTGTGCCTTGCAAAGATGTTGCCTAGTTTCGATCGATGGATCGTCGTCGATCAAGTTTTACCATTCCTTCAAGAGATTCCACATTCAGGCGAGCCCGCGATTCTCATGGCGATCATAGGTATTAAATTAGATCAAGGTGTCGGTACAGAATTGAAACTAACTGATTATGTTTATTGCCAGGTATTTATCGAATGTTACTGAATCACAGTAAACTGGGAGCAAGCAAGGAGATACTTGCGACGAAGATTTTACCGTTCTTGTTGCCACTGTGCATCGAGCAAAATTTCAGTTCATCTCAATACGAAATACTTTCGAGCCTCGTTGTCGAAATGATAAATCGCGTGACGTCGGAACACAAAGAAGCTCTGCGACAATTAGATGCTATGCGTCGTGAGACGCAACAATTGGATCAAGAACTTTCCCAAACTTCGAACGCTTACAAACGGATCAATGCGACCAGCAATGATACGAACATAATGCCTGTAGTTTCTGCTTCTAATTCGACTACAAGTTTAAAGTCGCTACAGATCGAAAACGGGTTGACGATGGAAGATAAGTTTCGGTACGTAATTAAAAATTTTGAGAAGCCACTTGAAATGCTATAGTGTCTTTTTTGCAGATTAATACAGCAGCAAGAGGTACATCAGAGACTGCAATCTCAAACGCCGTTAATGCCAACAGTCGTTCAGCCAACTGCGAAACCTCTGGTGAAAGATTTGACTGACACTTTAATGAAATCAAATTTGGATCAATTGAATCTTTCCATGTCGAGTCCGAAGCCTGATTATACATGGAAATCAGCGATCCCTAATCAGCATCCAACGTTCAGTCCGCAAGGAATGAATATCCAGTTGAATCAAAGAGGAAGTACTTACGTTCCTAATACAGTTATACCCCGAAATAATATTAACTATTCAATGAACCAAGGAAATCTTCCGTATACTCAATTACAGTTCGATTCGACCGTGAATTCGAATTCCAAATACGAGTTTGGTTCGAATATGAACTCGAATTCAAACCAAAATGTACAAAAATTGTCTTGCGACGAGATGATGGACCTTCTTAGTTAATAATTCCTTTTACACACTGTAGAGTATAATAATTACGTTTATTATTAATCGTAATCAATTTTATTAAAAATGGTCACGTTATTGCAGTTCTATTAACCGTTCATTCTCGTTTTCGTTATAAACTTTCAATGACCGCATGTATTTTATATTAATCGTGACTGCTAGAAGTTACATCAAACAGCAGCTGTTCCGTTTTTTAAATGAATAATACTATTCATAAATAATTGGACAAAGTATTATGCAGGGAGATAATTTTGTAAAGTATAGAATTCTTGTTTAATGCGATTTTATTATTTATTCATATTGTTGCACAGCAATAAGTATTTTAACGTGAAATATTACAAACTATAAAAGAACTTTGTAATTTTAGAGACCACGGATATTCGTTCGCTGTAAACATTAATTAAATGTATTTATCAATCTGTTTTGGTATATGTAAAAATAAATATTCAATCAACAATCTAGTTAAATCGTTTCCTTCAATTTACCCTCGTGTTGCATCATACACGTACGTACATATATACAAAAATGCGTGTAGAGGAGCGAAGCAAGAGAGGAGAGGAGACATCCTCCTCAGTCTCAGCCAGCCCTCGTATATACTGTAAATATACGGCTGGAAACACGTGCTGATACATTCATAGAATGTTGTGGAGATTTTTAATGTTTAATAAATAATACATGTGTTGTGAATAATATAAATAATAAAACATTCATGTAACGATTCGGAGGAATTCATAAATGACGAAAAATATTTACGTTGCACAGTAAGGTTAAATAAAAAATTACGTTTAATCTAAAAAAGTAGTGACTATGAAAATATAAATGTAGGAATCAATAGTTTTTATATAATGAATGTGTAAGAGATTCGATTTGATTCCGTTAAAATCGTTTCGTTGTTCAGTATAAATAATTCTTTCTATGCTTTTTTGGTGATGTTTCATTGTAACACTCGGATTTTACAAATCGTTACAAAAAATGCTCGTAGCACACACGTGAAATCTAAACCACGCGTAGGATCAACGAACGTTCACAATCTAATAGCAATGCATCAGAAGAAGAAATTGAAAAAGTTCCAATCGCACTTCAGTGCGAAACTAAAGGTATTTTTAAACATTTTTTAAATGTTGAACAACTGAAATAGTTATGTACTTTAAAAACAGGTCATTGGGAGCGGAGCACCAGGAATCCCAGCTTGCCTCTACCTTATATCGGACCACTCGAATTATTTATTTAACTGTGGAGAAGGTACTCAGCGTTTGAGCCAAGAGCATCATTGTAAATTATCTAAAATAGATAATATATTTGTGACCCATCTCACATGGAAAAATATTGGAGGGATTCCTGGCTTGCTTTTAACAGCACAAGACAATGGTTTGACTGCAGTGAACATTCACTGTTCCGAAGGAATAGACAGTTTTGTAGAAATAACTAAATCGTTCGTCAATTTTCCAAGTCTGAAGATTTCTTATCCTTTCAACAATGGATCGAAGGTGTACGATGATCACGTGATGTCAGTTTCTTATGTTCCCATAATGAAATCTGAAAAATATGCCGAGGAAAGTTGTTCTGATTTGTATACTAAAAATATGTATCATACAAATGTAAATGGTAAAAGAGTTATCGATGAGAGAACGCAAGAGGAAGATGGGAGAACGGAAAAAAGAATGAAAGGCATTTCACGCACCATGTGTTTCATCTGCGAGGTACATCCGAAGCGTGGGAGACTGTTACAGCAGAAATGTATAGATTTCGGTATAGCACCCGGGCCTCTTTATGAAATGTTGAAGAAAGGATTGAACGTTGTTAAAGAAGATGGAACAATTGTTCGTAGTAAAGATGTGTGCGACCCAGATCGTCCTAAAGTCACTTTTATAGGTATTTAATACATTAAGTAGAATAATTATGATCAACTAGTTGACATATTATTATTAATACGGTAACATAATTGTTTAGTTGCCGAGTGCCCTACAGAGGAATATTTAGATTCGTTCGTCAATCAACCTGCTTTTTCCAAATATCAACAATCGACCAACGAAGAGGATAAAGTACATTGTATATTTCATTTCACTCCCGAGAACGTTTTCAACAGTGAACGATATCAAGATTGGTTAAATAAATTTTCGGGAACCGAACACATCATTTTAAATGACGGGAACTCTTGTATGGGCAGCGAGGCTGTTCACAAAAATCAGTACATGTTGAACATGTTGCATCCCGAGATATTTCCTTTGCTCAGCAAGGATTGCTTTACGGAGGACAAGAAGGTAAGATATCAAATTACAGATTGTACGTTCCGACATTGATATGTTCCATTTTGCAGTATTAAATAATTTCAGGTCGACAATGATTGTATCCATCACGGTAGAGCAATGCAAACGATCGAAATACGACCAGAACCGAAGCAGTTGATAAAACCCCAATTCCACAATCCCGCACAAACGTACATCGACGAGATCCTGCAAATTCCTGCGCTCGCAAATGTCCTGGAAGAATTGAAGGCGAATATTGCTAAAAAATCGTCCGAACTTAATTTGGATAACATTCCAGATTATCCGAGGATCGTGATGTTAGGCACTGGTTGCAGCGTACCAAATAAAGTTCGAAATACGAGTGGCATTCTTTTGCGAATTACCGAAGACAGTAGCATGTTATTAGATTGTGGCGAAGGCACTCTTGGCCAGCTAATTAGGTTTTACGGAATTTCGAAAAGCAACGATGTTATGCGTAGCATTAAAGTGCGTATACTATTCATCATGCATTTGATACAAGCTACTCTTTTATAAACTCTTATTTTTAGGCCATTTACGTATCGCATATACACGCAGATCATCACTTAGGACTTATTGGTTTACTGCTCAGAAGAAAACGCGTAACGAACGACACGTTACATTTACTAATACCGAAATCTATGATATCGTGGCTGAACTTTTACAACGATCAGTTTGAATCGATCAATCAGCAATACACAATAGTGAGCAATTCCGATTTATATCTGAATCATCACCAGTTACCTGTGACTATTGAGTCTGTGCTTTACAACGCGTTAAACGTTAAAGAGATCAATACAATTTACGTGATGCACTGTAAATACTCGTTTGGTATCGCTATCACTCTCAACGACGGCAAGAAGATTGTTTATAGGTAAGGCAATTTGATACGTGTAATAATGTTCGAAGTGAAACGAAATACTATTCCAGTGGTGATACCATGTTCTCCCAAAATCTCGTACAATTGGGACAAGATTGTGACTTGTTGATTCACGAGGCCACGATGGAGGACGGCCTTGAAAAATTAGCAAAACGTAAATGCCACGCGACGACATCGGAGGCAATCAACGCTGGAAAGTTTATGAACGCAAAATTCACATTGCTGACGCATTTCAGCCAGCGTTATTCGAAGATCCCCGCGATCCCGGAGAAAGAGACGAACGTTGGACTCGCTTACGATAATATGGAGCTAAAATTACCGCAATTACCTCTGTTGCCCCTTTTCTATCCCTGTATTAAAATAATGTTTAACGAGTACAACAAAGTTATAGACGGATAAAGATTCTGACGAGCAGTTGTAAAATAAACAATATTTTGATAATGATCACACATTTCTGTTTACGTGAAATGATCAAGACGGAATGTTCAATAGCAGAATTTATTGCTTACATAATACATTTACTTTATCCCGCTTTCCTCTGTATGATAAATAATATAAATTATACAGATAGTTTCGCCGAAGTAACGACTAATCGTCTCGAGTCTTGTTTATGTATATAAAAAATAGAGAGCAGATGAAAAAGTATGAAAAGGTAAAAAGCATATCGAAAAATAATTTTTCTCTTTTCTTACAAAAAGGGAAAAATTTTCACTTATAAACTACATCGATAAATTACACGCCCGCAGAACATTTCTAATAGTAGTGTATGATTTTTCGTTATGCGATTTATGATTCGGGCTCCGAGATGAATGAGATTATTTTTCGTTGAAACGACCATTGCACAGCGAACGGAATGTGAATTTCTTAAGTAGAAAAAGCGTGTTGTTCAGATTAATTCGATTATTGCATCGATTTTTCTTAAAGGCATGTACACTAGATAGCAATTATGTATATATATGTACCAATCAGGTATTTGTGCGTGTTTTTATATTAGTACCTGGCATGTATAACTCGTCAAACGATTGCTTTTATCAACTTGTTGATATACTTCAAAGTATGCTGTCTAGTGTTCGGATGCTGTAGAAAAATTCAAATATTAATTAATGTTAATATATTAATAAAGACTAGAAAGCTGATCTTTTAAACACTTAATCGATCGGCTACGTTGTTAGTGTCGATTAGTTCGTTTGTCGAATTAAATTAAAGCTTTCTCACTAATCAAGTGAAACAGTTGCCAATTATAAAAATTTTATCAATTGTTAATCGAAGGATTGCAACTGGAAAATTCGTTGTAACGGAGAGTCACCAATCGGTCAAGTGTTGAATAAAAAATAAAAAATAAATAACATTTCAAATAACACACGTAAATTAAAGTTTGTCAGTTTTAATTTATACAATGAAATATTGCTTGATTGTTCTTTGTTAAGTGATGGACCGTGTTAGATCTTGGTTTAAATTATCACGATGTAATAATCGCTAATTACTCTGCAAACATGCGAATGATCAGTCTTATACGATATTCCGTGTGGATGCAGTAAAAATTGTAGTCAAAAGTGTAAAAAAGTTGGAAAAATTAATTCGACGAGGTACTTTCTAATTAAGTACTCAGTAGGAGCTCTCCCCGTATTTTGTAAATATTATATTAGATTATATTCAAAGCTATAAAAAGGGGCAGATGGATTCTAGCCGTGTTCTTTTAAACGTTTCATCTAAAGTGTTCTATTCCAGCTTCTTAATATATTTTTCACTAACAATATATACGCGTAAGTAAACCCTGTAACAAACTGTTTGATAATATAACGTTAAATATTACAGTTTTAAATATAAAACTCTAAAAAGCATACTTGTAATATACCGAATCGATGAAATCTTAAAAGAACACAACTCGGGATATTCGTTTGGGTGATTAAAATTCCCATTTCGTTGCGGACTCGTAATCTGTGTCTCCAAGACGCAGCGCTCCGTTCTTGCCTGCGGTGAGATATCTGCCGTCCGTATGTTTGATACAAATGCGAGACGGTTCCCGCAGTTCTAAGTAGAAGCCGTCGGAAGGTATGTCCGAATCGACGGTCACTCCTTCGCTGTCCGCGTGCCAGTATTTGCCGTTTTGACCTGAAACGCAAACGCAATTCATGCATTTGAACAGTTAGTCCTCTGGGAAATTTCGCAATATGAATCTTACCTTTAAATCTGACGATTCCACGCTCGCATCTTTCTACTCTGATGGTCTCGTAGATCGCTTTGTTGCATTCTAATTTTGGACTCGCCGAGCTCTTAGGTCCTACGAATCCTTGTTCACACCGTAACACTAAAACGGGCCTGTTCATCAAGTAGAAGTAATATTTGCTGGTGTCAGAGTCCAGCCCGTTCACGGAATCCGCGTTTGCGTAGAGGTGTCCGGAGCGCTTCGTCGCCAAGAACTTGCCGTTGTTGGCACGTAACGCGACCGTACCGTCGTCGGACTGCCATATCAAATCGAACAAAGCGTTGGAAGAACGCTTGTGCTCTGATGCCTGAATTCCACCTCCGGCTTCGAGACTCCAGTAACGGTCCTGCATGGTGCGCACATACCATCTCTTAGTCACGCGATCGAATTCGAGTTGGAAAGTTTCGTGCCCGGAGATCTCGTCTTGGTTGGCTGTCACGTCGACTCCTGTAATTAAAATCATTAAAAAGAATTTAATGAGTGACGGGAACTCTTTGAAAGAAAAATCCTCATAAAAATAGTTTGAAAAAGGGTACCTTGTTTCACAGATACGTATCGTTGATTTAACGCGGCAACAAAGGAGGCCTGCGGTAACGACTCTTCTAGGGAGAACAACTCGTCTCGCGTTACAGTCGTTGATCTCGATTTCAGGACTGCCTTACTTCCGATGGGTGCCAAATACGCTCCGTACAGATCTCTTTAATTAACATTTCCAATAATAAAATTATAATCTGAACAATGTCATAATACGAAAAGACGTGCACGATATTAAAATCAAATATTGACAAGACTCACCTGAGTGCAAGTAGTCCGGCGTGAAATTCGGCGGCGTAAAGACAGTCTCGCGTACAACTGTCTAACAGTTTACCATCGCGCGCGAGATACTTATTGTTGCAAGTATGTAGAGCGTAATGACCACCCACGAATTTATCGTGGCTATCATCTTCCATCGAGGAAGCTCGGAATTCTAGAGTGAAGAGGGTATCCTCCCCCCAAGGAACTGGTGCGTCTACGTGAATCTCGTCTTGTGTCGCGCTCAAGTGAGCGAATCGTTTTCTCCCCGCAGATTTCAGATTCACCTAAGTACATTTTCGTTTAGACCATCTAATTCGCATTCGTTAAAATGATTTAATCGGAGATAGGGGAAAGCTTACTTGAGGCCTAGCGGCAAGGTGTACAAGCCAATATTCTGCTTCACCCGGAGCTTTGGCTGTGCATTTCAGTTCATCCTGGCTAGAACCCAGGAAATATCCTCTCTGAATATTTTTCAGAGCCCATCGTCCGCTTCCTAATTTTGTTAGAGAATATGCAAAACGTTTTATTTCAAATATTCTGCGGTATATTTAAAAAAAGAGAGAATTAAAAATTGTAAGTACCATCGGAAGCAAGTTGGATTTGAAATGCGCAGCCGGGATCGCTGGGATCCTCCGCCTCGCACGTAACATTTCCAAACTGATCGACCGCTAAGTAACGGTCTAAATGAGATCGAAGGTAAACTTGTTGTTCGCTACCCTCTAAAGTCCATAATTGTTTCTTTTTTAAACTGGACCCGTTTGCATTGATTTTGAATCCAAAAGTTTCGGCAGTCAGGTATTTGAACTTTCCATTTATTAAACCGACCTGCGTAATAAATCGGACGAGCGTTAGACAATCGGACATTTGAAAAATCGTAATTAGATCGTTATTTAATTAATAATTACCGTCCATCCGGATTTTTCGATTGTGCCTTCGGAACCAACATTTTCAGAACCGTTAGCCTGCATTATATCAATCGGATTCTATCTAGTTACACGCGTAGCGAAAACCGTTCGAATTTCTTCTGTAACCAAAGGCGAACCGTGCGTAAATATGTATAAAGCTTCTCACTTTACATGAAGCATTACGTTCCTCAGCAATAAATTATATATATCGTTCCACATAATTCTCAAAAGTGATCTAATTATTTCCCATTCTGTAATCGAGGCGCGGAAAATTGTTTCATGCTAATATAAAATTTGTTAATCTTCAAAAATACGATTTACGTTCTTAACTCGAAGTATGGATAGATACAAATAAATACTTTTGTCCTGAAATATTTTTTCTCCCAACCGACATTTTATTTTCATCCCTCAACTTGGTGAGTCATTTCTACGTGGTTTCCGGCTGGGTGGGGCCAACTACCACACTAGGAGAGTGTTAATATTATCGTTTCGTCCTTTATCTACATCTACAAATAAACACTACTACCTAATTAATTTCTTCATTACAATCAACGGCCAAAATTGATCAATTTCTTTTTTCATTTTACAAATTCCAATGCCCAATCTAACCGATTTTAGCGTTACATAAAATAGACATTCAAAATTATCAACAAGACTCGGTTATTTAAATGCTTTCGATGCAAAATTAATAAAATGAATTTACATAACAAAATTCCTCTTTCGTTAATGTGCACAGATTTTTTAACTTATCACGTTAAATCATGAACAATATTTAAACATTAAATACTTTCGTTCATATTAAAAATTGTCAAAAATCATCGTAATTAAAATCGTAAATTAAATCAGAATTTCATTGTACATTTCGTATCATTACAAACAATAAAGATTGTACGATAAAATTTATGCGTACGAAATCCTTGCGTTTTAAATGCGAATTTTATTCTAACAATTATTAGTCTTTAGTTATTTCATGGAAATATAGAATTGCTTGATGTCGGCATCGGTTTCAAGTAATCTGTAATGTGGAATCAATAACACGTCGGGAGAGCTGGCATGTAAACCCTCGGCTGTTCGGTTCGACAGAAGTATATTTAAATCGAGATAAGTGAATCAATTGGCAGAATCAGTACAGAATGACAGGAACAGTTTCGAACAATTGCATAAACCTTTAAAGTAGGAAATAAGTGAGCAAACGGACAAACTAGTCAGAGTATTTTCGAAATGCGACGATCTTCCACGAACTCTGATTTGAATAATAACTGAATTAAACAGGCAGAAAATATGCATTAAAAGCGTGATTGCAAAGCATAAATTATGATGTTTTACAACAAGTTAACATAATAATCCTAAGTAGGAAGAATGCTTAAGCTTCCATTACATATACTACGTGAACATGATGCGAAAATTTTATGTACCCTTATATATTTGAATTGTAGAATGCTGAGCGGAGACAATCGAAGGCGATATAATGGAAAATTCTTAAGAAAAAAGCGTTATGCACTTGTTACTACGTAGATCTACACTTACCGGATTAAACTGGATGTGTGGGTGCTGCTATCGCGGAAATACTAAAAACAGGCCGAGAACAATGCGGAAAGCAAGCAAGAACGAGGCACAAACGACGAATTATAGACGTCACAATAAAGATACTCGGCGACTGACTTGACTCGGTTGTTCTCCTCCGTTTGTGTTAAGGATCCCTCAGGACTTTTAACGCAGGCGCAATATCCGATTGAACCGTGAAGTTCAGTGCCGTACACAAAACGCATTATCGTTAAATCGTTATTCTAATTTTTATCGTCATCATCTTCGTGTTAAAAAAATGTTTCGAAATGTGTACCGACGCGTATAGAGTAAAATGCAATATCGACGATTTCTCTTGTGCGAGGATACGACTATTAAGGTTAGAAACACGATGAACGTGATTGCCCTGGGTCTTTTGATTTACACGTCCCTGTAAATCGTGCAGACCATCACGCGTGCGCTGGTTTAATAAGGGGGCCGTGAACTAGAGGATATAGAACGAGGGAGTGGTGGGGTTTACAGCATGCATCGAACTGTCGACTTTCCCGAGGACCGTGAACCGCAGATCGACGACCCTATTTTTGTGATCGCCGTTTTCCCAATAACGTCCCTCTCGTCTCCTCTAATTTCATCCATTTCTTTTCCATGAAACTCTCACGTAGATACAAACGAAGGTTTTCTTAATTAATAACGTGAACCTCGTTAAAATAAATTTGTTCAATTAAATTCTGGTCATGCCTACGTACCAAATCGATATTTAAAAAATAGACAATCGATAAGCATTAGGTGGTCTTGTAACAATGTTCTTCGCCATTTCTAACCGATAGGATATATAATCCTGTAATAATTAATATAGGATGTATGAGATTTAATCCTAAATACGAACGATATCTGAATTCTCTCGTCGAAATATTTTATTGTACATAAAAAGAAACCGCGAAACAACATTGTAAATCACTCCCTTCGTCACGTATTAGAAGCTTACGCGTGTAATTAGTGGTTCAATCTTAATTCGTTAGACAATTTACAGTTAAGTGATATACAGTTACTCTGTCCTATTTATGTTACGATATAGACTATCTGAAATAATCATCATTTCCGAAGGCAATTTATGATTTAAGTTTTGGTTAACGGTCCGTTTAATTCATTTTACATAGGAGATACGGTTCTTAAATACTTTGCATTCTTTCGTACTATTGTCTTTTTAATTTTATGCTGGAGGTATATAATTCGATTATTCCCAGAAGAGTACTTTGCTGAGTAATCAAAACCCTTTGATATTTAACATTGCATTCTCATTTACTTCCAACGAATGTAATTGTTAATTGCCCGAACTTTCGTAACTCGATACACATCGAATGTTATTTGATTCTATAATGCTGTCATCGAGAAAATCGCAGAAAAGCAGACTGTTAGAACAAGTACAGTGTGTGTATCTGTATTAATCAATAGTTACAAATACGAGTCTCTACTTCATTCAGGATACATGAAACTTTAAAGCGTATCTAACGAGGTTTACACTGATTTAATTCTCAAATCGCGGACGCAGAACAATTCTAAATTTCTTTCAATCAATCCAATTGAATTGGAGATTGGAGCCCCATTGAAATAATTAAAGGCACATTGTTAACGAAACAAATGGTTATAATACGCGTGGACAAATTTTCTACGTTGCATAAAACTGTTTCATTGGTCGCAGAATTCGTTTTGCGATAACCTAGATGCGTTTAGCAATGTCGTCGAGGGAACTGTAACTGTTGAAGAGAAAGGAAGAATAAATAAAGAAGAAGATGCCTGAAGTTCGTTGACCGTCAAAGAGGAGTCAGGAGCGTGACTGAAACCGTGACTGTGATCGTTATCCTGATCGCAGCCGTGGTCGTAACCATGACCGAGTTGCTTTTAAGAATCCTGCGCTTCCAAAGTTTTGCGTGTTTCAGAACATGTACGATTATTCGCGAATGTTATAATGCATACAACCCATGCGTATAAACGTTTAATTCTCATATCACATAAATATATCTACTATATAGTGTGCAACGTGTCCATAAGTCACAGTTCTATGCACGTACTCTGTCCAAAGATTAGCTGTAAAATTCTTTATACATTCAAATGGAAATGGTTTCCTTTTATCGGAAATTGTACTTTACATTTGTAACGATCGTTGCCATAACACTGAGTATAATAATCTATCAGGTATAACTTACAACACTGATCTTCTTGTTAAATTACATATTTGTAGTAATTGAATCTCAAATTTTTTAATTAATGAGCTTATTAATTGTCTTCTGAAATCACGGTCAAATTAAAACTGCTGATGTTATCAATAGGTGTATCTAGTTCAAAATAACAGCACGTTATATCGTTCAGGTATATGCACTGTGTTTCAATTAAACGTTTCTGCTTGTACGAAACGGACACATGGAATATTAACGTATGCTCATATCTTTTACAATTTTTTTTTAGGAGTGCCCATAATTTTATGGTGGACTCCTTTCGGAAACGATGGAATTTCAAGGGATTGTGGGAATTACCAATGTTACTTTACAAGCAACAGGTCTTATCAATATCATAAGGAGATAAAAGTAAAGTATATTAGGTATTTTTAATTGAACGAGTTAGAAATCGATCCATTTCGTTTACAAATTAATGTTATTTTTATCGAGTACAAATTAGCTTATTAGAAAATTAATTGATCGATCAACGTCAATCGTTATAAACATTCAAGTATTAAAAACATGTAACGTGTTCGTATCTCTTCCTTAACTAAATGGAATTATCATTACGAACGGACATTATTTTCATTTTCAGAGTTTTCTCTTTTATGGTAGCAATTTTCAAGTTGGCGATTTACCAAGCTGGAAATCTGACAAAGTTCCATGGGGTTTGTTTCACGAAGAATCGCCAAGGAATAATCCGATATTAGTTCACGATGAAACTCTGAATCTTTTCAAATACTCTTCGACATTTAGCAGATTTAGCGATGTACCTCTTACTCTCGTAGATTTACCTGGAATCAGGGAATTGTTAGGTGAAACATTTTTCGATTGCTAATGGAGACAAACATTTATTTCACGTTCTGTAATACAAGAGTATACTGTTGTTCAGATAGAAAACATTTTGTACCAACGAAAGAGAAGAGCAGATTGATACGTGAAAAGAATTTGGCGCCGTTGCTTTATATACAATCTGACTGTAATACTGCAAGCAATCGAGATGTTTATGTAGCTGAATTAATGAGGCACATAAGAGTCGATTCGTACGGGACATGTTTAAACAATGCTCAATTCGATAAAAGGTAGAACGTTTCTATAAAATTTCTTTACGTATGCTCTGGATCTACGTATAACACATAATTATAATTTAGACTGAAAGAGAATTACCTTGAGGTACTCAACAGTGAAGATTTTCTTTCTTTTATCGCCAATTACAAATTTACAATAGCTTTTGAAAATGCAGTCTGTGACGATTACATTACTGAAAAATTGTGGAGACCTCTTATCATTGGATCTGTACCTGTATATTATGGATCACCAACATTCAAGGTATTAAAATCTCTGGTAAAATTTTTCATTTAATCGTTTGAATCACAGGCAAAAAGACATATATACACATTTCTTTCAGGATTGGCTTCCCAATAATGAATCTGCTATTTCAGTGCACGATTTTGAAGGTCCAGCAAGCCTGGCCAAATTTTTACAGAACCTTTCTGATAACGAAGTTGAATATGATAAATACTTATCGCACAAATTAATCGACAATTATAAAATAGATAATGAAAGATTAAGAAAAGCGTTGAACAGAAGGGAGCAATGGTCTTCTAACGAATTTGTCAATTACGTCGAAGAATTCGAATGTTTCGTCTGCGAACACGTACAGATGACAGAAGCAACAAAAATTGTCGAGAAGAAGCATTACGATTGTCCATTACCAGAAAATCCATTGACGAACAAACTCGACGATTCGAACTGGTGGACGCAGCAATGGATTTTGGAAAAGTGCGGTGCGAAAATCTTAACTCATCATGTGCGAAACAATTTTACAATAGATATAGGCAATTTTGAAAATGACAAATATAAATTATACGATAAGAACGAATGTTGAGCATGCGAATATTTTTTACGATTAAAGTGTACGTAAATTCTACTTACTTCGAGTAAAGTCGACACATGGAAACGAATTCAGTTCGCAAGTTTATTTTGCAAAACGGGAGCAGAAACTTTCATTAAATCGCAAAGATGATTTCTCGTCGGTCTCAGTTCAGATACCGATTGCTCCCAGTCGGTTTCATTTAATACGACCAATATTTTCATCAAATCTTGTTCTGGTACATCCATTTCCTCCCCATAGAGCGTTAAAGCCTCGTACGTTTTCGTCGCGGCTACTTTTCGTATACATTTGAACTTGTGACAGAGAAAAATGCTCAGTTGACAAAACGCTCTCTTCGCAACTGGTCCATGTATCTAAATCAATTATCACTGTCGATTAAAGTCATCCATTACTATTCTTATTGAACGTGAGAGATATAAATACCTGTAAGAGTTGACAAAATACGTTCATACTGCTAATTAACAACTTAGTGTTACCCGTATTGTGAATCTCTCGTTTAAGTAGCATCAAAATCTGTTCGGCAATTCCGTTCTGCGAATCGTCGAGGACGATTTGAATACAACCGGAACTGAGTAAGCGATCGAGAAAAGCTAGAATCGACGTGATCATTCTTTCGTTCTTGTGATTCTCTTCGAAGATGTTTAAAATCTTATGGCAAAGGCTTCGTAGGCCTTCTTCATCTATCTCTTGTAAATAAGAGAACAAGGAAACACTGGAATACTTGACCTGAAGGAAATAACATATAAATTAAACGTTCATTAATAAATCGAATTATGTAGAGTCAAGTAGAGTACGAACCAAAGATTCACTTAAGCCACCGACGCTAAATATAATTCCTCGCAAAAGGTTCATCGTATAAGGAGGATAAGATAACATTCGAACGAATCGTGGAAAGGTGGCAGACTCCATTCGCCATTCTATATCCTGTTTGCACTCGTTGTAAGGGAAAATATTTTTTAATTCAGCGTGGTATGGAATGTTTGGTAAAGGAGGATGGCTGTGGATAAGAGCGCTGAACACGGTTCCCGCTTGTGCTCGAATTCCATCGATCCTTTCAACGGCTTGTTGCGCGATTCCTCCAATTATATTTGCCATTAGCTCTTCGTCTAACACAGAAAATAGTTTTGCTTGCAACACCAAGTTCGTTAACGTCTAAAACAATTTATAGAACATTAAATAAGAGAAAATACTAAATATGGAAGATAATAAAAAAGGGATGTAAAAGATTTTACATGTAAACCAGTCATCGCTGCTTCTCGCACCCAGGCACCAATATCTCCACGACTGTCTATAGTATACTCTTTCAGAGATTGTAAATAACAGTCATATAAATCGCGAACATACACGCTCCACTTGTCTGAAACATATCATACTTGTTCTTTCGTGCTTCCAAATATCGAAGCTCGTTCTTTAAAAGAAATTACAAACCTGCTTCTTTTGCACCTAGCGTTTGGCAAATCTTGATCAGTGCATATATAGCTTCTTTCCTACTCTCTGCCCATTTCAATGTGCTTTCCGATATTTGTGTACATTTAATAAGTGCTTCTATTATATCCTTCACCCTTTCGCAAATTATAAACAGAGGAAAGTAGCCTGAAAAGATAATTAATAACTGACGTATGTAAAATTAAAGAGAGACCAATTTCCAGACGGATATATCACCTATGGCTTGTGTGAAACCTATTCGGATAAGTTGATTGTTCGATTGTAAGTTATCTAGGTAACGATTGATAACGATGTCGCGTTCTGAATTGTCCATATTCGCGTAATACTTTCGGAAAAATTCTGTGTGCGCTTCAGCCGCTTTCATTTTCACTGCAAAAACTTCGTGACCTAAACATTCCTCCAGAAGAGTTTGCCAATCATCTGCAACGTTCAACCGGTGTTAATATCATGATAATATTAATGTTTAAAGTAACGTACCAATGATTTCTCTGGAAATCGGGAAATGAACGACGGAACACTTCTTGATCAAAACGGCGCACGCTTGTTTCATCAGTTCACCTCCCAAACCTTTGAACTGTCCTCTTTTCCTAAACGTGCTGACTATATCTTTCACGTCTTCTACAGCCGACGGTCCGATTACGTTTTCGATTTTCTCGTTACAACAATTGCACAACGCTTCGAGAATCTCCGCGATAGCTAATACTGAGCCGTGTCTAACGTTTAAATCAATGGAATCCAGCATGTCCAACAGTTTCGGTAAAACTGTATTCTTCATATAAACTGGATCGATCGGCGTCAAATTGAAAAGAGCTTTAGCCGATAGTTCTCTGATCGCCGTATCCCAATGCGTAACTTTCATCGCGATCAGATGATCGATCAAAGGCTTTGTGTACTCTTCATATTGCGCAATTTGCGAACTGATCTTTAAGTACGCATTGTTTCTAACACCGACTTCAAAATAATCAGCAATAGTAAGTATTTCGATGCCGTGAGGAAAATTTCCCTGCCTTCCTACATTTTCTTGGAACGCTGCGGAAGCAGCCCTTCTACAATTAATTTCCCTATCGAAGCAAGTGACGACCAACAACGTGGCTGCTATTTTCTGAACGTACGGTTGAATTATGTCAGGATCGTACGCTCTAGGAAATGACCAGCAAATGTAACACGCGGCATCTCTGATCGAGGAACCGATCGATCCGTAAGCTCTCAGTTCATCGAATACTAGAGCTTGGAGAACAACTGGTATCACGTCGTTCAATCGATAAGGTAAAAGAAGTCCGCGTCTCCCTAGTTCTGCCAATGCCAAGCAACCACCGTGCCAAGCGGAATCCGATTCTCTGCCAGAAAACACGTTCAACACGAATCCTAAGACGTCATCCGCTAAATCCATCGGTAATCTCGCGGTTATTCTACCGATTCCTTTCGCCGCCGACCATCGTATCGTAATCGCTTTATCTCTGAGGCCTTGTATCAACTGTTCTATTATATCTTCTATCACTGGTGGGATGTCCTGATCTTCATGATTCAATGGAATCTCATTTTTAACATCTTCTAGTATAGTTTGGGTGTTATCAACTTCCATGTTCTTAACATTAGACGCTGCTAGGCAAATAGGTCTGCTAATTCTTTGGTACCTCCACGAAGCCAGTTTGGTTCCTAGTAACACTAGTCCAATTCTCTGTACAACCTTTATACCGTACTTCCGAACGAGATCAGCAGGATTGTCGTTCAGATGAAGTTGCAAGATTTTATCTAAAATCATCTGCGTGTACGGCTTGACATCCTCTCTCGCACTGTGCTTTAATATCGCTGCTATGACTGCTAAGGAACCGTGCCGGAACGGGTCATCCTCTGCACATTGCAAACTCCATTTTATAGTTTCTTCCAAATATAATTTCTTAACATCCGATCGTGTTAGGAAGCTGGCAATTAAAAAGACTGCAGCTACCGCGCAAGCATCCGTTGTCAGGCAATACAATTTGCATATCTTTAAAATTCTGCCTATTATTGACTGCTCTGCACTTATATCTGAAACTTCTAGCCGTGACAGTGGGAAGGGTATCTTTGAAATTATCGACAGCCAAATTAGAAGCACGTATCGGGTTTCCCATGTTTCCACGTCATTTGGATCTTGTTTCTCCAGCATACGCAGAACAGGCAGGAGATCTGTCACCTATGTGGAATCGACAAGTTTAGATCGTGGTACAAAATAATCTGTGTAGCAATCGGGGTACGTACCTCGTGCGGAAGATATGTGACGATGTTCTTGTACGTTTTGACGGACATAACGATAAAGATATACTTGAAGGCATTGTGCCGCATACTTTCTGTAGAACCATCGTCCCTGCAGATACTGATCAGAGGTTGTAAAATATCATCCAAATAAGGATCCAGTAACTGTCTCTGATCCTGATACTGCGATAGAATGAAATTGAATCGATCTCGGTTCTTCTCGATGAGGCTTGAGGAGAGATCAGGTTTCTTCAGTTCGGCGATCAACGAACTGACTTCGTCAATTTCTTTGAAAGCACTGAATCCGCAACCAATTACTTCTGAGTCCGGGCAATCATTCAACACCATTTTTTCTTCGTAACTATATACGTATTATTCGAGAGAGCTTTTGCAATCAAATAAGATTCATTCCTACACTATTCTGTCTTTTTCGTGTTTACGTATGACGCTCGAAAAATGTGGTGAATAGAATCTTTCGAATGATTTCCCATGGAACGATGTCAAATTATGGCGCACGCGTGACAGCCCAGTAACACGCAGCAGTCTTAACCCTTTCGATTGTAAATACATTAATTTAGTTATATCTCTTTATTTATACATTATACGTGTGTATACAATTCGTTCAGAATAAGTTTCATTCGCTTGTTAATTAATTGTGTAAGTAATGAAATCTGTCTTCCCTGACAAGGGATTCATATATGATGGCATGAATCTTTTAATAAAGTGAATACTTAAATATCTTGAGAGGAATATGGGACGTAAGGATGATCAATAAGGAAAATAACATTTATTTTCATACACATAATTAAAACGACAGCAGTACACAGTTGCCAAGCTGCTGGACAATGTATTCTTGACCATCTGCGAGCTTTAGGATGTAAAAAGAGGATTAGGTCAAAAAGACGACACACTTCCACCCTTGGCCACCCTTTACTTTAAGAATAGACTGTATTTATCTGTAATTTTGTTTAGAGATGCATATTTAATAATTTACGTGTATACGTCTGTAAAAGATGATGATTGTACAATTCTGCTTTACACTTGACAATTGAAGCCAAGTTCTTTGCTTATGTCGTTTGTATTCTTTTAAGCAAAATAACAGTTAAATTTGTATTGTAAAATAATTAGAATGGTATGTAGTTTAGATCCATGTGGTATAACCTCAGGCAATAAACCCAAATAAAAAGCACACAGATATCCAGAACTTGTTTTTTATTACATCAATTTACAAAGCTGTCCTCATTTATCATCGAACACTGCGATTTATTACCGTAGAACGTTGTGCATGTGAGAAAACGCGAATGATAAATAAAAATGTTTATACCCACGATCTGAAGGTGCTGCCTGTGGTTCCGTTTCATTGAAGTGGTGGTAGAGCCAAGAAACTGTGTGTGAAGCTCGGAAAAAATGGAGGTCGTAGCTCGATCGAAATCGGGAGCCCGTCTCGTTTGAGAACAGTTAAATAACGTGAATTTCCTGTGAGATAACGAGTTCCTGTCACGTCTCCTCGATTCTTGGTACTTTCATTTATTCATACGTCCAATACTTAATCAGCGGAAACGAATTTTTACGTAATGAAATGCGGGAGAGACGGTGCACCTCCGTCGTGTGCTTTTCTCGATTCGCATGTAGATTTGTAATTTTTATTGAACCCCGAAACGTTCCATTAATTGAAAATAATACTTATCGTCTTTAAGACACATCCCTCCTTCATAGAACTCTTTTATCTCTTAAATAATAGTAACAGTTTTCCGAGTATATTTATCTCTAGTTTGGTGTCATCCCAAAACAAAATTTTTTATAATCTCTTATTAATATAAAACGTACGAGTTCGCATGATTCTCCGATATCTCGCAGCTTGTTTAATTTGCGCGATGTATTAATTATTGCAGATGTTATGAGATAACAGCCGAGGTGCAACGCATGAAACATGAAGTCGATGAAAGCGAAGACGAAAGCTAAAAAGCCAAACGGGAAATTCGGTAAAGTCAAGTTCCCTTCTGTAGAGGCTGCACCAGATTTGTCGCAGCTAAGGCCACCGATAGACACAAGTATTTCAACCTTGTACCGCGTGACCAAACTCCTGGAAAGTGGCAGCGACGAAGTTAAAGCTATTTTGTCATACGAATGCGATCTGATGTACGAATGCCGTATATGCAGAAGCATCTTCAGAAGCCTGATCAATTTAATTTCCCACAAACGTGTTTATTGTAAAGAAAAATTTGATATCACCCGTCATAAGTTTCATGATACTGTACGTCTGTTTTATTATATTTTCATGCAACTACATTTGATTAATTAACTGTAGAAACGAACCAGTAAACTGAGTAAACTGTGTTTATGTTACAGACTTGTGTAAGTAAACTGAATGCTCAAAATACGGAGAAAGTATTTGAGGAACCTAGTGGCAATGACAGGATTTTAAGAAGTCAAACCAATAAGCCAAAAGAGAAGAAAGATCTTACTGCAATTGTTAATATGTTGCAGATAAGACGAGAAGTAAAGTTAGAGTTGAATAATGAACAATCGCCTCTGGACAGTGTGCACTCTGAACCAGCAGTAAATGAAACTACTGAATCCATGCCTTTGGTTCAAGAGTCGACACAAGCAGAGGTGAATAAATGAACGAGTACCAAAGTGTAACATTTTATTAACGCTTGAATCTTCAATATTCAGGGAACAGAGTTAAGAGATGCTAAACAGCAGACTATGGAATTAGATTCAGAAGTTATACAGTGCAATCAACAACTAAATAACAATAGTATACCTGAAGTTAATGGTGGCAGTAGTCTGAATAAGATTGACATTGCCAGAGAGAACGAGCATATTTGTCCTCTATGTACGTATTTGTTTATTAATATGATTTATTTTCTATAGTAACTTGAATCGTTTAATTGTTAGGCTATGAGAAATTCTCAACGAAGAAAACGCTAGCTGTTCATACGAGAACAGTGCATACATCTCACAGATTGTGTTATCCTTGTCCTTGTTGTTCTGTTGTATTTGCAAATACTTGGAGTGCTTATAGACATCTTTACAAAGGTACTGCCACAATAATGCAAGTGTGACGTTGAAATGAATTTAAATGATAGGTCATTCATTAAATTTTTGTATACTAATTGCAGTTCATAAAAAGACTAATGAACAAGTGCGTAAACTGAGATCACAAATTCAACAGGGAGCATTTATCAAGGATACCTCTCCTGCCGTAAATGTACAAAAGGAAAGTGTTAGCAAAACCGTGACGAATAGCGTAAATGATAGAATTAATGAAACGCAGGTACCTTTGTTACTCTATTTCTACTTAGTTTCCATGAAATTCAGTCTGTATAAAACAGTGTTTAATTAGGAATGGATGGATCATCTGGAATCTGACACGGAGTTACAAAGATGCGGGGGTTGCGGGAAAAGATTTGACAGGAGGGTAGCTTTGTTATCGCATTTACAACATTGTCAGATGCGCATCGTGGCGTTCGAAGGCTTGGTCAAAGGCAAAAAGATGAATAAAGCTTCGTCAGATTCTGTTCAAAATGGAAATACATCGGCTAACAACTGGGAGATCCAAAATAACGTCGATGCTCGAACCTCTCCCGCTTCCGTCGAACCCAGTAACAGCAACGTAATGCCTTTTCGCGTGGAAACAGTTGCCAGTTTGAGCAAAGATGAATGGGAAAGATTAAATAATTGCGACGTAATTCCACAAACCGAATCGAACGGAGATGTTTCCTCGAATCTCACAAACGGAACAGAAACTATGGAGGACCTCGTTTTGCCTACTAATGATAACTCTAATTCTTTAGAGATCGTGTACATTAATATAAATAAACGTAAAAATAATGTTGGAAGTAAAAAACGAAAAAATAAGCAGACTCCAAGGAGAGTGGTCAATGATACGTATAAAGGTCAGCAGAATTTAATTGTTAACTTTTATCACTCGGATTTGTATCTGAATAATGAAATATGATATTGAATTTAGTTTCAGCAAACGATAAAGTAAACGATGAACAGATCATAGGAACTGAGCAGCTGGACTATTCGCAAACAATGGAAAAGAAATTACTTTCGATAGTGAATTTCGAAAAGCTTCAGTGCCTTCCGTGCAAGCAGAAATTTAGCACGGTAAATAGTGTAAAGAAACACGCTGCTAACCATATCGGTTGGAATCGTTTCGGATGCAAACTCTGCGACTACAAATGTTTCGCAAAATGTGACTGCGTGGCGCATTGCAATAAGGTACATAATGCTCAAAACAACCGTGTCGTCTTAGAAGACATGATTGCACGGATTACTGATGATCAGTTTATACCTGCGTGCGATCAAAATGTAAGCGGTGCAAACTCGGACGAGGAGATCGAAGACGTCGATATGCCGGAGGTTGTAGAAGTCAGTATTCCTGCGGATCATATGGAACCGGAAGTTCAAATTCGGGAGGAGTCAAGTGAAACAGAATCGATAGTGCGCGATGCAAAATCGTGTGAAGAGGAATCGGTTCGTGTGAACGGTGAAACTGAAGAGAATTCAGATAACAGTATGAAAATGGGATTAGATCCTGAAGTTAAAAAGATGGTGTTGGAAGTTATCTTCGGACCTTCCGAAGTTGACTCTATGGAACAAGCGGAAGCACAGAAGGCGCAACAGAATAAAGAAGACGATGCACAGCCGAAGGAGAAGATCCCGAAGGAAAACGATTCTGTACGAGATAGTTCCAAACCGCAACGTCCTATTCGTAAGAAGATGATGCCCTTGAACAAAGATTTCATTTACGACTTGAAGGATTTAACAATTCGGAAATTTCCTGTGATTTTAAAACCTCGTAACAAACCTCTTAGCAAAAAGTATGCAGTACAGGAAGAAGAGAGTACGGAGAAAGAATTGGAACACCCGGCCAAACGTTTTAAGTCCGGGCACAACGGTGAATTGCCAACTATTTATGAAAACGATATAGGTGAACGGAGTGTTACGCAGGAAGATGATTCGAAGGATAATCTTACTTCTCCTCAGTGCCACAGTTAGTTAGTTAAAAATATATAATCCTAGGAAATCAAATCTGTATTACAGACGATATCCATCTTATGGAAACGAACTTCATTTCTTAATGTTCATCACTTTTTTGTTCTATTTTGTTCGTTCAATTTTCTGAATGAACATTTCACGGAAAATGTTAAACTCAATTCTTTGCTTAACGTGTACAAATTTTGGATATTTATGATATCGAATCATTACTGATTAAATGTAACTCTATTTAATTACATATTCCTATTAAAATATGTACAAACTTTCAGATAAGTTCCAAACGTTTCATGAATAATATTCAAGCTTAGTGTTAAATAAATGAGATTTTGAAATTCTGATCATTTCAAGTTTTATATTGGTTTATACAATTTACTGATTGTGCATGCAATAATTAATATGAAGCGTATTTTTATTGTAAATCAATGAAATAAATTCAAGATACGTTTAAAGACAGTGATTTTACTGCTGTGGAACCTCGATTATCGGAACTAATAAAGAGACGAACGTGTTCGGGCGATAGAGATGTTTGATAATAGAATAACACCACTTATCGCGTGAAACTTTTTATATTTGCATACGTGCTAGCGCGAAAATTTCGAATATAACGTTTTCCGTCTGTCGGCTTGCAACTGGTCAAGAGATCCTCCTATCACGACAAAGTCTTCAGCGTTGGTGGGAGAAGAACCGCGACAGATACCTAGATGGTAGTATGGTAGATGCGCGGCAAACAGTATCGTGCGAGAACGTATTTCTATCTGCTTGTGCTTAGTCTTTACAGAAATCTGTGCCCGCACGAATGACGCTGATAAAACTATTACAATTCGTACTTTCCTATTCCCACGAGGATGATAGTCAGTGACTAGCGGTGTGAAGTGAATCGTTCGCATTAACCTTGTGCATCGTGGAATTTTTCGGCCGGAGTGAATCTCTAGGTGCGGTGTCTGTAAACGTAAGTCATCTGTTCCTTCTCCTCTTTCTTTTTCTATCTTCCGCTAAGGATTTTTCACTTCCTCCTTCTTACCCAATGGAAAAATTACGCTCGACCCGTGTTTTTCATGACGATCTTGATGATTCAGACGAGGAAACTGTGTTTACCATTTTCCAATTCCGTTTAATATGTTTCTCGTATTTGTTTGATGTGTTCAGTTGGTTTCATACACCATGCACGTGTGTGTAAATGTATATAATTCCTCGAGTATATTTAAGTATGAATGTAGGGCAGGTGTAACGTGTAAATAGACAGGGAGATTGATTAATTTCCTTTGATAGTAAATAAATTTTATAGCCAAACGCGACGGAATGTAGTTATCATAATCAAAATTTGCTAATTTTTAGTCTTTGGAAGTTCTCTTCATTTCGCATCCCATCTTTCTCGCAGTTTTCAATGTTTGCCTTCTGATAAACAACATATTGGTATAGGAAGAACTTCTTCGTTATCGTAATCTAGTTTTAGATCACCGTATTTGTACAAGAATTCAAAATTTCTTAATACGTAAACGTACCTTCGTAGTGTAACACGATAGGATCATGGAACGTGAATAAAATATCGTACAATAATTTTAGCATGCCGTATACCACCTGACACTACGTGCTCGTAAATTATTCTATTCGTTTTTCGATCGCTAACTACGTCCTCTGATCTTTAAATGCATTTTAAAGTTTCTTTAAGGAGAAACAAGGAACAGAGCGTTATCCTACTCTTTTAAAAATTCTTCAAACTCAAAGCGAAGAGATTTTCAAGAACCGGGTGATTCATTTTAAAAATAAATAACCGTGATTCATATTTTACTTTAATTTCTAGATACAATTCTTTTTTGTTTGAGTGGATAAGCTATGATAAGAGATGAACCGATTAAGAAAGAAGTAACTTTTGTGGTGAACAACGTTTCCATAACAACATGTGGCATGCACTTTGCACGGCGTCAATGCCCTCGTTGCGTTACATGTCCAAGTCAGTTCGAATAAAAGTTTATTATTAAGGGTAGTTTCGTCCACTGGCGAACAAACAGTACGCATAAAGATTGCAGTAAAGAGAACGATTGATCGTGGAACAGAGATCATTGCTATCGAAAACAATTCATTTGTTATATCGTTTGTAACGATCGTACAATATTTTTACACAGCCTGAAATGCTTTGAAAGCGACGTGATATCCGTTATGTAGGACAGATTCAGTAAAGAGGGCAGAACGCGTACTTCATGAGAAATAATCCATCATATCGATGGTAACAAGGGACGAAGCGGTCGCAGCAGGAGGGAGATGAAATCAGCTGAGCGGCTCACGAAATAATCAGGAAGCTATTAGACCGAGTTACATCGCGGTCCCGTTGCAAATGTCCGCTTTGGTTCTTCTGCCCCTGTACTCAGCCTCGTCATATCATACCACTAATTTTTGTTATCAATGGTCAACGCTAATTGTCAACTGATTAAGACATGTTTCATCATGGTTTGAAACTCTGTCTTTGCGATATACTGAAAGGTGTTAAAGGCTACGTGTAAAACCGGACTAGAATTCAGCAACGTTCATTTGAATCTAATTAGGAATAAATGACGTAAGACAGCGTAGGGCGATAACAAAGTAAAAGTTGAAAATCCGGAAACTAAGAAAGTAGGAAAAAGAATAACGTTTTATTAATTCGCTGCGTTCGTTTCTACGGTTTACGTAATAATTTCTACATGCAATTGAACGTTTTACCGATAGTTTCATGGACTGATAGAAAATAATCTTGAAGAAAAGAACATGTGAACAACATAAGTATCTAAGAATACGTGAACAAGTAAGGCTTATCGTAAAATCTGGTAATATAATCGTGGCCCGAGTAATTCTCACTGTGGCGTAAAAAGGGTTACGTACAATGCAGACACAATGGTTGCATTCGCCTGGAAGGAAAATTGATTCCTACGGGCCTTGGAGGCTCCGTACCTACACACCAAGTCCCAGTGATTCCCTCCGCGACGACGACGGCGGTTTCAGTTCCACGCTGCGTGGAACAAAGATGCAACATTTGCCTCGTTCTCATTAATCAAGTTACATACTTTACTTCAAAGGCTCTTGGATTCGAGTAACTCGAAACTACACACGCAGTCAATGTGAACCTGTTCTGTCCTCTCAACTGAAATGTCCTCTACCCAACTTCCAATGTACTTGAAACGTTGTTCCGTTAACTAGCCAAGAATAAATGATTGCAATAATCCTGTACCGTACATTTGTATGATTTCTGTAGATCGAGTAATTCGATTAGAATCTTTAGGACAACATTTTGCAACAAGTAGACAATAGGCACTCGAGCTCGTTCTACGTTAGAGGAATCTAGTGTACGTCCTTGGATCATCTTATGCGCGATATGACAATTGACGATCCGGTTTTTTCTTCCGTCGCGCCTGGAATGTTTAATTTCGTTACTCCTATTGTATAATTTATAACATTGCTCCGAGAACGCAATCCTTGGCAGTTGTTACAAAATATCGATTTGTATTCCGTACTGCTGAAACTCCGGCTCAAAGCTCACTCTGTACCTAATTGGTTACAACGCGAGCATTGTAGTGTAACAAGCATGGATTTAATTAGTCGATCACAGATATTCGAATGCCACTTTTGTAATCACCGTGGGTGTCGTACTATAAAAAGCTCGTTTACTATTTATATCGCGTTTCACTGCGAGCTGCTGAATTTGATTGCTTCTTACGTGCACTCAATAAGAAATAAAATCAACCAGTCGGAATTCGTTCCTGGTAAATATTAACACCGAGATAAAACGTCTTTAATATCAATTAGCCAGTTTCTTTCAAAGATAATTATACGTATCTGATTTTTCATATTACGAATCTTCTTGGACGTCCTATACATTTCGTTAACACGTGCAATATCAGGCTTAGCCGTTGGTCGCGTTAACGGCTATTTGTTCGACATTTAATCTGTTTAATTTTAGCGGTTCAACGAGTTTGACAACTTTCGACGGTGACGCAATAAACGTACCCACAAATGTATCGTATCCTCGTTGCATAATGCACGCAAACTATGCGAGCTTAGAATATACGCTTGCACGAGAAATCCAGCGTCTCGTAACGCAGCCGCGCGGCGATTCATTCGGAACGAAGGCGGCGTCTTTTTACGATAATTACTACGTTTCTTTTCCACCGTCCAAGGCGAAGTCGCTGTATGCGTTTCAAAATCGAACGTCAATAACGCAATTTTATTCAAATGGATTTCATTAAATGTATAAAAGCATAAAAAGTGCGTAGCAGGTAAAATGGAAAAATGTTTAAGACCATTGAGATAATTCTCGACGCTAACTGACATCGTTAAGCCTTGTCGGAAGTTCGTTTGGTATACAAACGTAATGTACTTTTTATCGTACTCAATGCGGCGGAAGAAGGACGCGTAGCTTTCTTGGAAGGTAAATTCTCGCTGAGAGGACAATGACACGTGGAAAATTAGACCAGCATATTGGATAGCCGGTCATCAGGCCGCTTTTCTTTTCCCTTAAGCAAGACTCGCTTCGTTCTTTCTGTTGAACTGCAGGTTTTACGAATTCATAGAAAAATTCAGAATACGAAGAACGTACACGTATTGCAACACCTGAATGTTAATCGATACTTTACTTTGCATACTTACTTTTCCTTCGACGCTAAATACGTATGCTAAAGACGTATCCTTAATTAATGGGAATTCGGCCTAATTCGGTCAATTTTCGCAGCTCTTTGTTTCCCGCCCACGATAATTTCAACGACAAATACGTCTTAATTGAGTAACTAGATCGTCGCACGAAGACGTTCTACATAACGTGCAACGTATTCTCTTCGAAATAAATCATTTAGACAACAGTGGCGTGTTTGCTTTAAGGATGTATTGGCTATACAGTCAATCCCAAACGTTTATGCACTTTAGAAACGCATTTTTTAAAAAGAAATCAGATGTCGGAAAAACATTGCTAATTATAAACANATACGGGAAAATTGCATCAGACCTTTCTTGTAGGGGACGACGAGATCTACAATTTCCATGTAAAAATTCTTCGCTAGCGTCAATAGTTAACGAGTAATTTGCAAAAAACTGTTTTTTCGTTTTTCGTCAATAACTCGTTAAATATTGACGCTAGCGAAGAATTTTTATATGGAAATTGTAGATCTCCTCGTCCTCTACAAGAAAGGTCCTGTGCAATTTTCTCGTATCTCCAAAGGTTTAGGAGTTATTGAGGAAAAACGAAATTTTTTATCAAAAGTTCGCTAATTCGACGGTGGAATGGTCGGATTTTATCAACATCAATAAAATGCCACATAATCATACTTAACTCATTAAATATCGAAGTTAGAAGAAAAACAACTTTTATTTGAAGTTTTCCGAGATTTTTCCAAGGGTAGGAAATGCGTTTTTTTAAGGTACATAAACTTTTCGGATTGACTGTATAGCCAGTACATCCTTAATTCTGGCAATCGTTTTATGAAACACCTTGTCGTTCTTATCATTGTAGAAATGATTTAGTAATTCCGAAAGCTAAGTAAACGCGTTATCTTTTGTTACAGATACGTTCCAGTTTGACGAAGCCAAAATGGGCTGCGTATCACAGTGTGCCAAGTATTTTTTATGCTTCTTCAATTTCGTTTTCTTCGTAAGTGAACCGAAATCTCCATCGCCCAGCTCTGTCCTTCTTTTTTTATTTGAAATATCAACTTAATATAGCCCCGTGCTCCTCGCTTCAAACTTTCTACTTTTTAAACTGGTTTTTAAATCGATTCATAAGACGTTCCCTTATACCACTTTGCCTCACTTGTCGTAAAATCTTGTAAATTTAAAATCGGACTACAATTGTCGTTCGAGATCGACGGACTATGGTATTAAGTTGAAACTTGAAATGGGAAAGAGGGTCAGTAGGTGTATAACGGTGCGTGTACTACTCGTAGCTCAATCCCGGTAAAAGGTTCTAGTCAATTATCGACTTGCCCTCGTCTAAACAAGTTAATTAATTAGTTGATCATCTGCAGGTAGCCGGAGGGGTTGCGTTGGCGGTCGGAGTTTGGCTCTTCGCCGACAGCACTTCTTTTGCCGATCTCGTCGGCAAGCTCGACCAGTCGGATATTCTGGTAAACTTCAATAAACATTTACCTACCAAACAAATTGTTTTGCGTCATAGCGAAATAGTATTTGTGAGTGGAGAAGGTAATCGGCGCGTCGCCAGTAAAAGTCTTTTTTAGCAGATTCACGCTTTGTTGATTGCGATGCGAAAGCGTTGCCAATTAGTTAACCACCGGGAATAGTATATCCGGCACTTTCTATCCAAGCTTTTATTCCACGGATTTTCGTTTTCATTACAATCACCGTGACGAAATTGATTAAAATGAGATCAATTTCGAAGACACGAAAAATTGTCAATTAACCGGATTTCAGAGAATGCGAATAATATTTCCAGATTCGTCTCTGTTGTAGAACAAAACTGATGCGGACGTCATCAGGGTAATATCGTATATCTTGATTTTGGTAGGAGCGTTGACTTTTATGATAAGTTTCATGGGATATTGCGGTGCGATGTTCGAGTCACGATGCCTTCTCTGTGTTGTAAGTGTACTTTCAATTATCAAAAGTGAGCCCATCGATAATGTACGATTATAAAAATTATTTTTTAATTACTTTCAGTACGGTGTTCTCATTCTCGTGGTTCTGATCCTAGAATGCATCGTGGTAGGCTTAGCTTTTGGACTGAAGGGCGATGTAAGTACTTATTTCTTTTGTCCGGTTGAAACTCGTATCAATCTATCATTTTTACAGGCAGAACAGACCACGCGAGAGTTTCTTAAATCTACGATCAAGTATTATGCCAGTAACGTTGATAAGACAGAAACAGTCACGGTAGCATGGGACGGGATGATGACACAGGTCTTTACAACTTTTTACCGGAGTAATTAATCGATGAAAATTTTATGTAACGTACGTTAATATTTTTAGTTGCATTGCTGTGGAGTAGATGATTATCTAGACTTCAGGGAGAGCCTGAATTGGACGTCTACGGATAAAATTGTACCTGAAGCGTGTTGCATGAAGGAGAACGGTAATTTGAAGGACCAACTTTGCCCGATCAGCCCCTCTGCCAATAACTCTTACTTTAAAGATGTAAGGAAACGAATTGTTGTAAATCAGATGTGAATTAATGGTAAGATCATATTGAACTAAAACGATGTGGGGATCGTAGGGTTGTTACAGTGCGTTAATAAGGACGATCGAAGAGAACGCAGCCATAGTGATCGGGATTGCGGCTGGATTAGCATTTATCGAAATCCTAGTTATTATCTTAGCCGTACATTTGGCTTGCTGTTACTGGCGACCACAACACGGTAGGCTGACACTTTTCTCTCAAGTTTCTTAACAAATATATTTAATTGCTGATCGATGATTAAGAAAAAGTATCACCTGTAGCGCTAGAAAGCTTAGAGAAGTAAAAAAGAATTCTGTTCTGAAGATTAAATCATGATCATATTCTTTTAGCTTGCATCGACGTCTCGTCGAAACAGGTGAACTAACGATGGAAATGTTATGTTTAGATTTTCAAGTAAGACCGTGACCGTACGTCGTATGAGCTTCTTCGCGTCAGCTCTCAGAAGTTCCAATTTTTATATTATTCCGAGCGGAAACTCAAACGACAGCTTGTTAAACGTTAAGCATTTCGTTTTCTGATACTTTTAAGCTGAAATAATTCCAGCCACGGAGTAGATATATAATTTCCATTTTCAATCAATTCTGGTACGTCAGTATTAACTTGGAATTAAGACTAAGCACTGAACTAGAGATTTCAAATTTGAAAAAATAAGAGATTTTAAACGTTATAAAGTAGCTCTTTACTATTGTATTTTTCTACTCTCGCGGATTCGATGCCTAACGATGTTCACGCGATCATTTGTTTGTTCATATCGCGCACAAAAAAAATTTTCGTTTGCAGTTTTAACTTGTTGGTGCTGCTGTTGACGACATAAACTAACAGGGAGCTCTTCGTACCTTCTCGTGGCTCCTTTCATCGAGAGAACTGAGTCATTGGCTTAAGCTTAATTGAAATGATGGATGTACAGTGACTAGAAAAAGTGTTTGCCATCACAGTCACGTAAAATTATTGTTGCACGTAATCAAGGCACAAATAGAAATGAGATTGCGTGCAAGTATTTCTCAAGGTCACTCTACATTCGTCGATTGCTCGACCATACTTTTCTAAAAGTCCAGTAAATGTTTATCAGACATACATCATAGCTAAATATTTTGTATAAATATTAACTATAAAGTAAGAAAGCGTCCGAACAATTTTCATATAGAATCGTTCCAAGAAATTTAGTAATTCTTAATTGAAAGAGAAATGAGTCTATTTAACAATAAAAATAATCGTTTTGTTTCGAAACAAGCAAGTACAAAAATAAATAAAGAGCAGAGTTTTATATGAGCAAGACTGTAGAAACACGTGCTTGCGTCCAACTACTTTGTACATATAAACGTATATATTTAAAATAATACGATTACACAATAATGTATTATTTTATTAAATTGTATTTACTATATTACATTAATGTGTATAGATTAGGATACTACGTACAATAATCTCTGTGTTTATAAGACAACTAAAATGTATATGAAAATTTGTAATGTTTTATAATGTACCATATACTTTATACTGTTTTATAATGTACACGAGTCGTGATAAAAATTTTTGTATTCTTCGTAAACAAGAACATTTCTTCCTATCTCCTCAATTATTTACAAACTAAGTGATATACTTTATATTACATACTTTATAGCTATAGTGTAATGATTGAATGAAAATCGAATATATAACATAATTTTTCAATTATTATTATTACTTTATACCTGTAAAGTTCGTTTATTCTCCGTTTGAACTAGTATCACAGTCACTGTCTCATAATAAAAGAATGTTTTAGCTGTTAGAATCGACCACATTGAAGGATTCAATAAAAAATTTAAACTATACATCACTTTCATAACGAGATACACAAAATCATGAGTTAACGTATTGCAAATATTTGTACTACAAAATCAATTATACTACTGTTTCCTCGCGATTGATATCTAATAATAGTCGTATATCAAAATATAATTTAAGCAAATGATCGTCGAATGAAATTTGGTCCGTCTACTTTCTCAAATCTAATACTATCCAACACTGCTTCCGTGTACAAATTTGTATGAACGTTATATTTACCATCGCTTTTTACAAGATTCTCCTTTCGATAAAACGACTCTCCTACAGTTGCCCAGAAGTGAAAAGGAAAAAGATCTGCTCGTTTATAGAACGGACTTACGAATTCAGTTGATCCAAGTCGACTGATTTGGCAAACAAAGAGGGCTAGGAGAGTAAAGCATATCCTATTGGGGTGGCCCGCCCATTATGCCCATAGGAGGCATACCCTGAATTCCATACGGTGCTTGCGGAGGGCCCTGGTTCCCAGCCATGGGTGAATGCAATTGCATCGCAGGACTTTGGATTTGCTGTGTCGGTGTGATCTGTCCACCAGCTGGCGATGGAACTACCTGCTCACATCGATCCGTATGAGAAAGTCGATCGAGAAACAAATCGAACAGTACTCATAAAAGACTCTGCATTAATATTACCTGCGATATAACTGGAGGCTCCGAAGGAAGAGTCAGATTGGCTAATAAATCTCTAACGGCAGGGAAGAGGGAACATTCTGACTGATTCGCGCCGTATTCGGCGAATCGCTTCAATTGTAAAGAAGCTGCAGCCATCGCAGAAGCTGGGCTCGGATCCCTTTTCTCAGCCAGCTGTGTTAAATTTGTACTAACATCGTAAACTAACGGTAGAACGAGCGAGGGCGTTTCTCCTTGGTAATGCGTCCCGATCCTCGTTATTTGTAACTATAACAGCAATAAATTAATGCCAACAAATTACGATCGTTTTTTTCCCTTTTTAATAAACCTTGATAGGTGTATACTTACAAAGAACAGAATCTTGTTTCGGCACACTAATAGAGCAGCCATGCCAGTAGGTACAATGGGAGTACTGGATGGAGGAATTCTCAAACACCATTGTACGTTCCACTTAAGCTGCTGTTGCTGCGCTAAGCTAGGTACCAGTTCCAATTTCATGATCTGTACAAAGTCTTTGAGGACATTGAACGGTACATTTAACATTCTACCAAAGCCAGAGAGAGTATTCGGTTTATAAGGCGGTGCTGCTGCTCTCGTATCGAAAAACTTTTCTATTATCTATGTAGAAAAAGAAGATGCATATAAATACACAAAAACTGAAAAAAGGGATTTCGTGAATCGAAGAGCAAATATTACTTGTAACTCTTCGAGCGTCCATTGATCTTTGTGTTCCGGTAAGGGCTGTACTTTTATGTGCAGAGATTGCAAGTGTTGTGGATTTAAGCCAACTCGACACTGCAAACTTTCCACCTTGAAATGTACAACGCCTGGCTCTGTACTGTTTATCGCTGTTAACTGTAAAAACGCACACGACAAATGAACTTGATGCCTTATAAATAGAATCGTGCAGGGAAATGAAATTCTTACACAATCTTCCGTTTGTATAAATCTCTGGAATTGTCTACGCATGTAAATGCATCCTAGAAATCTTTCAAGCGGCGATAGTTCGGGTCCAGGAAGCCCGGAGGGATGCGGCGAGGGACAGCAAAGTAGTTCCAACGCCTCGTGAGTCAACAGCGTTGGTACAGCGCCCGCCCACGAACGTTGAGGAAGCACCCTCGAGATATGAGTTCCAGCTTTATGATCAGAGGCTTGAGGACTGTGCAATGCGGCGTGTCCTGGACTTTGCGCAGGGCGTGCTGGCGATGGTCTGGGTACGTTCGGTGATCCTGGCCAATTGGACGCTGCTGGAGAAGCCATACTCTGCGAGGATGGAAATGGACTTCCGTCTATGTGTCCTATATAAATAACCATCGATGTTACAGTGAAAACATTTATAAACAAATAAAGAACATATGCAGTACAATAGTTTACCAGTTTGCATAAACGATCCTGCTGGGGAGTGTCCCACTTGAACGTTACTACACGGACCCGGTGATGACGTCGGCATCAATCCGACTGGACTAGGAACGTGCATCGGATTTAAAGGACTGTTAGCGACCAGTCCAGAACCTGGCGAAGGATGCGGGAGCATATTGGGTGTATTCGGTGGTAAAGACGGCGGTGAGGCCAGATTAAACGAAGTAGCTGGGCTGCTGCCAAAGCTCTGATGTTGACTTGTCTGTGTTATATTAGCGGTATGTGGGCTGGCTGGAGTGTGAGGATTACTACCAGAAGGTGGTGTAAGAGGTGGATGAAATCTCAGTCCGTCTCGTTGTTGCGCAGGTGATTGAGGCCCACTTCTATGGTGGCCTAAAAAGCCCACGTTTCCGCCTCCGCTGCCAGTATCACTGTCCATCGTTACAGGAGACGGGGGATTGTCGTCTTCCGACTGAGATCTTCTGCGAGAGACTGCGCTCTCGTCCACGTATTTAGATAGGAAAGCCTTGAGGCCTTGTGTCGGAGTAAACTCGTCGACAACATAACTTCTGTCGAAGCGGCTGTACGCTCCATCTCGCAGACTCACTAAGCCACTTCCTCGTAGACGAAGCTCCAAACAGTACATACCCTGATACGCAATTCTAACGAGAGTCACGCACTGAGGCATGATAGTGAAAGTTTGTACTGGTACTTGAGGTCTCGAATTATAAACGCAGAGTTGCGGAATCGTAGGCAATTTGTTAATCGATGTAAGAGGTTGCAGCGTTTCGTGAAGGATGTGTATAAGTTGAGCCAAGTTTCTATGTCTATTCAGATGAGCCTCGAGCTGTTCCTTCATGATCGAATGAGCGTTCGTCGTCGTACTAGTCGGACTCTTCCCAAAAATCAATTTGAACGCCTTGTCGTTGGTGCTCCACTGAACGGTAACGGTGGCTCCACGATTAGGACCGTACGTTAGGACTAATTTGCTATAGTTGTACGACTTTATGCTGACCATATTGCGCAGATTGTATTTCTCCATCTTAAAATATTCTGCCAGATCGTGCACGATAGAGTAAAGATGTACGATTTGAGCCCAGTCGCTGAGCAACGAGTCCACCGTTCGTGAGACAGTGTCCGCAGTTCCCATTTCATATTGAAAATACACAGGCCTTCTTAATCCTTGTTCTTTCGGATGACTGCTGGACAAAGGGCTGCCGTAGAACACGAATTCGGCCATCCACGTTTTGGCCATACCTTTCCCCTGGACCCTGATCGAGACGCTGAGTAATCTTTTAAGAAGAGCGTACCACGCGGCACTAACACTGATCATTGTAGAAGGTGCGGGCAGTTGAACCAATTTCAAGACCAACGCAGTGGCATTCGCTTCCACTTGAAGCCCCTGATGAGCTATATCTTTCCTTGTCAATTCTTGAGCCAGTGTTACGAAAGGTATTCTCTCGTCGCAAAGTGCAACCACGTGCGCCAGCTCTGGTATGAAGTACGCGGGTTGCTTCGATCTTCTGCTCTGCAACGTTGCATTGGTATCTCCTCTTCCGCCTGGACCAGTGCTTTTCCTTTTGTTACTCGTTTCGGGAGTGTCAGTGTCGACGCTGGTGAAGGGACCGTGGGTTATGACGAAAGTATCGAACTCGATCAAGCTTTGAACCTTCAAATACATTTTTGGTATTTCTGTCTCGATGCTGTCGTCGTGAGGATCGTCCTCTATGGAACTATGTTTCACCACGGCGAGATAAAACGAGCATTCGATCTCGCAAGGCGAGCTCTCCTTTTCTTTGAACGCCACTATTAAAATTACTGTTGGATGTCGATGAAGTTGGACGAACATGCGGTGTCTACTGATCTTCGACATCGGGTGATCTGGGTGAAGGAGCACTGGCAAACGCTCGTGAGAAGTCGCTGGTAGATGCTGTAACGTCTTCTCGCATCGTCTTTGCGTTATCCAAAACCTTAATTCTGATATTAATGCTGGAAGACGAGAGTGGTCGCCGTTTAAGGCAGTCGTTAGCTCGGGGATCAGAGGAACTTCGTATTGAGGAACGTGGCACTGTAACATTCCTGTGTGCGTGTCGACGGTAACTAATAAATGTTCTGCCCTTAAACAAGGTTGCAAAATCGGAACAGAGAGTATCGCTGGCGAACCGGCCAGAGTGCACTCGACGTCTTTTAACATCCCCTGTAACTCTTGTTTCAATTCTAATAGTCTGCTCCTTGTGCGTACGTATATTGTATGAACTAATAAACACTCCATTGACAATTGATCCGACCTGATCGCTCTGTCCGCGATTTCGCTTTCCTTGCTGCCTAAAGACGGAACGTGAACAATAGCAAGAGGCCTCGCAGGATCATGTTGGTCCACTTGCACAGTTAATTTGTATCCTAATTCTGAACGCGGATCCTTGTTCGTCAGTTCTCTCCAATAAGAGACGGAGAGACATTTCCCTGGCACGTATTCGTCCACGTGAATGTGATCGTCCAGTCTATCCCGTATCAATCGCAACGTTTGAGAATAGAGAACTTCCAGTTGTAGGGACTGGCAGAAGTGATGCAAGATATGATAAACTTCGGACAATGGGTTCGAACTCTCTGTTAACCTCGATTGAATCACCTGAAATTATTTAAATGAAAGGGATCTCGTAATCAATAATAAGAATCTTATGAGTGATCGTACTTGATGCACGTAACCAGTTTGCAATGGATGCACCAAAGCTTTCCCATCTCCTGTTTCTCTGTCCGAGACTAGAATTTCCAATTCCAATAATCTCCAAGGTACCGCCGGCCCGTCTCCCATTACTGTAAGAGACACTGAGAATTCTTGTTCCACGAGGAACGTTACTCTTCCTGCCTCGATCTTTAAATTACGCATCTGTGGAAGCAAATTCCCAGTTACTAATCTATGTTGTATAACTTGATTTAGTCTCTGAAGCGTGCTTCTTTTTTCTGCTGGCGTGATCGAGTCCGGAGGTACAATTCTTTCCTGTTAAAATCATGCGTATAAATAATAGCCTGTAGCGGGGAATAGAAGAACTGCTGGCAAATTAAGATTACTCTTATGCACGCTGGTAAACGACTATACGTTCCAGTCGTCAGAACTTCCACTGCAGCAGGAATGTGAAAATTAGGTAATCTAGCGTGCACCAATGTTTCACGGGCCATCCTCGCGAGCATATCAGCTGTATCGACGAAAAGCAGCGATTGCTTGTCCAAGAAGGCCATTATATGCTGTTAACAAAATTCTTTTTTAGTCGTTAGTCGGATTAAAATAAAATGATAAGCAGGAGAAATATTGATCTTCAATATACCGCGGATTTGTCAACTTTGGAAGCACTGTTGGCCCATTTAACCAGGGCCAGTAAGCGTACATACAACTGTCTCGTTCTGGCTGAAAAATTATAGATTTCTATTTTTCGCTCCATGTCAGTTTTCCTAGGTAATCTGTAAATGAATGTTATGTAATGTTACGTTTAATTGTTTACCATTATTTTATCCTATAAAAGTCTACATGTATTTTCTTACAATTCAGCCAGGACCGTGAGTTCGTGATAAGTGCGTTGTATGATGAAATCAATGAGCATGCCAAGGGAGATGGAACCTCCACGGTTCCCTTCCTGTGGTATATTGTTGGTCACAGGGGTCTGATGACCCTCTAAAGGTACAGGAGCCATTTCCTTCTTTATTATATTACTGTCTACAAACCTAAAACTGATAAATAAATACGACAATCATTAGAACATGGAAGTTGATAAATATCAATTTGTACAGACAATGTATGATATACAATTGTTGTTCTTACCACACAGGTGACACTATATGTTTGTAAAACGAGTGCTTGTTAGTTATCTGACATTAACGAAGTTAAACCCAGTGACGAGCTCGTCAAAATGAAAAAGTGATCACTCATTCTTGGAACAACACATTTCTCGATTATAGAATGCATCGGTTATGAAGAGTAGATGCAAAAGAAGCGAAGTATCATATCAAACACGTGTTTTTCTCACCTGTAACATTTATTTTGCTATCACATGTACATTACAATAATACACAGCGAGTGAATGGTGAAAGCAACAAGAAAGTAGCTTCCTTTCAAACATACTAAATACATGATTCATAAAATCATGTAGACAAGTCAACTACAGGTAAATAGGTGAACGAACCTCAAACCTCAAATGCAGAACGCATTGACATTGACGAATTATGAGAAGAAAATGACAGAACGATGAATCACAAGTTAAAGTGCGTACAATCGTGATATTAGAGGATAGCTTAGAATTTAATTGGCGACACGGAATCGTTATAATTAATTAATTAAACAATGTAAAGTGTTTTGAAGCTGAAATGGCTGATCTCACGTCTGCACCGCCTTTATGTTGTACATACATACAGTATATTAGGTCCATATATAGTATGTGACAGTGAAAGTGAAGTGACAGTATAGCGTATAGCAGCGTTAGTGTTAGTCAGTGTTAGTATGTCTCTGGGCCTGGTATAGCGATGGTACACTCAGGTCAGGTACAGTAGTTGACGGTTGAGTTGATAAAGCCACAGTATGAGTGAGTAAGTATAAGTGACGAACATACGAATCAATGTGAATTTTAATGGGATATCGAGTTAGAACGTTGATGAAATCGTCTCGCGCGATCAAAATGTTGAATTTACTCGATCAATCTGCTCGCACGTAGAAAATGTCTGACACACGTCTTTGGAGGCTATTATGGTTTTGTCCACTATTTATTATTCTGTTCCTATTCCCGCTTACTGATAGCGGCGATATAAAACAGTTGACGTTTTGCGAACAAAAGTCATCACGCAGGTAATTAACACAATTTTAAATATATCCGTACCTGGGATTTTTTCCTAGTTTGGATGATACGCTTAGCTGTGGAACAGATTCTCATGAATCATTTGTAAAGATTTGCAAGAATGACAATTTGATAACATGATTTTAATCAATGAATGACAATTCTTCTATTTTTATCTGTTTACATTATCTTGGAATTCCAGTTTACTGTTTGTGAGTACATTAGATGGAAAGGTATCTGCTTTGGATGCTAATAATCTTGGAAAAAAACTATGGACATTAGAATTTAACGATGGGCCTATGTTATCGTCGAGCATTCATCGCAGAGAAGTAAATAAAAATTGCGTATATGTATTTCTAAAACCTTATCTCACACTTGTTATTAGCATATGTTAATATCTTAAATGTTCCTGATAGCTTAATAACAATGGACAATGGGTTCGTTTGATTCCATCTTTAAATGGAAAATTGTACAAATTCGATGGAGATAATTTGGAAGCAGTCCCGGTATCTGCAAGTCAATTATTGCAGTCATCTTTTCGCTACTCGGATGATCTGGTATTCTCCGGTGGTAGAGAAGTTAAATCATATGGTACATATTTTAAAATAAATGAATGTATCGGTAGGAAAAGTATACAAAAAAGTGTACATACAAATTTATTTCAGCTGTTTCCAGTACAACAGGAAAAATATTGTACGAATGCGGGATTAATGGTTGTATAAATACTACAGATGGAGAGACCTACATTCAACAAGAAGTGCTTATTATTCAGAGGTTTCAACAAACTGTTAGAGCAGTTGAACCACATACCGGCATTGAAAGGTAATAGAAACATCGATCTTTTTAACTGACGTTGCACTAAAGAAATTTATGAAACAGGTGGAACTTCAGTGTTGGCCAACACGACTTAGTATTGGTTCCTGTTCCTGACATGAATTGCCAGAATGAAGATACTCATCAAATTCAGGATATCGAGATCAAAGTCGTCGTACCGGATGGTCTGATTTGGGCCGTCAGCAAAAACGATCCCGCAGTAAAATTATGGCAATACAAGGTTCATTTTACTTTTGAGAACAAAGACACGTTTCTCTCTTCGATTTCGTATTAAATGTATTTATGTGTTATCAGTTCGATTCTCCAATCGTTAGTATATGGCGCGAAGATGCGAATAAAAAGATCAGTGGACACAAGAACGTGAAGGAAATCAACTTATTCGATAGTACGCAATACTATGGGGGAACAGAGTTCTCCGCGAGCCCGGGTATCTATCTAGGCATGCATAATAGACAATTGTACATACAAGAAAATACAGAACTGCAGAATTCGTTGGAGGCAACACCGAGGTATATGGAACATTTGAAATATCCATGGCGACCCCATGCAGCTATAGGTACGAAATTTCATTCCTTAATGCGTAAGAGCAAAACAATTATTACAAAATTATCGAACGTGTTATACCACAGGTAACGTTGTCAGAGATTCAGTTCCAATTAAAGCAGAAGACAATAATATTGAGGATGTTGCACTTGAGATAAGCGACGCGCAAAGCACTACTGCGTTATCGGTCCTATATAATTCGGAATATATAAATGGTACTTAAATTTGAAGCATTGAATCACTCCGTTGGACGAGATGAGCAAAGTATAAACTACGTTTTTTTTTTATAGGAAATGGATTTTATCTCTTTTCGACGGATCAGTTGGAATTGGAGAGTAACAAACAATGCAATGGTACCAATCCACAATTGACGTTTGTAGAAAAGATAGTGGGTACAACTTACAGGACAACAAATACGAACAGAGAGGACGACAACACGCCCGTGCAAGTTATAATAGTTTCGTTGTGGTATTGGTGGTACGTAATGTACAGAATCATCAAAAATTGTATTCATTTTTAATGGAAAATCTACCTGACAGGAAGGAAGTTTTAATAATCTCAATCACGACCGCGGTTCTGCTGAACTTCATGTTGACCCAACGTTTGTTAAGTGCCACAACGGACGCTAAAGACGCCACATTACCCGTAAGGATTATAGATCGTTCATACAACATTTTCAGATGGCAAATGATTTATCTTATACCTTCTTTACAGCCCTTGATAGTCGAGAGATATATAGAGACCAACAAAGGCAACCAGTTGATTAAGGAAGAGACTGACGTCGACAGTTTCAAGTCTCGTTATCTCACAGACTTCGTACCGGTGAATTGTTTAGGGAAGGGTGGCTACGGGGTAGTTTTCGAAGCGAAGAATAAGATAGACGATTGTAATTATGCGATTAAAAGGATCGCCCTGCCGAATAGTGAGAGTTCGATGGAACGCGTGATGCGTGAAGTAAAGGCATTGGCCAAACTGGATCACCCGAACATCGTAAGATACTTCAACGCGTGGCGGGAATGCCCGCCTCCAGGATGGCAAGAAAAGTACGATCCCGAGTGGATGAGGAACTTACCGAACTTGGATACTATTTCGTCTTCTATCCGTACCGAGGCAAAAGTCAATAATTCTGTATGTATCGATTTGAGTCAGACGGACACGTCGATAGACAGTGCCCGTGAGGCTTACGAATTGGACCACGTCTTAGACGAAGATTCCTCTATTGTGTTTGAAAAGACTGAATCATCGAATCAGGATAACGTTATCGATATTAATAATAGTACCGAAAGCTCTTGTTTATCTCGGAAGAGCACAAGGGACAAGGCGTTGTCAATCAACGATTGTTCACATTCCGAAAGTATCGTGTTTAAGGAAAGTACCAGCAATGAAAACGAGAAGAGAAGAAAACGTCAGAAATCGTTTTCTTTAGACTTGAATAACAAATCGCATTCACGAAAGTCTCCGAAAATGTTCCTTTATATACAAATGCAACTGTGCCAAAAGCTGAGTCTCAGAGAGTGGTTAAGGAATCAATCCAAACGGGATTGCCATCGCGTGTTGAACATATTTCAGCAAATCGTCGAAGCTGTGGAATACGTCCATTTACAAGGACTTATTCACCGTGATTTGAAGGTAAGAAATATATAAGCAGAGATTAGTTTCTATCGTTGAACGAGAAAATATTTCAGCCTTCGAACATATTCTTCTCCTATGATGACAAAATAAAAGTCGGAGATTTCGGTCTTGTGACCGCGATGACGGAAAGTTACAACGAAGCTCATACTCCTCCGTCCGAGAATAAGGACGTCAGTTTAAAGAACAGTTTACATACTGCGTACGTTGGCACGCATCTTTACATGTCCCCTGAGCAGATGAACGGCCAGGGATATAACTACAAAGTAGATATCTACTCTTTAGGAATTATATTGTTCGAACTACTCATTCCATTTGGTACCGAGACGGAAAGGTCAATCGTCTTGATGAACTTGAGGAAATTAATGTTTCCGAAAGATTTCAATAACAATTATCCAGCTGAGGTGAGTATCACAGATTTTCGGTAAAACGATTCATTGTAATTAATCTGATGTTTGGTTTCCAGTTTAATCTGTTGAACATGATGTTGGATGCAAATCCTAACAACAGGCCTACAACGTTCGGCATTAAAGCCAGACCACCGTTGTCGAATCAAGGAACAATCAACGGGCTTAACACATGCGAGGACACGAAGTGGCATTTCGAATTGCCACAAATTTCACGGCATTCCTCTATGACCAGCAGTAGCAGCGCTGAATCCTGGGAGAACATAAATTGAGTAATCTATTAACAGTATTTAATACATCAAAATATTGTAAGTGTTAACGAGAGTGGATGCTCAATTGATTTTATTATCATTACTTTGAAATCGTCTGAATGGAAATATTACAATGATTGAAAGAGGTCGTGTATGAATTAATTGAATGTGTAGAAATAAATACGTGGTCTTTCAATGAAAACGCGTACGTTGGCTGGTTTCGTTGTACTTCTCAGGGTAATTATGGGCCATCGTTGTACGACGTGATCTATAATATATTTTCTTAGATTTTAATTCACGTAGTTTAAATATTTTTTTTATATATACCATCCTGTGACTCGAAAGGTATCACTGTTACATTTCTACGTATAAAATTAATTATATTTACTGTTACAATTCGGAGTTTCTGTGGAATCGTTTTATAATAGAAGTAAGATAATATAGATATTTTTATAAAATGAACAATCGATTGTCTTTGATTAACACCTCTTATTTTGCCGGCGTTTTGTAAAATTCGATTTATTATATGTTTTTCGTTCACACAGTTTAAATATTTCTCTACATAGCATCCTGTTATTTCGTAATCACTGTGGCTCAGAAGATATGACTATTATATTTTCATGTATATTATTTGAAAGTAATTATATTTACTGTTCCAATACGGAATTTTATAATAAAAGTAAGAGATTATTTATTAAGCCGATGATCAGTGTATTAAACATATTTGTAATTATTAGTTATAATATAGCATGTTTAAACATGTATGTAATTGGTACTTATTACTTATCGTCTAAGATTTTAGACACGACTTCGTTCGCAGTCTGTGGTCCACCAAGCAACGTTACTCCATTCTTAGACAAAACAAAATTTACCATCGATATAATATCGTCATTCTGCGGAAGCCTGTAAAATGGGTCACCTCGTGCGTTTTAACTTTTGAATAATAAAAGTGAAAATCGTTCATCGTGTATCCTTTAAATCCACTCGAATTATATCATAGAATTCCATTACCATATTCCTTTCCGTTGCTGCAAGGAACGGGATTGCTGCAAGTACGATGCCTCGTCACAGTATACCTATAACCAGTATGATCACTCTCTCTTGGGANTCAGTGTATTTAAACATATTTGTAATTATTAGTTATAATATAGCATGTTTAAACATGTATGTAATTGGTACTTATTACTTATCGTCTAAGATTTTAGACACGACTTCGTTCGCAGTCTGTGGTCCACCAAGCAACGTTACTCCATTCTTAGACAAAACAAAATTTACCATCGATATAATATCGTCATTCTGCGGAAGCCTGTAAAATGGGTCACCTCGTGCGTTTTAACTTTTGAATAATAAAAGTGAAAATCGTTCATCGTGTATCCTTTAAATCCACTCGAATTATATCATAGAATTCCATTACCATATTCCTTTCCGTTGCTGCAAGGAACGGGATTGCTGCAAGTACGATGCCTCGTCACAGTATACCTATAACCAGTATGATCACTCTCTCTTGGGAATTGTGTCCGATGTCTCTCAAGAACTCCAGGGAATCCAGACGAGAGAAATATTGGGACGAAGAAAACTTCTATGACTTTAGATTGCTTCAGATTCGATTCAAGATTTGGTTTGAGCTCTCAATTTGAATTGAAATGATCCAATGACGATTCTCAATCCTGCACATGCTCAGTGATAACGAAACTTGAATTTTACCTGTCTCTGTCCCCCTTTATGGCGGGAGTAGCACAAATTTGCACAAACCTCGTGAAACACATAGGACGAATAGTGTCATCGAAAACATATAAATAGTTATAATAAGTTAGAGTAAGTATCTTCGAATTAACACAAACGTATATATTAATATCCAACGTGCGACTCTGCCTTTAAAAGGCTTTATATCACTGTATTCTTTCAGTATTATCTAAGGTTTCGTTATAAACAAGTCTTAACCTGCAATCGTGATCCATTAACGAAAACGTGAATTAATTCACGTGTCGTTTACAGATTATTTTAATTAGACGTAATGAAATTAGGTAGCATTAAGAAAACGATTATTTATGCTGGATATTTTTATAATTATTTGATTATCTGTCCGTGTTTTCTGTTCATCCAGTCCCTCTGTGTATTTAATATTTAATCTTTCCCTGTATTGTCCGAAAATGACTCTTACTGAAATGGAACCGCTTAAAATGCATTTAGAAGCCTTAGAAATGGCAGGGAAAGTAGTCGATGTACATATTACAGCAGACAGCAATTTTCCTTCTTTGATCAATCTCATGAGATACAATGTACAAGGTACGAATCACCATCCTCTAATCTGAAGCCTATTATGTTCAAGTTTCTTAAGAGCATACTTTTCAGGTGGACCAACTGTTAGTGGTCTGGACGATCATGATTACCCAAATTTACATGGAATGTCAATGTGCTTTTCAAATATAAATCAAATGAAAGTACACAGTAAAATTTCCTTGCCATCCGAGATAATGGAACACTTCCATCGTATCCTTTCGAAACCAACTGTTTTCATTCTAACTGCTTCTCTATGGAAAGGATAAGATTCTTTAATTTTTATTCAGATATGCAATGTCATTGTATGATGGGTCTTTTCACAGAATTATCCAAAGCTTGGCTCACAATCGACAGTGACATATATGTCTGGTCCTACGAAAATGAGTAAATATTTATTTCAAGATTTATCTAAAATCGTTACGGTCATCGATATTTATAACGACAACGTTTTCAGATCTGACGTAGCGTATTTTGATGGATTAAACGAGACCATCATAAGTGTAGGCTTAGTAAAACCCAAACCGGGAGTATTTCAATCTTACGTGAAGTACTTACTGATTCTTACGACTACAGTAGAGATAACTATTCTTGGAGTCACGTTAACAGACATTGGTGAAGGTATCGGGGCTTCATTCTATATTCGCATTTACCTCAATTTTCACTGCATCCTATTCTAATTTAGGTGTATCGCCAGAAATGCAACTTGTTCCCGAACCGATCTTCACAGTAGCCACGGATGGCGTTGGTATTACAACAATAGCGAACACTAACAGAGGCAGAATCTTTCTCGGCGGTAGAAACGGTTCTCTTTATGAAATATACTACCAGGTACAATTTCTTGAATAAGCAAATGAACATGAAAAGGATCGGGGATGATCACGTGTTAATTACGTAGGCAGAGAGTAGCTGGTTTGGGAAACGTTGTAAAAAGATAAATCATTCCGAAGGCCCATTGTCATTTTTGGTTCCGTCGTTTGTCACAATAGCTTTATCAGAGGAGGAAGCTATAATACAAATTTCTGTGGATGATTCTCGGAACATCTTGTACACTCTCGGTGACAAAGGAACGATTATGGTCTGGGATATCGATAACGAGAGCGCATCCAAAGTCGCGTCCTTGTCGCAAGCATCTTTAGTACAGAATGCTGTTCACGTCGTCAAGTTCGTATTGTTGTACATATAATTCAACTGACGAAACGCAGTCGTCATTAAAATTAGTGTATACATTTCAGAACTCTGGACAGTAACAATTTTCGTCCTCTGGTCAGCATATCCGCTATTACGGAGTCTGAGTCAGTACACTTAAACTTAGTAGTAGTTGCAGCGACTGGGACACGTTTCTACTTCAGCTGCACTTCGGCTGCCGATCCGTCAACCAGACCTCAATGTCTCCAGTTAATACACGTCAGATTGCCACCTGGTTACGCTGCCAATGCTACTGTGATGAGACCTAGAAAAGTGCAAATGGCACATCATAGAAAAAGTATACGTGCATTCTAAATATAATTTATCTCAAAATTTGCATACATTCGTGAAACATTGTTAACCATTGTAGGAACGTTGATTCTTGTTTGCGGCGGAGACACGGAAAGCGCGTTGTGTTTGAGTAACGATGCTTACCCGTTCACGAATTACTTGGCCGAGACACAGAGTCCTTTGTCTCTCGACAGTCCAGTATGGGCGATGGCGGAAATTCTTGTGGAACCTGCTATAAAAATCGAGAAGCAGAATATCACTCAAGAGGAGCCACCTCTCCTCGTGAGGCAGCACATGGAGGCTCCTCGAAAATTTATATTTCTAACTTCACAGGTACGTATCTACAACTTGCGTAGCTGGGTTTGAATCATGTGTACATTCAATTTCAGGGCGCCATAATTTATGTCCAAGTCCGTCCAATGGACATCTTAAAGCAACTTCTTTTGGAACAACGTGGTCCAGATACCGAAGCGGTTAGAGCTTATTTTCAATCCCAATCATTGGATCAAGCATGCGCGACTTGCCTTATTTTAGCCACGCTCGAAAGCTCTCAGAACGCCGAGGTATTAAATGATGATTGTAAAATTAATGAAAAATCTGAGAAAGCTTCGACAAGAATGTTTATTGTGTACAGCTAGCTGAGTGGGCAACGAGAGCATTCTTTTTATACGGTAGCCAGCGAACGACGAGTATCGGACCGCCGATCGACATACATGGGAATACATTCCCGAACATAAACACAGGTACGAATCGCACGAAAGGAGGAGCTCGCATTTTTTATAACGAATCTTTTATTTAGGAGATATACGTACGTCGACGCCAAGAGTACCGAATTATGATTTAAGATTGCAAGGATTTCGACATCACGCACCTGTCGGGCATAACACAGAGATATCTTTGCAACAGTTCTCTGCGAAGCACAATGGGCTGTATTTATACGTAGGAAGAATACTTCGTCCTCTGTGGAACATGCGTTGCATCAAACAAGAGGTTGGAAGCAATAAAGTTACGCAGGTGAATTGAATGAATATAAATTTTTTAATCAATCTTCACCGCACGTTTCTCTTATCTTCTCGTAAATTTAGATCTCCAGTACAATATCATCTAGACAACTCAGCTGGATTTTAAGTCTCCTGCAAGCACTGAGATCGTTTCTCAACAAAAATACTCACATCACTAAACAGTACGTATTTATACACTATTTTTTAACAAAAAATTTCCTTTAAGTGATTAAATTTTATTTGATTCATCGTTTCCAGGCAAGGTGCTAATAGATCTATGACTGACGGATTCGAGGTGACCATACCTAATCATTATCATGAACCACTAGTAGAAGAGAGAAATTCTTTGGACGCGTTAAAATTGTTCATTACTCACGCCTGTGAGGTTTTAGAACTTTGGAAGATCCTGTGTGAGAATCACTTGAACAACATCGTGAATTGTTTGTCAAAGGTAAACGTTTACAAATGGTTGTATAAAAAATTATTCGCTAATTTTTATATTAATTTTCAGGACCAAATAAATCAATTTTCTACAGCCACGTTTCGGGATTTAATATTGATCGGTCATGAAATTTCTTCGCTACTTATCATTCACCTCATCGATAGGTAAGTGCATCGAATCAAGATTGATTCTATTCAACTAGCATTTAAATATTTTACAGTTATCTCGGAGATAATGCGTCTGTCGACGCTATTAGTCAAAGGCTACGAGAAGTCTGCCCGAATTTATATAGAAGCGAGGATGCAGTCTGTTCTAAGGTATGTCATCGTATCCTGTACGACTGAAACAAGTTTTACATCTTTTATTTATCGTAGGCCAACGAAATAATCTTGAAAGCGAAAAGTTGTACGAATCCAGAAGAGAAGGAATGTCACTTGCAGTCTGCCTTAAAGGTAAGTATCGATTTAATATTTTAAACGGGCTTAAACTTATTTTAAAACGGAACATGATTTTTACGTCCACAGCTGTGCAAGGAGGTTGCCCCTAGATTAAATCTAAACGCAGTATGCCAACAGTTCATCGCTTGTCAGTTTTACATAGGTGTATTTGAGTTGTGTATCTGTTGCGCGGAACGAGTGGACCCTAACAATGCTGCACTGCACTATTATAAAAATAACGAACCAATCGAGGATCAAGATGGTCGATTCGCTTATATGAAAAGGTATCGATCGAAGTAATATTATCTTTTACGAATAATTTACTACATGATGTAATTACAGATTAGAAGTGTATAAGGAATTCATTACGCTGCTAGACCATCTCTATAATCAAAGCATATCAAACCCATTGACACCTAGCATTCCTAGTAAACCCGGCCCTCCGCATCAAAACACTTCGTACGGTCCTGTAACGCCAGCAAAAGAAACAGTAAGACGTATCTTATGTATATACAGTTTACAGAAATATTTTTCTAACGTTCTTATCGATTTTAGTTGCACGAGATCATAGCGGACGCGTTGCATTCCACGTGTGAAATTTTGCACGCCTCGGTATACGCTTGGATGATAGAGCGAAGACTCCACGGGGAGCTCATTGCCCTAGCTCCACCTTCTCTGGAGGCTTACTTGACCCGCGTCAACGCGCCGGATCTACTCTGGCAATATTACGAAAAGAATAAGAATCACGCCGCAGCTGCTAAGATCTTGGACTCTCTAGCGACGAAGGAGTACGTATCGACATTATCATTAATTTATTCGCTTCGAAGATATTTTTATTTTTGATTTTTTTTTAACGCAGATCAAATATACCGTTATCACAAAGAGTTGAATATTTAGCTCGGGCCGTGGTATGTATGCGAAGCGATCAAGCTGGATACGCTCCGTACCTTGGCATTTTTTTACGTGAACTAGAAGACAAAGTCGAAGTCGCTAGAATACAACAACAGGTAGAGTTACAAACGTAAAGGGAACATTTGTTTAAAGTATTTTATATATATCAGCTGAAAATGTTTTGTAGATACTGGATACAATTTGTAATCAGCATCTGACCGATAGACTCAACGAGGAAGCGTTTAGAGCATTAAATTCTTCATTGTTAGAGATCACGAAGGTATGATTCAACTTTTTCATTGTAAATTATACGTATACTATGGATGATCCTCTCTGGTTACAGTTATACGAGAAATACGCAGACCCTCTAGAACTATGGGAATGTAAACTAGCTATAATTCATTGTTCCGGTCATCAAGACGCGATGCTCATCCAGGAAATTTGGACAAATATCATAAATAATGGTACGTTTGCTGATTTATTTCTTATTTTTTGTTAGATAATAGTCGAAATTATATAATTTGCAGAATTGAGGGATGCGTCGACGGCAGAGGATAAGATGGCTATTTTAATGAGTAAAATCATATCCCTCGGTCAAGAGTACTCGGTATCACCGCACTGTTTTCCAGTTGGTAATAACAAAACTGTTACACAATTATTAAAATATAATGAAAAATCCCCTTATATCCATCTCTGATATTCTTTAGATTTTCTGATAAAGCAGTTAGAAATCAAAGCGTGTAAATTGAAAGTGTTGAATACTGGAATTATATCCGGGTTTCTGCAATTAGGAGTGTCGATGGAAGATCTTCTAGATATTTACAAGTGAGTAAACTATGCTCCGTTCACTTGAATAAGAAATTATTTATACGTAATATCCGTTTAGAATGATCGGCAAAGATACCCGAACTTGGATGAACGAAGGAAATGAATTTCATCTCATAGAATCGACAACGAACTTAGTTAACTATTTTATATCGCATTCCAATATTTCGAACAGTCTTATACGGTAAGTACATGTCTCGCCTGAATCTAAGCGACGTAATTAAATGATCGTAAATTAATTCGATTGCAGGCGGAAGATAATAACGAAATGCCAAGACGTGATCTCGAAATGTTTAACTACTCTATACAACAAAGTCCATGCACAAGAATTGATCACGAAACTGCGATCGATTCAAAACGTCCTAGCCCGCATGTAAGAATCTATCAACGCTTCGACTGTTTTTATAATGAACCGTTTTATAAAATTGTATAAATTGACATTCAACTTGTATCACGGGTAAGATGTTATCAAAGAATAATGTAAATACGAGACCTGAAGTGCTCAAACATTTTTTAGAGATATCGTCTCTTTTCGTAATAAAAAGTGTGCTGAGATTGCGATCTTTTTCATTTATGTGATAACAATAAAATTCGAAATACTTTACGTCTAGCGCAACGATTCTCTATCCACCGTTACGAGTCCCATAAAATTTGAACATCGATCGTAAACAGTTGTGAGTCGCATTACGAATGATGATACAGAAATTGAGCCGACGTTCAAAACTTTTGTTGGTCCTGAAAAGGACCGTTTGTTTCCGTTTTTTTTCCTAGCAATTTTCCCTTATTTGGAGCTGGTGTATTTGGTGACCGCCTTGGTGCCTTCGCTGACCGCATGCTTGGCCAACTCGCCAGGTAGCAACAGCCTCACGGCAGTTTGAATTTCCCGTGAGGTGATGGTTGATCGCTTATTGTAATGCGCCAGCCTGGAGGCCTCGGCGGCGATGCGTTCGAACACGTCGTTCACGAAGCTGTTCATTATGCTCATCGCTTTGCTGGATATACCGGTGTCGGGGTGCACCTGCTTCAGAACCTTGTAGATGTAGATCGCGTAGCTCTCCTTCCTCCTCCTCTTCTTCTTTTTATCGGTCTTGCTAATATTCTTCTGAGCCTTGCCGGCCTTCTTCACGGCTTTACCACTGACCTTTGGCGGCATCACGAATTATTCAGAGATCGAGAAACTCGTAGATGAAAAATCAAGAACCCAAGCAGCAGCAATCGATCGTACGACGACGGAGTCTGAAGTGGTTTTGCCGGGTACGCCGAGAAGTCGCCTCGCTTATATAACAAAACAGGATGCCAGCTGCCGACCAATCAGAGGAGCCGGCAGCTGCGACCTACTAGGAGCCCCTCGCTACCGTTACCAGGAGATTGATTTCGTAGTGTATTGAATACGCACACATACACACGCTTCCAGCTCGATTTTTTCAACAAAAGTACCTTATATAAAATAATATTCCATAAGTATTAATACATCTTATTCACGTAAATGATAATAAGAATATACAGTGCTCTGACCTCAAGCACTTCTATATTTTTTAGGCGATATATGTTCTTCGAAAGATAAAAATTCGTTAAACGTGCTAACTCTTACAGCTAAACAAAATGTATAACTATTTTGTGGCCCTGCAAAGAGTTCTCCGATATTTTTAAGTCTTCTCCTTGGGCAAAAGCACCAAAGTACGAGCCTCAATACTGAAAATAACGATTTGTACAACTCTGAACTTCATAGTAAATATATCAGATTATTTAACGATACACGAAAAACATGAAATACATGATTGTATCACTTACAATTCAGACGATTTTCAATAGGATGAAAATATGTAAATAAAAAGTTATTCCAAGGAATAATAATATTCAACACATGGGTGTGCAGTATATAATCATGTACATGTGTGGGTATGTACGATCCAAGCGTGGTATGTACATCTGTTCCCTCGAGCCAATCGGAGCGCTTCTCGCCCGCTATTGGTCGGGACGTGGCATTCACAGAAGCTATAAGTAGGCTGAAAAAGGGCCAGTATACGCATTCATACAATTTCTACCGAATCGTTCGGTTGTTGCTGTAAGAATAAAGTTAAATTGAACATGTCTGGACGTGGTAAAGGAGGAAAAGCGAAGGCGAAGGCGAAGTCTCGCTCGAACAGAGCTGGACTCCAGTTTCCTGTCGGTCGTATTCATCGTCTATTGAGGAAAGGTAACTACGCAGAACGCGTTGGCGCCGGAGCACCAGTTTACTTGGCTGCAGTTATGGAGTACTTGGCCGCTGAAGTTCTGGAATTGGCGGGAAACGCTGCGCGGGATAACAAGAAGACTAGGATCATTCCGAGACATCTACAACTGGCTATCAGAAATGACGAGGAATTGAACAAACTTTTATCTGGAGTTACCATTGCTCAAGGTGGAGTCCTGCCCAATATTCAGGCTGTGCTTTTGCCTAAGAAGACTGAGAAGAAGGCTTAGAGACACCGGAAAACGATCAAACAAATGGCCCTTTTCAGGGCCACAATTGATAAAACGAAGGAAAACAATTCGTTATTACTCATACCTATTCTCCCATATTCCCCATTAATTATCTATTCTAAAACAAGTAAATTCTACGAAATAATTTTATTTGCTGCTATGCTATACAATATTTTAACGGAGGTGAAAGTATTAACCTAACAACGCGTCATTTCTTAAGCACTACTGATTTATGAATTTCCGTTTGATCCATTGAACGTCTGAGTAATTAAATATATCTACCAATGTCTTTAAATACGACATCAATTAAAATGCATACGTACATTGTTTAAGTATAAAGTATTTTATCACGATCTCATGATGTTTGCGTTGAAGGTTGCATCGTACGATACACATTTCCAATTTTAAGTAAGTATTCGTAGTATTTACGTACCATTATAACTTGTCTTGTATGTATGTAAAATTACGACGCAATAGATTTGGTCACGTATCACTGCTACGTATATTAAATTTATCGTGGATAGATGCGAACGAGTTAAGTATAGGTTAAGAATACTTACATCGAATTTTGAATGAGTTCAATAATGTATTGTATTCGTGCTCACGAATCTGATATGGTTATTGAAAAAGTATTGGAAAATATTCTACATGGATTCCAAAGATAGAGGAAGATATTTATAACCACTTACACACCTCAAGGGAAGAGTGTTTCTTAACATCTCATGGAATGAACGTTACGCGAAGAACAGAAAATTGCTGTTAACTTTTTATAATTATTTCTCGATGAAGATCGATGTCGAAGTTCTGAATGATTTTTGAACAATCTATGCGTTGGTAGCATCCTATTCGTAAAAAAAAGTGTAAAACATCCGAGTCCGGCTTGAAGTTGTTAGCTGCAAGTAGCGGGGGGTAGTGGTATAGGTGGTATATTGTATATATATGTATGGTAGTTTTACTCGGTTTCGCTGAACCAACGATTTACATAGAAAAAAATGATTCCACGCGTAATATGAAACGAAGAAAACTAGTTAGCGGCATAAGAATGCGACGTTCGTAATTATACAGTTAAAATTTCTTAGCGGTAAGATTGAGAACAATTATCAGAATTGTATCGCGTGACTTCGACGTATATAACCTGTTATCTTGTCAATATGTAGTACGTTAACTTCGCTGTATCAAAGTTTACGCGTTAAGATTTCGGCCTTGTTTTTCGCGTGTATTTAAGAACGAATTTCCTTCGTAGTACATTTTTATTATTCCACGTTTTCATTCAATATCTTCCGTTCCGCGACGTTGAAACTACGACATCCTTGGAGTCGAGTATCAATGCTGTTCTCGTAGATTACAGCCTAAGGTGGATCGAATTCTCTTAACAAGGCGGCATGTTCGTAAGAGTCTGGTTGCGAATTCTCACGGGGGATGAATGAGGACGAGTTATTAAAACGGTCTGCTGCAGAGCGAGATAGAATATTTAGCTGCTACGACCGTGGTAGAGAGAATGGAGCAGAGATTGATCCTTGGGAAGATCCAACCTACGAAGTGTACCATACCACAGACAGATATGGATTTATACAGTAATTATCACGTAGCAAATGATAAAATATTACTATTCCGTTTTCGTTATACTTCCTTTCGATTATAGCGATAAGCGCTTACCGCAAAAGCCAGATCCTAACGAAATCAAGAGCCACAGGGTGGAAATGGAAAGATTAAAGAAATGGGAAAAGATGACGAAACAGTGGGACAGTTCTGCGACTAAGGAGAAATTGAGGCGAAGAGTATATAAAGGAATTCCTAACAGGTTTCGCGGTCAAGTTTGGGCATTGTTACTGGGTATTAAAAATTTGAAGAGAGAACAAGCTGGTAAATACGACGAGATGTTAAAACTCGCGCGTCAATGGTCCACTGAAATAAGACAAATAGATGCAGACGTGGCTAGACAATACAGAGACCATATCAATTACAGGTATGCTTAGAGGAATCTATATAGAACGATATCTTTAAATCAATATTACATATTGGGTTTTTATTTGTTTTTAATAGAGAGAGGTATAGCATAAAACAACGATCTATGTTTTATGTATTGGCTGCCTATAGCATGTATAATATGGAAGTGGGTTATTGTCAAGGGATGTCTGTATTAGCTGGGTTACTCCTATTGTACATGGATGAAGAAGACGCATTTTGGGGTCTTTCTGTGTTACTTGCTGATAAGAAGTATACCATGCATGGTTCGAGCTAGCTTCACAAGTTTAACACTAGAGAAGATCACGATCTGTTATTAAAATATATTTATTCGTAGGATTCTACGTCGACGGGTTTCCAAAATTGAACCGTTTCATCGAGCACCATGATAAAATTATGAACAAATTTCTACCGAAACTGAAGCGGAAGCTTGATAAATGCGGTTGCGATTCTATTCTTTACGCGTTAAAATGGTTTTTCGTGGTTTTCCAAGAGAGGGTAAGAGCCGAGTCGTTATTTAATCTTTATAAGGACTGGCCGTGATACGTATAATTTACTTGAAACAGACACCTGTTAGCCTTGGTCTCCGAATTTGGGATGTATTTCTACTGGACGGAGATCGTATCTTACCCGCCATGGCGTACACGGTCATGAAAATGCATAAACGATTTCTCATGCCGATGGAGAGTCTAGATGAGTTTTGTAATTATTTGCAAATCAAATTAGAAAAAGACTTCTGCTTCGACGACGATACGGTCGTAAGTACCATGGAGCGCAGCATGGAAGAGTTGAAACGCGCCAAGTTAGATTACCCTGGCCCTCCCTTGCCACACGAATTGCCACGAATCCCGTTTGGCACGTTCAAAGAACCTACGTTCGCAAGCAAGGTATCCCATATCCTACATCGTTATTAGATCGCGAATTTGATACATTCACAAGAAAGTCTATCGCGCACGACGTAAATATTTTATGTAATGTATAAAAATTGTTAAAGGTCGGAAGACGTAACGAGGAGTTTAGTGAGGCGCAGCACGTGATGCGCGAGTCCATAACGCAGCGTAGGGAAATGGTAGTCGTCACCGAAGACGGGAGAGGAAGTACAACGCCGGTTGAACAGACTAGTTGTGCTCTTGGCGGTGAGTTACAATCTAGCGAGAACATAGTGCACGTTAACACGAATGCTTGCCTTCCACATTCTAAACAAGAGATTATTAGTAAAGACAGAGATTCAGATATAACGTTTATTTACAATACTAGATTGTAAGATACTCAAAAGTATTATATATATATATATATATATTGCTCAATTATTATGTGTATATACAAACGCACATAGAGGTAAATAGAATAACATGTAAGCCATATATTTTTTCAAGTAGCACAAAACTCGGAGTTCGAAAATTGTAACAGGAATTTTTCCATTCATATTTTTTTTAATGAAATAAAACAGTGATGAGGAGTAACAGATCGTGATTATTGTAGAATACTCAGGGAGACTTTTTAAAGCGGACGTATTACACTTACTATGCGAAAATCGTTTGGGTCTGCAGTATAATGAGAATTGTATTACATGTGCAGGGAGCAAATTCTCATTTGACCCGAGCCTCGACGATGGAGCATCTCCCAATGGCTCACGCCGGTCATTGGCAGACACATCCGTCACGTCGACAGCCGACCTGTCCGTGTTTAGTTCGGCGACCCGGTCGCAGGCGTTAGACAATAGTCTCGATACTCAAAGTAACATTTCTAATGCCAGCTCCGGCAGCGGTGGTTTACCGACGCCGCGAGCAACGCCTCATCAGCCAAGCCCGGACGTTGTACGGATATACGTGCCGTATACGTCGCCGATGTCCGGCTCATACAAAGACGATCTTCCGCGTACGCTACCACGTTCGTTAGAAACGAATAGGATTCGGATACGGGTCGACCCCGACCAAACCCCGGTAGTGGAGAATCTGAAACCTTTCTCGCTAGAAAACCTGGAGATCGATCTAGATTTGAAGTAATTTAGCGTCTCATATGTCGATTCATGTCATTTAGAAATTCTGTTCTCGTTTTGTCTGTATTATACATAGGGAAATGAGAGATTGTACGCACTGAATAACAGTAACGATTGCGATGGCCTAATTACATTCTTTTCCTTTTTTTAAAGCATATAAAAAAGAATGATCACTTCCAATGTAATATTCCTAATCGATCAACGATGTTTTAAATGTCTGATTAAACTATATCTATATATATCATGGATAATTCTAAAGATAGCTGCATAATAATCAAGTAATATTCTACGAACTTATATTTGAATGAAGAGCAACAAGATGATGGAACTTTATGCGAAATATAAAACGAATTATACATGTAGCCTGCTGAAGTTACTTATAATATTTTGGTAGATATAGATGGGGAATTTCAACTACGAATATTTAATAAACGCATAGGACGTTAAGTAGGTGCGTAAGCGTAACGTGTAGATAATTTCTAAAGCATGCGTTTTTAAAGGTCCCTCCCTCGAACGAACAGGATATACAAAATATTTTCGGATACATTAAGGAAAACTAAAGGATTGGTCATTATACAGTATATGTGTGTATAGTAATATGAGTCAATTTTCCATAGTAAATGTAATACTTAAAAAATGAAGCAAAGAATGATATTTTTGTTACTACGAGTATATAAAATCCTTTGATTATATTTTACTGCATACGTTATAAAAAATGAAGTATACATAAAGTTCCATACTCTAGAATTATTCAATTAAATAATTTACGATTATAGACGTTCTCTGTAACACGTACGAATGGGGAAACTAGATTTATATCGATTAGTCATCGTTGCTTTCGGACTTTGTTTCACGAGTTTCGAAACGTCAGATTGGATTTGCAGCAAAGATTTGCGTTTTACATGCCAAAATATCCGATCGTGTAACCAGAAATCGGATATTCTCGATAATACATATACACGTAGATTAGAACTTTTTATATGTATTTAATTATTCTAAGGAAATTAGGATGTATAGTTTAGATGATTATCGTTAATCATTTGCTTTGGGAACAATTATGAGTTTCAGACGAACGGAGAACATTGCTTTAGATTATTATAAGATAATGATCATATCTTGGAAAGAAACCAGTTACATTCAATTAATGTTTTAAGTACTATACTGCCACGGTAAAAAATTCGTACTACTTTATTTATTTTAAGTTCTTTTTTATATAACGTTTACCGACAGGTACATTAATTGTTGTACATATGTAGTATTTAACGAAGAAACGTATCTCTTTTGTTTTCAACGAGATTGTTTAGCGAAAAACACGTAGCGAGGTATTTGCCAAAAGCTCTTTAACAAGTGATGTGAATACTGGACAGTCTCCTGATACTTTGCAGCGTATTTATTGTTTAAAGTTTAAATGTACAAAGGCGTATAGACACGTGCTCGAATAATAATCAGTTCTATAAAACATTCCCGGACAATTGCAGTATTCCTCGATGTATATAGAGCACGAATCGTATTAATTATATAAATAATATAACGACAGCAATCATTTGTTACATCTAACGAGTAGCGTAAGGGTAATATTTGTTAAATAAATATTAAATGTTAACGGTTCGAATCTTTATCGCATTGTAAAAGAGATCAACCAAATAATCTGTACAGTGATCTGCGTATAGCGAACAACCCTGTCTGTCCTATCGTGGCATGAACCTATCAGTTTTCAAACAAATAAAATAGATAAGGCGATATACTGAAACGCATGGAATTGTATTATAGATGCAACAAGAATCTATTAATAAACGAAACCAACAACTTATATTCAACGAAATTCCTTTGAAACTGTATGCAGGATGTCCGTCAGTTTCTAGGGTCACCCTCGCCTCACTCGATCGCCACTTATATTTTAAATAGAAAACGATAAAGTCTTATTGTTTCGTATCAACGAGAGAAGTCACTTGACCATGATCTCGCTTAAAAATATTTCGAAAGTCTGTGCAACGTAACGTCTCCAGTTTTTTAATATTTATTTTCTTATCAACATATACATCGTTTTAATACTCAGGTAGATTTATGTAACGTGAAATAGAATATGAATTCGTTCGCATGTAAATGAATAAATGTAGGTTTAAAAGTAATACATAGTAAGGGTAAAACGTATTCTAATTATTGTACTTTCTGTAAAATCCCAAGCATTTGTTTGAGCAATACTTGATGAAAAACAGGTAGCTTATTCGTATTGTCAGCAAAAAGTCGCGACCATGCTTAGCAAGTTGAAAATTCAGTACAAAACTTGTTTGCTTAGGTAGGATAAGGCGTTAAGGAAGAAATATGTATCCATTGTATTGCCACGTTAGATTTTCGGCGAGTCTAGTTGGGGGTCGAGATATTCTTTTGATACAAGGAAATAGAAAAGATATACGTTCTACATCACGTAAACTCATTTGTAGTACCTGTAGGATGTTCGAAGAATATTTGATAACGCGATGCTCATGTAACTTCTCGATGCCTGACAAGAGTCACGTTGTAAATTATACATAAGTAATAAACGATAATCCTTGTACATCACAAACGCTTGTTTGAAAATATTTTATTTTATACCTGAGCTTCGAGATATACAAAAGTCTTCTAACTTCGTTCGAAGAGATCGTGGAACGATTGTTATTACAAATTACAATACAGACGAAAACCTAAGTAGAACCAATACTGTTTCAATTTTATTTGCCCGTTTTGTTTATTCTAGTTCATGCTATATATATGTACAATACCATAAAAGATCACCTGAAGGTATTTCTCAAAGTGATTCAACATATACACTTTGTACATGAAACGTGTAATATTCGAACAATTCTGACCCAATGCATATCATCTTTAATACAAAGAAATACTATTCAACTTCTTATACGTATATACATATGTTTCTATGTATCCATTCATTTTAAAGAATTAAGTTTACTTCATTTTGAACACCAAAGAGAACGTTAAATACTAACTTAATTCTACTGATTGTTAATACTCGTGCACGTATCGAATGGCCCGGCGAGATGAATTACGAGATGAATTAAAAAAAGAAGTCTTTAATCAATATTTGGTGTAGTAACAATTAGGATAAAAAAATTATGTAGCACAGAATGATTTTACTGCTGTTTCTCTTTTCAAATACAAGTAAATGTGATGTTATTACTAAGTCGTTTTCAAATGGAAATTGTATTTGCTAATAGGCATTGCCTGTCCATTTATTATCACTTGTGGTCCTGTGTAATAACGCCATATAAGGCTGTTTCCTCTTTTCAACTGATTGGAGGCTGACAGGTGCGACCAGCAGTGCAACCAGCTGTCGTAAATTGGCATTTGTGGAGGAAGACCCGCGATTAAACTAGAAAGACGACAATGCATAATTATCATTTCCTTTTTATAAAATATAGATCAGTCGACTTACCCGCAATTATTCACTGCCATGCAATTTGACACGACTAAAAATGGATACGTGACTGTCGTTGCCACAAACTGCAAAAGGCAAAGGTAGTTTAAACGGTTCTAATAACTTATAAAGAATGATCTGCTCACCCCTATGGTAGAGACGATGTACGGTTTCAATTCACGGTCGGCTATAACGTACTTGTCGATAACATAAGCAGACGAACTGACTAATATTAATACACTGGCGTTCGCGATGAGACGCGGTATCAATCCCGCAAAGTATCCCATGATCCCATTCTCTTTGTATACTTCCACAAACGATCTGAACAGTCCGCTATTAATGGATAAAAGAAAGGAAATGGCTATAGAAATAATGCATTTTTCGATTAGTATAAAAGGTGTGTGGAATACACATCGTTCAATCGATTATGTACTTGTACTTGGTCTCCCCGCCAACAAATTGTGCCATCATCCTTATCGCAATTACATCCAGCGGATGGCTAACTATGATTCCAACGATCCTACTAATCAGGTCTCTTATCAGCTCGTATATACACTTTTTGCGCCTTTGACTGTAAGAGAATGAAAATGTATACTTGTGGCAATACTTTATATTACGTGCGCGTTACCTTTCATCTAAATCAGCATAGCAGATTTCTTTGCTCGGTTCCTTATCGAATTTAACTAATTTGGCAGTTTTTTCAAACACTACTGCACTCACTGTATAGGCACATAATTTTGGGATGAGCCCACGGTAGCAGCCAGTATAACCATCCACATTTTTAATGTATTTAACTGTAAAACGATAACTTAAAAATAAAGACTGCTTCATTTACGAACAGTGTGTGTGTCGTCTGCATTTCACAATAATAGTATAAGCTGTGCAAAATGTAAATTGTGTAAGAAGACATGTAATTGAATGAGAAAGAATCGCTTACCATATTGGAATATGTTAGGCAAGGCAAGAGCCGGTTTTCCAAATAGAGTGGTTGTCGGTCTCGGTGGAATCGGTTCGTATCCGATCTGTTGCGTTATAAATAAAAATGATAAATTTCCTTACTTGCCAGGTAATCTATGCTCAGTGTATACTTTACCTGTATCAAAACCTTAGCATACTTAATAGGATGCGAAACAGTATTCACTAAAGTACGAAGTGCGATATCAGACCACAACGGTACATCGTTGTTCGGCGATATCATCTTTAATTAGGATTTAGCTTGCCGATCTTCCCTCCGTGTTATTTATCTAGCGATTTCCTTCCTCGTATCTCTCAACAAAGCTTAGAAGAACCGTCTGCGTAAAAACAGCATGTCCATAAACAATTCGGAAACTGAACCCGGGCGATAATTGTATGTACTGTCAATGAAATATACGTGCACGATACGATATTTCAGGGACCAACAAAGAGATACGAAGGAAACAAATCGTACACTCGACCGCAAAGATTTCGTCCCTAGTAATAGTGTATGTATCCGTAGTGACATTTAAAGTAAATATTATATCGATTGTGACGACACGAAAATGATTAGGTTTTATTCTATTAACTAGCTATATAATTACGGTGATACAATACATTGAAATATATGTTCTAAAATTCAGTTCTACGTTTTATTTCAAATCGACTTTTACACACATGAATTGATTAATTAAAAATTCTTGAGAACGACTGTACATTCAATTCACAGATATGAAATCGTATGAAGTCGAAACGTGATCACATAATTATTTTTAAGATTGAGTGAAGACGACAGTCAAGAATCGTGTGACGAATAAAGTTATTGTCCAAGCAGGCATTTATTTATTATCAATCAGGTTTATTTTGAAGATCGGACACACGTATATCGGCGTGCTCGCAGTGCTCTCTGTAGAGAGCAGCGGAGAGAGCAGTTGGTAAATGACTTTTCTAGATTGTTTTCGTCATGTACATGGGCACCTTTGCTAGTATAGCGAAGTGAAAAAGTGTATGTGTATGTGAGAAATATATCGTGTCGAGCTCATCTACTATTTGTGATTCATCCTGGATTCATCCTGTTCACGCTTCTCGATGGCAGAAGAAGCTACGTACGAAGTGACCGAGTAGTTAATGTGATGTTTTGTGAAGGCAATAACGAGGTGAGTTTATTTTCCTTTTAACGCGACGAGGATACGTTGCATCGACAGGCTCCTTAGGTATCCTCGTGGCAAACACGGATACCGTTTCCACGATTCTTATGTAGAACAGACAAGAGAGAGTAAATAGTAATTGAAAAACAAGAAAAAACGTTTGATTTAATTGCGTGATTGAAACGTTGCATGGTCACGATGGGTTTTCTATTTTCATTTTCCGCGATCGGAAAATAGTTGATGAGCAAACGTTTTTCCTTCGAACTGGTTTAAGTACCCATATCCGTACAAAAATGTTTCGCAATCGAAAGAGAGTTTTGTTATTCGTTATTCAAACGCTGTTCTATTATGATTATTTGTTGGAACGAAACACGCCAAAATCAATTGATCCTATTGCGAGATGCTTCTCGTAATAACGCAATACCCAGTTTCACGAAATTCTCGATAGACTTTGCATAATGTAAGTCGAATCGTTTTGTTTTTTTAATCCCCGCAAAAGAACGTGTTGCGAATAATTGTGAAACGGTCGAAAATTTGTCTGTGATTTTTGTTGCAGAATGCCAATACAGGCACCACAGTGGACTGAATTTCTTTCTTGTCCAGTTTGCTGTCATGACTTTGATGTGGCCATTCGTGGCCCAATTTCCTTAGGATGCGGTCATACCATATGTCGTACGTGCCTTGCAAATTTACACCGTAAACAGTGTCCATTCGATCAAGTAAGCAGCATCATCATTGTCTAAATAAATGTTTTATAATCAAATTGTGAACGAGAGGTGATTCGTTTATGTCAATATTCCAGAGTGTTATCAACACGGAGGTAGAAAGATTGCCAGTGAACGAGGCTCTTTTACAATTAGTGGGTAATTCGATTCCCACAAATGTTGCGACAGCTTATCAAAAATTGCTACCACCCGAAGACCATGCCAATTACTTGGTTGCCAAACGTTGCATCGAGGAGCTTGCTTTGTATCTCAAACCATGTCAGGCGAATCCTTCTTTAACTACAGGCGTGGGGCTAGTTTCGAGACCTATGCAAAGGAAGTTAGTAACTCTGGTTGGTTGTCAATTGGTTGAGCCAGAGGGAAGAGCACGTGCAGTAAGAGCAGCTAGAAGTTTGGGAGAAAGATCGGTTACAGAACTGATACTTCAGCATCAAAATCCGCAACAACTTAACGCTAACTTGTGGGCTGCTGTGCGTGCTCGTGGATGTCAATTCCTTGGGCCAGGTAGATAATTGAGTAATGATAATAATAAGGATAGAGTAATATATATATAATAAACATCTTTTTCCTATCAGCGATGCAAGAGGAAGTATTGAAACTTGTTCTCTTGGCTCTGGAAGATGGGTCTGCTCTTTCTAGGAAAGTGTTAGTTATGTTCGTAGTTCAACGTTTAGAATCACATTTTCCTCAAGCTTCTAAAACGAGTATAGGACACGTGGTACAATTATTGTACAGAGCGAGCTGTTTCAAGGTAAACGGACGTGCCGTATAAATATATAAAAGGACGTCGCTGGAATTAATTATTTCTTTAGAGGACTCAGAACCATCGTTTTTGTCAGGTATCCAAGAGGGAGGGAGATTCGTCTCTGATGCAGTTGAAAGAAGAATTTCGAACGTACGAAGCTTTGAGAAGGGAGCACGATGCTCAGATAGTACAGATCGCGACCGAAGCCGGGTTGAGAATAGCGCCTGATCAGTGGTCCGCGTTGTTGTACGGAGATACCAGCCATAAGTCTCACATGCAAAGTATTATAGATAAACTCCAAACACCGCAATCTTTTGCTCAAAGCGTACAAGAATTGGTCATAGCACTTCAACGAACCCCAGATCCTGGACAATTGAGTAGCTTGAGACCGCAATTAGAATTGCTAGCTGCGATAGATCCTAACCCAGGTATTAAATCATTACTGTAGTGAAGTGATTTGCATTTAGGTGAACCGATAATGCTTATTTGATCGATTGAATTGCAGAAACAGACCCTCCTACGTTAGCAGAATGTCGCGCAGCATTAGAAGCCGTTAGAACCGTAGTCGCAGCGTTAGTAGAGTTCATTCAGCAACACGGTAATCGAAAAACACAGGACGGAATCCATAATGTAGGTCCTGCTCAATCGAAATACAAAGTAAGCATGTGTCGGGATCTCGCACTCAGAGGATCTTGTCCTAGATCCATCAATTGTACATTTGCTCATAGTGATATGGAACTGGATAAGTAAGTATACGTATATCTCAGCGTTCGTGTGAATGAACTTGTACATATAAATTGATCTGTCTTTAATTTTTATCAGATACCGTGCGAAAAATCGGAAACTAAGCCTCAGGTCGAATTTACCTGGCAACAATAATTCGGATATGAAAACGGATAAGTCACTGAATGGACTGAACAACAAGGCGTTCAAACAGAACGACGATTTGTCTTATCATTCCATAAAATCGCACGACAATAGTCACAGAGAGAGTGCGTATAATTGTGAAGTAAACGGTGAACGTTTGGATCGAAGTTACGACGCTGTGTCTCTTTTAGATTATAATTCTATGAACAAAGTTAATCCGATGCAACATCATACCCCGGCAAATGAAAACAATTTTATCGGTTCGTTAACAAACTATGTGTTACCATCTCCTCAAGGAATGTTGCCTATGGTACCTACGAAAAATATGGACGTGCATTGCTCTCATTATATCGTGCCCAACACACCTGTCGATTACACGGCGCCTAATCTTGGAATGTGGGACTCGACGCAGATTTCATCTAATATGACCAACGGAATTCCAAATACCAAGAAGGTAATACAAATTTATTTAACTAACAAGTCGTACCGAGCTTGCGTGTTTATTAATTTTTATGTGTCATCATACAGCAGAGGACAGTCGCGAAAACGTTAGCGATGTTACTGCAACGTAGGATGGAAATCTTAAACCAGCTCGAGACAATTGTTAACAAACAAGTACCAATGAAAACGGTAGTTGCAAGAAATGTACTCAACCGTCTTCATCTTCCGTCGTTATTTCAATTGCTCTATCTTGTTCACAGAATTACGATATGCAAGGAGATGCGTTGTCATCGAACTTGTCCATATGGACAAACACATCGAACAATCCCATGGTCCCATCGACGAATATAAACTGCAACAACAACTTCCGCTGCGCAGATCCGATTTTGTTAGACGACGAATTCGTACCGTTCGACGCGTCCTCTAATAGCAAATACGGACCGATCTCTAAGCTGTCGAAGAACTTGATCAGGACTACGAACGGTGTACAGACCAATAATTTCTACGCGGAGGGAGGAACACCTCCTGCGATCTCAGCTTACCGACCCATACCCAACGCGAACTCAATCACGTCTTGGTACTACGGCAATCAACGTAAGTACCATAAAAAATCTTATTAAAGTGACTTTATTTTGAGACGTGTTCTGATTGCAGCTTACGCTATCGGAGCGAACGGAGGAATACAGCCTATAAATAACACCGGCATTGGAGACAGTTACATTACCTTTGGTCGCAATATATCTGACACGACGATGCAACTACCGAGAGCAGACTGCATGTCCAAAGAGTATATTGATATTTTAATTCCATTTATTACGCTAATCACATTTTTCTACAGCATGTAAATTGATTACAGCTTGATCCTCGAATCGCAAAAGGTTAAACAACAATTGAAACACCTTGAGAAGAAGATTAACGATTTGAAGGTACCGTCTTGTTACAAAGTCTTGCACCCGTTTAGAAAACTGTTCACAAATATGACATAAAAATGTTTAGCTAGCTACGCAGGGAGCGACGTTCACTGCAGGTGAGAGGCTAGCGCAGGAATTGCAGATGATCGAGGCCGGTATCAGAGAAAAAGAAAAGGACGTGCGGAACTGGAGTCCATATGGCACCGTGCCTTGGATTCAGTCGTCGAACAATTTGCTTAGCCCTCAGAATTTCAATGCGGATTACAAACCCGAGGAAGTAAGTTCGACGAAATACTGGTGCATCGATAAGTACCGTTGTCGAAATATTAAGCGAAACGTGAATGTTCGTTTGTCAGGAGGATACGTACGAGGCTGGGATCGCGAATGACATGCGGGAGTTGGAGTTGCGATGGGAATTTGAGCTTCAGGAGCAGGAGAAACATTGGTCGAGCGAGGAGGACAATTCGAAGAAATAATAGTAAGATAGTCGTAAGTCTTGCTACGTTTACTTCTTAGATCTGACAATGATTCGGTCGAACAGAACATGTCCTTTTGACATGATTTTAATTGCCATTCGCTCATCGGCCACGTATATCTAAAGAAAACTGACTGAAAGTAAATGAGGTTTTTACTGCTGCGTAAGAACAATTCAACTTCCATTCGAAATCATGAGGAGGTGACACGCGAAACGTTTAGAACACTTGTCGCATAAATACAAAAAGAATTTATTATCCCTACTTTAAGTAAAACAAATTTTCCTATCAGTATAGTGTGTAACGCGAAGTGGATTTACTACTTTTCCATTTACTATGCCTTTAATAATCTTGATAACGTAATATTCGTTCTTTATCTATGGGAATGTATTTTTCCTGGGATTATTACCAGCGTAACGATTAAAAAGACTAGCTGTAAATATTGTAATATTAACGAACAATTTGTTAAATGCATCAAATCTCCTTCACGGTGGGAAATATTCGTATTTAGTTGTGCAGGAAGTCTCATCTGTTTGATTTTCTAGCTGCAGTACAAGTTCGGTACTAAAACAACATTGAAAAGTGAGAGTTAGCTGCCGCATTGAAATCGTGTTCATAGAACCGTTGAAGGTCGATTCATGTTTCGTTACGATCATTGTAGCGGGAACATGCGATGAACGTAAAGGAATTAAAAGCAGGCGAGAATACATTTGTTAAAATTTAACAGAAATTGACTGTGTCAGTGTTTTATAAACATGACGGGGTGTAGTATATTTTGTTTATATATGTTTGCACAATGAAGCAAAGGAATATTATTATATTACTGATACATTCGGAAAGAATGCTATTTAACCCGCGGCGAGGTTACAGGATTCAGATATACAGATACATAATATAGGTGTTATGCATACATGAAATTAACATATTCTGTTAAAATTTTGCATAATTAAGATATACATATATTGCTTCTAGTACAAATACGTATATATATATCTTAATTATATATAAATATATAATTAATTAAATATATATATACATATAACAAATTATTTTCTAGTTGGTGATACAAATTTTTTTTAGACATCTACGTACAATACTTCACTCGATTCGATAATATTTCAACAGAGATTTAAGGATGTATTGGCTATACAGTCAATCCCAAAAGTTTATGTACCTTAGAAAAACGCATTTCCTATAATTAAAAATAGTACATTCTTCTTCTAATTTCGATATTNTCTGATTTCTTTTTAAAAAATGCGTTTCTAAAGTGCATAAACGTTTGGGATTGACTGTATAGCCAATACATCCTTAAGTTTCGAATTTCTGTTTTCAGTTTGTTAAAATCGTTTGACGTTCAAAGTCGGTAAGATTTTTAGTATAAACCTGGGATTCAGTATAAAACTTCTTTCTTGATCGTTTGATTTTGCAAAATTAAAGAGATCTTTTTTTTTTCTCAACATATAGTCAATACTGAGAGTCCTATTTCACGTTTTTTAATACAAAAATGTTAGAGTTTGAAATACTTTAAAGGTTCGAATAAAGAATTGTGAAAATCGAGGAAAATTGACCGATATCGAATTTTCCTTTAGTTGACAATACGATAGTGGAAAATTACTTATATATTCCATTTGTGCCTGGTACAAACAAAAGAACTATTGCATTTGAATTTAATTCGCTGTGACCAATTGTGGCGACTTAAGGTCTTCGAGACTCATTATTTTCTTTTTGCTGCGGAACGAAAACAGACAATTATGCGAGCTGCAGCTCTCACGTTTGGGAACAGTGTTTGATCTACGGATTTGAACGAACTAAGACACGACACACCGTCACATTGGTTTCCCCTCAATTAGAAACTTTAATTTTCAATAATGTAACGTTTCAGCGCGCGCTGTTCTTACTCCACATTGTAAATCGAACGAGGCAAGTGTTTCATTTTACGTCGCGGAGAAGAGAAATCCTCGTGTAATTATTACTTGCATTTCGCGTGCATCTATTAATTTATTGCGTATATTCGGAAATATTTCCCTTCTATTAAGAGTCGAGTCACTTAATATTGAATTAATAATTCTCAAATGTGATAACGAAAATTTGATCAAACCGAGTATATTGATCAAGTACTAGCTTCTTTACAATGTAGTGTCTTCTCGCAATAGTTTTTGGATTCTTCTGTTCTATTTTTGTTTTTGTTCTTCCTTTTTTACAAAATAATGTATAGTATAAATATCGATGATTCCAGTTTTAGTGGAAACGACGTATAGACTTTTTATGAGACGTGTAGAGGATCAAGGAAAGTTGATCTTTTTTCATTGATGAAAGAAAAATACATATACATATATGTGTAAGTGCATATTATTTTACATTCACTAACCACGGACACTAGGTATGTTCGAGTAGAATTATTATTTCTTTCCTAAGAATGTGCCTTCTTCGATCATAAACGAGCATACGATGTAATAAACATTTTTATAGTTGATCGTAAATACGTAAATAGTTGATTTCAATGTAACCGAATCATTCTGCGAGGCACATTGCTCCCGAACTGCAGAAAGAAATGTAATCTCGGAACATAACTAGTCTCTCATCAAATGTTTACGATGGTGCAATTTTACTTGTTTTATTGATACGACGTATGAGGTTCTTTTGGCTGGAAATTATTCGAAATTCTGCTGAGCGTGTGGGATTGTGTTTACCTGCGATGCAATTGGGTGTGTTACTCCTTAATTTCTCCCACGAAACGATTTCTTGCGTTTCCATAGAGCAGAGGAATATACATCACAGATTTACGTAACATGCAATATACGTATTGAAACCTTCTTAATTGGAGTACGATTGGGACTATGTTTAAGTTTAGATCTATATTTATACACGTTCGAAAAATATGTTACAAGCTTCACTATTTATTTTGTTACTGATTTCATAGACGAAATCTCAAAAATAATGATAGTTTATCCTGAAAAACTTAAACTTCAGACTGTTTTATTTATGTGTGCATTATCCATCGGTGATCCACATGTACGTAAACGGTGGGTACTTGAAATTTAATTTTTTCAGAAGTTAGAGGTGGTCGTTTGTACAAATCCTTTCCTTATGTCGAAGTTAATTTGCTATGTACATCGTTATGTTTCGACACACGATTGGCGATGATTCATTGAAGAAAGTCTGTGTGACAATATTGCAGAAAGGGGCCATCAGTCTTCTAATTTGTTCTCTTTGATACATAGAAAGAAATGATAGTTTTTACATGAAGCTGTGGCAAAGACTTGAATCAAGAGACTTCGAATCGATTTTACAATTCCGACAAACGCATTTTAGTCTAATAGAAATGTTCCTTTCTGTAAACGGACACCGTCTTCACAGCCCGTGTGTGTTCAACGCATTGCGAGACATTGATTTTCTCATTTAAATTACTTTCGTATGATTAAACTGATTTGTTTCCATGGAAGACCGCGTGTCTTAAATATTTTTCATGTTCAAATGAATCCGTTTCCTTTGTCGAATGTTGCTGTTCATTTTCATTTTCTGTTTGATCTTTTTTATTCGTAGAGTACGACTCGTTAGTAAATATAGAGAGTTAAAAGCGAAGAGGGCTGTGTACACTGGGAAGTAATAAGCGCAACAATGATGTTTGTGCAAGCTTCGGATTAATTGCATGTTAAACATGTCACTATATGTATAAATAATACATACGTACCTATGTTAATGGTATGGAGCCACATACAATCTATATTAACGTTCTTTGTTTGAACATTAATGAAACAATAATAATTATATACATATCGGTATATAATGCGTATAGTCAGCGAGCACTCGGCACTTATAGCAGTACTAATAGTACTTTTGTGACACTTATGTTAAATTAATTCCCGATTGTAAGATTTTGTTACGTTAGCAACGGACGTAATAAGCAATGCACGTGTGCAACGTTTCTGGTTTATTACAGATGTAAAACTCATTTTAGTGAGATAAATCAAAATTGATGAATATATTTGTTTATGTGAAAGATACGCCTAAATAGTATTCGCATATTTGCATTGCCTATTGCGTTCGATCCAACTGTTAGTCAGGCATTTTTAATGTATTTTTCTAAAATAAATAACTATGCAAAAACCGTATTACGATATGCAGCATATGTATATTCGCAATAATAATTATTACCCCGATTTCATGCAATATATATAGAAGAACGCATTGTATTATGTGTATATGATTTGTACTTTCATGAGAAGCACGCGAGCACAAAATAGAATAAAATTTCAGTCGGTTGAGAACAATTGTTTTAATCGTTCTTTGTGAGATACACGTTAGCTATCGACGCTAAAAATGTTTCCGATAAAAGTTGTAGCTCTAGTTGTCAGCTACAAATAAGATCGTATGCAATTTTCCCGTAGGTCCAACGGTTTAGGAGTATTCGAGCAAAAACTATAAGTATTTCTTTTCAAAAGTTTTGGGCGGTGAGATATGCCTCGTATTCGAATGAGATCGTTTGTATCAATGAAAAAGCTCCGGTAGATGACGCCACGGTTCACTATCGAGCGTGAACAGGATCGTTCCAGCAGTGCTGGACTTATTGTTAGTTACTCATAAACTGCTCGTAGTAGTAGCAGCAAGTAGTACTCGTGTTGCCGCTGTGGCCAGTTTTTCTCGTGGTGCGAACGTGGAGAAAACTGCTGCGCGGTACCATCCACGTTGGGAATATAGGACTCTGGTCCGTGTATATATATTGAACGGGCGTGGAGATACAAAACCGTTTCGCAACGTTCGGCTTTCCATCGGTTGTCAGTGCGACGGACAAGTTCCGCGTCGGTGGAAAGTGCGCGAACGGTCGTTGGAAAATCGATGTCCGCCGTTAAGTCACCACGTGTGTGCAATTATGTATTCCCTCGTAGACGTGTGTGAAGATCGGAACGTAGCGCACAACAGTAGTCCGAGCGAGGGTCAGCAAGTGGTTCGTGTTAGCGTGTTCGAAAAATAAGTAATAGAACGCGTAAGCCTGAGGAATTTTGCTCGGTATTGTATATATAAGGAAGTGACATAGGAAATATAATGCCGGACGGGCGAGGAAACGCGATGCATGGCGTAATGCCGCCGCACTACTTGCACGAGTTGCCGGCTGAAGACGAGGAGAGGCTCGAGAAGATATTCGAGAAATTGGATTTGGACGGCAACGGAAAGATCGACGTGAAGGATCTGTCGAAGGCCCTGCGGGAAGTCGGAGTCGATAAATATTACGCAGAGGTAAAGAATTCTTGTTTTTTCTTTTTCCTCGCAGCCAGTGCGATCGAACAATGCGGATGTACGCGACTTTGAAGTTATCGAACGGTACGCCACTATTATCAATTACTTTCATCACGATTTTACAATGCGATTTGTAAAATGTATTTCGTTGCGTGTCTGTTGTGTACTCGACGTTGCACATTAAAGAAATTATATTAGAATGCATTCTACGTTTCAAGTATCGTGTCCTTGTTTCAAGTAAATGGTGTGTTACAAATTAAAACTATATAGTACAGATGACGTGTTCTTTGTAGTAAGTATTTCATTTCGAACACAAACTTATGTTTCTACAAAATGCATATAAAATGTTTTACGCAAATTTCTCTTCGGTTTAATAGGAATAACTACGAGCTGTTGATTTCAGGCGTTCGAACTGCGTTGTTTAATTTTGTAGAAGGTTGCCGTTGAATATTCTTATATTGGCCTTAATACAATTTGCACGGTTTCATCAAGGTTAATACCATTTTGTTTTTAAAGCTCCGACAAAAAATCATGAATCACGGAACAAAGACCTTCGCGTAAAATGAAATTATTGACGAACGAAATCCCTTAATCTTCAGTGAAATCCTAGCGGATAGTCTCATTGGCGGAGCTTTTTGAACGTTTCTCTGTTTCTTTCCAGAGATTTTTGGCAAGATCGGATAGCACTAAGAGCGGCGATATTACGTTAGCGGAGTTTATACACTATGTCCGCGAACATGAAAAAAATCTGCGTCTGCAATTCACTCATCTTGACAAGAACAAGGATGGTCAGTAGATGTACGAAGATATTAAAATTATCTAACGTACATACGTAAAAGGGAACGCGAAGGTGTTTACACCTTTTATTGGTTAATTCCCTAAATGTATTTTATGCTTCCATTCCTATGATCATCCCATCCTTATTAAATATCATAATTACTTTTATGTATAAATTTTTACTGAAAGAAAACTATTTCTTTCCTTCCCTTTGGTTCATTATCAATCGTTTTGTACACGGATTACTATCGAGTCAAATATGTTTGTCATCTGATTTATTCATCTCTCATCCTTGGTTTTATCGATGCTTGATACAATGAATAAATTGCGATGCTTCTTGGGTAGGTAAAATCGACCTGGAAGAGTTGATAAAAGCGTTTGAAGAATTGGGAATAAAAATGGACTACAACGAGGCGAAGAAGTTGTTGCAACGGTAAATATTAAATTCGATGTTTATCTCAATCTTGATGTATGAGTTCGCGAAACGATCAAGGCAATGTTCGTTCACAGAATGGATAAGGACGGGAGCCTTACTATAAGCTTTAACGAATGGCGGGACTTTTTACTGTACGCGCCGAGTTCCGATCTTCTGGGTTTGATCGAATACTGGCATCATACGAACGTAAGTAACTGTTTTTAGTGAATCGTATTAAAAATTAATGCAGAATCAGAAAGATACAAACATTGTGCAGGGTGTAGTCAATAATAATTGTCTTCTGTTCGACAGAGTTTATCGAATGAATTTAAACAAATCGCGCCTCGTTCTTGTAATTTTATAATCACCGTGTATTGTATCATTCTAGACGAAAATTTTTATCGATTCGCCCTGTTTAATGAGAGAACTGCTGAATTAGTAATCGGTTCGAGACCGGCCGCGGTAGCGATTGTACGATGAACTCGTGTGCGTACGCGAGGAAGGATCGAGGCCCGATTCCAGGCCTCTGATTCGTTGACGGTGAGGGCTCGACCGGAGGTGTGACGTAGCGGTCGTCATTCAAAATGACCTTGGTAGTTTCCCAGCTGTTTCCGCAACCTTTCCCCGCGGATCAAGCCGCCGTTCCTCCGCGATTTCGTTTCGTCACGCATGCGTTCTCGGCGAGAATTCGCTGGCGCACGCTCCATATATTCCGCACCGTCGCGCCTGCCTCGTTCACTCATTGAAAAAAAGGGTTAACTTAGACGTTCGCCGTGAGAAATTTCACTCGCGTTTTAGTGAAAACGTTCGTTGAATTAACTATAAGAGTGATCGGAGAAGAGATATTGTAGGTGGACACTTGTATCATCGATTACGTCACGCGACCCTGCGATCCTATGTATAAGCGTTGCTCGATCCTTCCAGCTTTTGTCTTGTTTCACGCGAACCCCACATGACACTCGACAGTAGTTACTCCAACTTTTGTCTTTTGATCTTATGCATATACACGTCTTACGACGGCACATGCCGAGCTCTCTGCTCATTAGAATGTAAACATCTTGTTTATTACTTTTCAACAATAACTATAGTTTACGATATCGCAAAATTTATTATATCAGAAGCACGAGAAGTATGATGCACGTCCGATATTTTAATTTCAATAATTGTTATTTGGAATATCCGTATCCCAAGTAGAAACGCAGATGTGAATTACCCGACCGGGAAGGTCCTTTTCCTTTGGACCACTCGTTAAGGCTCAGTTATCTATGACCCCTGGCTTCAAGTATTGGGCCCATGACCAATGTTCTTATGTTTTCCTAAATCTCAGCGGGTCTGGCAATCGTCATCTTCTCTTATGTCAAGAGGTGCTCTCTGATTTTGTTTAAACATGATTTGTTTACTGAACCACTGCTCGGTTGAGATAATAAGAAAAAGGCCAAATAATTTTAAATCGATAGCGCTTAATTGCTCAATAAACAATGACAAAGATTAAAGGCTATCGATGATGTTTCGACAAAAAACAATGCTGTTTTCTCATCGGCATCTTTGTAGTTTGAACTTAAAACGCGGGATTTCTTGGAGTGGCGAAACATCTCGCAACGTTTCGTCAGCCGTGCGTTCACTACGTGTTACGTACGTATGTGTGTGAGGTCATCGTCTGCCGGCTGCTAAAAGAGCCGACAGTGCTGTAACGAATAGAATCAGATCGGCTCTCTCGACTCGACCGTTCAGAGTCCAAATAGAGATATCAATATGCTATAAACAATAATAATATTTGTACGAGATATAATTATTTTAATTTCGTTTGCTTTAAAATCTATTATCGATGTAAAATTTGTAAAATCAGCACGATGACGCACATTTTGTTATTCACACGTATTTCCGTAATGCAGTTGTTCCCAACTGTTGATACGCGTAAATTTGCGTATTTTCAAAATAATTTCCCAAGCGCAACCGCCACCGTGTGGCCAAATAACTTACCCATTACGGCATTCGATTTTGGTGTCGGAATGGTTAACTTTCACGCGAAAAGAGGCCACATGGTCGCACGTTCTTCTCGAACGTGCCAGTCACATAAAATCGAGTAGAAATAGGTGCCACAGTTACTGTAATACATATCGTCCACCACTGGTCGTAAAAATACATTGTAACCCTAATGGGATTGCAGGAAAATGCAAATTTGAGTCGAGAGCGATTCATTCGTAAGAGCACAGACCGGTTGTGCCATATTTTCGCACGCCTAATAGAATACTGGCTGATCGAGAGAGGGTTTTTGAACGTCGTTACTTAATCAGAAAATTTACAACCAATTTACAGCTGGCACTCTCCTTGAAATGATACATTTAAACAGCGTGTGACGTATGCACTGTAGATATTGCGGGAAATATGGTGGGGGTCGTCCCCGCGGTTAGTTAGAACGATATCTTTGTGTTTCAATGCTCCGAGAGAGCCGTTTTTCGATACTCCTTTTCAATCCCTCAGTCTTGAGATCGGACTCCGAGCTTTCAGTTCGCTGGCTGATGGCGAGGCTCGTTTCATTCAATTCTCGCACTTCGTTCGGACGGTCTATCGTCGTTTGTATCTCCATGTCTGTTCATCTCGTGTCCTCGGACGTGTTTGAAGAGCCCTCGGCCGCGATTTAAACGTTTCTTCAGTGACAGAAAGAACTTTCCAGTGAACACGGTTTTCGTTACATCCCCAGAAGTGATGTACACGTTAAATAAAACTGGATTTCTCAAACATGATTGCATCTCGTCCACTTGCCCGGTCTGCGATGAATTCCTTCAAAATTATCATGAACTCTTGCAACGGGTAAGTTCCTTTTCCGTGGACTCGGGAAATAATTATCGGCGAGTATCGAGAGAGCTTTTTCCTTTGAACTTTGACTGAATTCAAACGCGGTTTCTCTCAAGAGAGATTAGAAGTGTAACAAAGAATTGTAGTAATTAAGTCGTTTAGAAAATGAGATTCGCGGATCTTGAATTTCAATATGCGTTAGATTGGTGGATCGAAGCATTGATTGTATGAGAGCACATATCTAAAGATATGATATAGGTTATAATAGTGCGTAGAGGTTATGTCTGGCGAAATTATCACGTGGTAGATTGAGGAGAAAGCGAAAGTTCAAGACTATCGCTTCGTACTTTCTTCTTTCGAAATTCTTGCGCAGATTCATTCGAATCTCAATAAACATGTTTAATTTATTGAATCGAGTATCAGGAATATTTTTTCCGCTGCTTGTCACGGTTCAAACGAGGCGAAGTAATTCCGTTAGTTTTATTGGTACGACGGCGAGACGCATACATAATTTATGAGGAATTTTGAATGAAAGATAATTAAGGAATGTAAAATGCGTCTAGAATATTTCGAGCATTTTTTTCGTGCGAATACATTTACTGGGGGACGCATGATTCTTGATTAGTATAAATAATTCAATCGGTGAACAGCGTGTCCGGCACTAGTGAATCAAACGGTGATTCATCGCGAGTGCAAATCCTTTTCCCTTCTCCGGCTCGTTCGAGATTGTTCTCTTCGTCACTACTTTATGCGGGAATTTCACGATTGATCGCATAAATTTGGCCCCATTCGAAACATTCATTCACTTATAAAAAACGCAGAATTGCTGCGACTCAAATTTTGCAACGTTCAAATTTCATTGTTTGAAAAATGAAGAAATATTCGTCTTAAGTATTTGTAAATATTGAGAATATTCGCTAAGGTGGAAATAAATGAACAAATCACGAGTTGCAGGAAGCGTTGTATAATGTAAACTAAGAATTGCATAATTATCCACGCGCGTGTCAATGCCAGTATTACAGAGTTTAAGCGATATATATGTATATGTCGAGTTTCGAGAAATGTAGCTTTAAGAAATATCATACTTATATCTGTTCTACCGATTACTATTCTAATGGAAATAAAAATTGAAACAGATCTTGTGACGAAGTAAAAATTAACGTCTACTACTAAAACGAATAAGTATATATGTAGATACATGCAAGGTCTGAGCGTAAAGTATTGTAACCAGTGACCGGGCGATTGTTATCCGACACTTGACTCCAGATATCGATTTTCCTGTAATTTCTAACCGCCATCATTTCTGTTTGCAGTTTGCTAATTATGAATCGACGTTAAAATGTTAATAACATCTGCAAATGTTTGTCGAAACCGCACTTCGGTATTATCAAACAGCTAAATTGGGACAGAAGAAGGAAGCAATAGATCTAGACTCGCTGTTATCAGATGTCTGCCTTTGATCAGTCTTATTTATCATTCTAATTGCTCCTTAGTATATATAGGATATTGTAAGATACGTGTATTGAATGCCGATTCGAAGAAAGGAATCTTGTCATACGCGGAAAGATTATTCTCAATTGTTGTCTCATTGAAAGGGGGAGATATCATTCGCGAATCTCTAAACTTGTCAGCGTAGCATGAGTTGCAGTCGGCGCTAAGGGAATATTTTTGAGTTCCCGGATTTTGCACTCCCTCTAGCTAAATTCAAAATAATCGGTCAGTCGCGTGATTAGAACACGCTGTGATTCTGTAAGCGACATTGGGCGAGACACCAAATTGTCTGTTGGCTTGAAGCCCGACATAACCGCAGAAGCTAACTAAGATTCTTCCACGTTCCCTTTCAGTGGTTTCACAAGTGTAATCTCTTTTTAACGTAAATTTTGTCAAGAGAAAAGATCGTTCCACGATGGACACCATAGATATCGATACTGATATCATCTTATTTGAATTTCATGCGAAGTTAAGTGTCTTTTAGATGAAAATCTATATTTTTATTGCACGAAATTCCATTTCGTATTTTCTGCAAGCATTTTAATATGACAATTGTTATTTTTCATTTCGAAGCTGGGTAAAAGTCGTATACTTCGAAGATTAACACACATCATTATCGGGATCTTGTTCTTTTCGCGCAAAGATATCGATAAAAGCTTCTTGTGTAATCGATCAAAGGTGTACAAGGTTGAAATCTAATTCAGTGAAACCTGACAGCGTCAAGGTTCCTTTATTTTCCCTCTTCCCCCTTCTTTTTACTTATTTTATAAATTCATGTTTGTCGTTGTTCGTTGTGTCAATGACCGTGTCCCACGTATTCACAATATTTGGCAAAATAAACGGACAACTGATTAAAGTGATACAGAACATTTTTTTTTAGCCGAGAATGTTGTACATTACAATCAGTTGTTCGGAAGAGAAACTATTGACTTAGGCGATTATCATGTCTGCTAAGCTATTTCCTTATATTTACAATTTTAATCAACGGGAGTAAAATATATTAGCGAACATTTCAAGTGACGTTAATTAGTAGCCGTGAAAAATTAATAACAATGACCGATAAATTTGTTGAATATGACGTAACGTCTGGAATCGATAAAGTGTTTGAAAATGCGTCGTCTGAGAGTATAAGTACGGCTGATCGGAGTTCAAGAATTATCTCTAACACGTGGTAGTTGAGTACCGGCTTGGCTGTGTGTTTTAAGCGGACCGGGGATATAACCAGTGAACACTGGTTGCAGAATATATTGGAAGATAAGCGAACTGTTCATTTGTTGCATATAATACACGAAAATTAACTATTTCTAATTTCCAATTATAATCACAAGATGTTTTAATAAATTCGAGAATAATTAAATTATAAAATTGCACATCCTCGATTGAAACGTTTCCATTGGAACGATGCCGAAATATTTGTATAAATAACACGTTTGACAGTCCTCCACTCTCCGATGACTCCGATATTTCTCGGAATTGCAAGATCTTTTTCGTACGTGGCAAGAATGACGCTTTACGCACTCGCACATAGCTGATAGTAACAATCTCACGGATATGGCTAGTAAACGATTATACGTTAACGAAGTAATCATGCACGACTTATCGAAGCTCGAAAGCTTCGTATTTTTATGGTATGGTCTTCTTCGATATGCAGAGCATTCGGTCCCTTCTTCTTGGTGCGCACAGTAAACCGTGCATATTTATTCGCGCGAGTTGAAATGATAACTGGGTCTCTTGTTACAGTATATGGACATTGGGGAGGACATCGGTGTCCCGGAGGATTTCACAACCAGCGAAATGGTCTCTGGAATGTGGTGGCGGCATTTGGTGTCTGGTGGCGTAGCCGGAGCTGTGTCGCGCACGTGTACCGCTCCTTTGGATCGCATCAAGGTCTATCTACAGGTGCGAATTGCAAAATAATTTTAACGATCGTATCTTCGTCTTACCAAACAATACGAGCGGCAAATGATCTTTTTTTTTTTCAAAACGACATCGATTTAATAGATAGAATTGAAACTAAGCGAATTCAGCTCTGTTTGCTTTACGAAGAAGAATACTTTCAGGTGCATGGATCGCGACACTGCAAAATCACGAGTTGCTTCAGGTACATGCTCCGCGAGGGTGGCACGACGAGCCTTTGGAGAGGAAACGGTATAAACGTACTTAAAATCGGGCCGGAGAGCGCGCTCAAATTTATGGCCTATGAGCAGATTAAGAGGACTATTAAAGGAGACGATGTTAGAGAACTTGGACTCAACGAACGATTAATGGCAGGTTCTTTAGCTGGCGGAATCAGTCAGTCGGCCATATATCCGCTTGAGGTATGAGAGTGAGTTCGACGAAGCGTGTTATCAAGCATCGGTCTGCGTTATCTTTCAGTTCTCTTATTACAGGTGCTTAAAACTAGATTCGCGCTTAGAAAAACGGGAGAGTTCTCGGGTCTAATCAATGCAACGAAGAAGATATACAAACAGGGAGGTCTCAAGTCCTTTTATAAAGGCTACGTACCCAATTTAATTGGGATTATTCCGTACGCTGGTATCGACCTGGCCGTATACGAAGTAAATATTCAAATCAGAGTTATTTTCAACATGGTCCTTCATTGATATTAAATGTTGCCCGTTTTGTTATAGACTTTGAAAAATAGGTATTTACGGACGCATGATAAAAACGAACAACCACCGTTCTGGATATTATTGTTGTGCGGAACAACTTCTAGCACAGCCGGTCAAGTGTGTTCATATCCATTAGCGCTAGTCAGAACACGGTTACAGGCCAATGTGTCGCCAGATAAGCCTAACACTATGATCGGCGTTTTTAAAGATATTATAAAGAACGAAGGAATTCGTGGATTGTATCGAGGTTTAACGCCAAACTTTTTAAAGGTACGAAATGATTTGTGTTTTAACGATATTCGATTCGCGAAATCGCGAATGTTTAACGTGTCGTTCATTTTGTTTCAAGGTGGCACCGGCTGTTTCGATTAGTTACATAGTATACGAGAACTTCAGAGAACTCCTGGGTGTTAATATGACGTGATGATTATTTATTTTAGGTGATATTAATTTAACTAAATTATTTTTTAACTGCAACCATAAGGTATACAACAAAGCCGGCCAGTCGTTGGCTAGTGTAATGAGCAATTCGGCAGATCATGCCCTTCGTTGAATGTAATAACGTCGCTTATTTATTGTTAACTCGAAGCTTCCACGATTATTTAAACATTCGCCATTATACTTTCCGGGTGTATCATACTATCGATTGCTACGAGCGCACGTTTATAAAAAAGATTTCAAGGAAGAAAGTGGGAACGTAACGAAGATGAAATGGGATTTGAATGGAATTTACACACCTCGTGTATACCTATTAATTAACTCAATTCGTATTCGCTGTTATGTTTTACACTTACACTCCACACGGAACGTGAATCAGGAGATGTACATCCATAATTTCGAAATAGAAATGATAGTACAAAAATCTTTAGAAGAGGAATGATAAAAGTATTACGACTTGTGACTTCATTTTGATCGATTTTTTTACGAGGACAGAAGAGAATGGTGTAGCCAGAGTACGTAGAATTGTAATAACTAGAAGAAACGGGTTCTTCGTACGTTTTGCAAGATTACCAGGTAATATGAATTGTAATTTTATGAAAAAGATAAATGTAAATGAATGTATTACTTAAAAATACATTACACAATGTTACAAACTCTGAAAATAGGGGAATCGAATTATATTGTTACTGTGATATGTACGGTTATAAGCTAAATTGGAGATCGTAATTCAACGCATAACGCCTTAGATCGATTCCAAAAACGTTTAACTTTTATTATAATATAAACATCTTCCAGTCATATGTTAAATAACGATAATAATAATAATAATAATAATAATAATAATAATAATAATAATAGTGTAATAAATCTTCTGTTCATCGAGGTGTTATGCCATGAATTATTGCGATTACTGCTTCTTCTTTTTTAAATCTTTTTTATAACTTACATACATGTTGAACTTGTTCTACGAACGGGTGTTTCACGCTCTCGATATTATACTTGTTGCAAGCATTGCTTCATCAACTCTTCAATTAATGAATCTTGTGAACGAGTTATGTATATTATAGTAATGTACGATTTTGATTTTATAGAAATTCGTCGTGAAATAGTATTATATATCCGCGTCCTGTTCTTCAAACTGAACACGAGAAATAATTGAACGTGTGTCGAGTGACGAAGATTACAACAGCTCTTGCAATTTACGATTCTTGAATGTTACTCGCATGTGCGTTCTTAAAATCAAAAGTGTACTCTCTCTATTTCTCTCTCTATCCTTAATTTACTTAGTTTTTTACATAAAAAGACAAAATGTAACGTAAGCAGTTTAAAGATTACAAAACCCAATTTTTCTCTGGGTAATAGCATTTACATTGTTAGATACTTTGTACAGAGAAAAGTGTAATTGAACAGACGGCTGGCTTCAATTACTGTTTAAGTTATTAGGATGGCTGCTACGGTTTCAGGCGCAGAGTTTTTGTAAATAGCGCGAGTTTCAAGGGACTGTGAAAAGGGAACCATTTTATGCAGTTGTTGCTGCACACCAGTGGCTTGGGAAGTTAGGAAGTGTTTAATTCCTCAATTTTTCAAATAATTTATCTTTTCTCTACTGCCTGATTGTGAATCTGCCCTATCTATCGAGCACTCAGTATTAATCCTCTCCGTTATTCTGATAGTCTCGCATTGCACGATTTTTTGCTTCCTCAAGGATTTCTTGTATTGTTTTTTTGTATCATCATTTTCTTTTTATAGTATGTTCACTAGTAGGTCTGAATTATTGATACTTCCTGTCCCTCCCGAGACTGCCCGAAGTTGACGATGCAATATGAATCTAGGCGGAGATTTCTTTGTCCCTCTGACATGTGGTTAAGGGTGTATTGGCTATACAGTCAATTCCAAACGTTTATGCACTTTAGAAACGCATTTTTTAAAAAGAAATCAGACGTCGGAAGAACATTGCTAATTATAAACAACAACAAAAAATTTTCGACTTTTCCGAGATTTTTCCAAGGGGTACCCCTTCAGATTTTGCGAAATTTTCGTTTTTTGCCAATAACTCCTAAACCGTTGAATCTACGGGAAAATTGCATCAGATCTTTCTTGTAGAGGACGACGAGATCTACAATTTCCATGTAAAAGTTTTNTGGCCCGATATGCATGTACGCGTAAGACTTTTGTAAAGAAATAAATGTAATTTATAAATTATTGTAAAAAAAAAGATTTAGTTCCTAAGGAATCGACACTGGTTACTGAATCGGAATTACCGTGGATATATTAACTATTAAGTATACATGTCACAAACAATATTCCTGCCTCAATCTATATAATATATTAATTCCATCTAATTAAGAATATACAAAAATACGTGAATCATATAAAAAATAGTCACTTTCTGCTGTATACCTAATATTTATCCGTGTCTTTAATTTTATGTGAACCACCAAAGAACTTTGTTGATCTGCCAAACGATAGATACAATTCTTTACTACATCGCATATAGTCGCAGCTAGCTACTTCTGTATACAGAATTATATTGACTACATGATATTTATTCTTGCAAATAAAATGTAATCGTATAAATTTTCAATCGTTATTCGTCTCTTAAGGGATGTCAATTTCGATATACCGTTAAAAGGAAAGTAAAACGTTCGATCTCCCGCTTTTACAGATTTCCCTTTTCTATTCAAGGATTATTATTTGAAATATACTTTCGTAATGAGACGTATGACATTATGTTAACATTGCCTATGTAAAATTTATTTTCAACGATTTTCGAAGCTGCTGGATAAACTAAATAAAAAATAAAGACTTCATGCAAAAATGCTCTTCACTGTATTTTACATCCGATGGAATGTTTGTATACATTTAAACGTGGAAAAAACAACAAAAACTTATTAAAATGCATAATAAAACAAATATTCATTTTCAAGTAATAAATTACGAAAAATCCTCCCGATCTTCTTCTATTAGCTATTTCAAGCAGGATGCATGTGTATACAAAAGTAAGCTCAAAAAGATTTGCTGAGCATCAAGGACGAGATAGTATGGAATGTCATAAGTTCACTGAATTTCCTTAAGCTGCCTCTAATAATTCCGCAGCAGCCTTGTCTAAAATCCAATATAACTCTCCGTTCTGCGGTTGCACGCGAGCGGCTGGTAAATTTTCTCTGTCTTGTAAAATTCTCTGCGATATATGAAATATTTTCAATGTCTTGTACTGCTACATGTAAATTAATAATTAAATTTAACTCGAATAATCACCTTGACAACATCTGCTTTGCTAGCTCCAATAACAGCAAATATACATTTCTTCGCGTTGTTTATTACCGGAAGAGTAAGGGTGATTCTAGATGGAGGTGGTTTGGGAGAATCATTGACAGGACATACCCACAAACTGGATTCGTTTAATATTTTGTGTCCAGGGAATAGAGAACAAGTATGACCATCTGGTCCCAGTCCCAGAAGTAGTACATCAAAGCATGGAACTCGATCGGGTGGGAAATACACAGACATCTTCTTTATATAATCTTTCGCTGCATCTTCAGCTATAAGTAACAATTAATTAGTACGATAGCATATGAACGGTATCCTTGTCTGGCAGAAACAGTCATTATCTTACCAGATAAATCAGGATCTATCTTTATAAATTGATCTTCAGTCACTGGTACCTTCCCAATGAACTTCGATTTGTACTCCCCATACGTGGAATCGTTGCTATCAAAAGGAACAACTCTTTCATCGCAGAAGAAGAATCTCCATCTACTCCAATCGGTCGTGATGCTGGGTAAAGACTTTGCCAATAAGTTCACCAAAGATCCTCCTGAAGAAAGCAACGTTACGTGACTAGGTAAAAATTGAAGATACATATTGGTTGTAAAAGTTTTTAATAACATACACGAATGTAGAAACATCGTGCGCCTTACGGTGTAATTTCTTGTTTAATCAAGTGAAATTAATGATGATTAATGAGAAGTAGTTTACCTGATAATCCGACTTTGAACGTATCGCCAGTCGCGAGTGCCTCCACGGCACTCGTTTGCAGAAGATTAGACAAACATGACACCACGAGTCCGTCCCGTGGCTCGATCAGAATTTTCTCCATTATTTCTAACAGCTTTTTAGAGAGTAACCGGACTCGGTAACTGTGAAACAAAGTGGAGGAACTCGGTACGTGCTGCGGGACTCGTGCCGAGTTACAAAGACCTAAGGTAGTATTAGTTATGATTAGTTATATAGTATTGGTTAACAGTAATCAGAATACAGCATTGGACCTTCGCAATGACACGTGATAAACTCACGATACCATCTTCCGTAAGTTACTATGAACGCGCGAGTTGTACTCGAATATATTCCCACGGAACCAATGTTATGAAGTAAAAACTATTTGTTGTGACAAACAGGAAAAAAAGTAGTACTTTATGCATAATATTTACATTCGCCGAAACTGTAACCTAGGCCCGATCACGAAGCGGCAATATCAATCCATGATTATCATTTAAAGTAGAGCAGCATGTAAACTCCGTTTTAATAAATTCATTCGAAGAACAAAATTCATTTAATTGTCAACTCGAATTCATGGTTCGTCGACCAACCGCTGATACAAATAGCAGATTACAATCTGTACCAAAATTCGCAAAGTGTTAATATTACAAAATGCATGCCGTAGCGGATGCAGGAGTGCTCTAAATGACAGTTGATCCTTGGGAGAAGCTGCACCATGTCGTTTTGTATGCGACTCGCTCGCAGTAAACCTATCCGTCTGTTAGGAAGCGTAGCTATGAAATGCTGGGCTTTCTTTGGGACTTACATTCTCGCCTGTTTCCTCCTCTATTGGCTGTACGGTGGAATTTTTACTTTCTTCCTACTCTGTTTTGCTACGACAGGTACAAATTCCTTGTAAAAGTATTTAATGCTCTCAATGCCTCGCATAACTCGATCTGTTTGCAGGTATATTGTATCACAGGGAAGATCAACTTGTATATCGTCCAGAATGGCCAGCTAATTCTAGGGTATATGTTCCTGCACCTTCCATATATAATTTACCTTATCAGAGTATTTATATTAGATCAGGGGATGGTACGATGTTACACATGTTCTATATTCCTCAACCAGAGGATAGAGCGAAGAAGGTGCCTACTTTATTATTTCTCCATGGCAATGCTGGCAATGTAGGGCATAGGTCAGTGCTTTCAGCATCTCGCTTAGCATCCTTTACTTCAAAATATCAAGTAGAGATCGGGGAATTTCAGGCTCAAAAATGCAGTGGGATTGTATCATACTGTTCAGTGTAATATATTGATGTTAGAGTACAGGGGCTATGGCTTGTCTCAAGGTTCACCATCCGAAGAAGGTTTATACATGGATGCCTGTGCTGGAATTGATTATTTGTTCAGTAGAAACGATATAAATACGAAAGAGATAATCGTATACGGTAGATCACTAGGTACAGATCTTTAATTTGGTCAAACGGTACCATAGCGTTGCTTAACGTTTAGATGTTTATTAAGGTGGAGCAGTAGCCATCGATTTAGCTGCAAAGCCAGAGAACTCCCAAAGAATTTGGTGTCTTATTCTTGAGAACACTTTTACCAGTATTCCTGACATGGCTACGTTCCTTTTTGGAGTAAGATGTTTACACTATCTCCCCCTTTTTCTATATAAAAATAAGGTAAGCTAATTAGTTCTCGAAATCAATCTTCCACCTCTTACATTCGAATCTAACATATTATATATTATAGTATTTGTCCATTCACAAAGTGCGGTCGCTAACGGTGCCTACGTTATTTATTTCTGGTCAGGCGGACACGCTAGTGCCTCCGTACATGATGAGTCGTCTTTACCAGAATTGTCGAAGTCCGTATAAAAAGAATCTCCAGATCAGGGGAGGGACGCACAACGAAACCTGGTGCCAGCCAGGCTATTACAAAAATCTATGTAATTTCTTAAACGAATTGAGAGAAAAGCCTCCGGCTCAAGTAACGTCCAGTCATTGGCATATAGACGACATATGATCGCCGAAGTTCAAAGCTCAATATTTAGGTCAGTCTACACTTAAAATAACATAATTTTGACGTACTCGAATGTTCGTTTACAAATTTGCATTGTGATGGATTTTATTAAGAGCATAACTTGTAATTAGACTGCGGATTTTTGTAGCTGTAGAAAAAAATATGAAAAGTGCATAGTACTATTTTTAATTTCATTACCTAAACTGAAATTACTCTGCATAAAAATTCGTAGTCTACTTATAACAAAAGGGGATCAATGTCATACCTAAAAATTTAGATCAAACATCTTAAATCCTTCCAATAGATAATATTGAAAGAACGTTCAAATAATTTTAGTTAACTATTTTCATCGAAAAACGGCTGTTTCATTAATAATATAATGTCTTGAATTGTACGAACGCTGATATATTTATACGTGTGAATTTATATAAGAATACGTATTTGTTATTTTAATATAAATATTATACGGGGCATGACTGGGCGTGTGTATGTTTATATAATGGACGCGTGTGTACCGTACGTAAATTGTAATTAAAATCTTATTTATTTCCTTTAACAATCAAGGATTTTCAATATCGAATTGCATAACTAAAGCTTGGAGTATAAATTATTTCGAAGCGATACAAGTTATTTATATTGTTGTTAATTAAAAGTTAATGAAGAAAGATTTTTCGGAATGAAAGTTGAATGAAGTGATGAATTGAAACGTGTGTAAAGCAAATAAATTTCTATACGAAGAAGGGAGGAAGTTTAAAACTTTCTGTTGACTCTCCGCCTTCTCATGGCTATTCTCTGCGTCCAGACGATGCCTCCCACTATCAAAATTGTTAACACAGTCGTAGCTAATCCTACGACGATTAACAGACCCGTACTCGAATCGAATTTCACTGTTTCATTCTCTACTGCGCTGGCGACTTTCACCACGAGATCTTCGTTAAAATGCGTCGCATTGCTACAGAAAATCGCCTCTTTCCATCCGTACCAATGCACCATTCTCACGTTCGATAATGCAGAAGGCCAAGTACATCTTTAACAAAAATTATGATCAGACACATTTTATATTCGACATATTTTAGGATTTAAATTTTATACCTCAAGTCATCCAAAAGCTCAGGCTGGCTAGAATAAAGTCTCGGTACCAAATCATTCAACATCCACTGTAGTTCGCAATTGCATCTAAATGGATTCCCTTGTAGATTAATGCTGTTCGTTTTCTTAATCCCATTGTGATCAATCAATTTTTGCGACACGAAAACTAGATGATTATTACTCAAATCTAACTACAAAAAGCGAAAAGATGTTTTAACTATTCCCAAGAGAATATTTTCACATATAATTGTACAACTTACTGAACACAAATTCATAGTCGTGAAAGCGTGTTCGTCAATCAGAGTCAATAACTTGTTGTTAGATATAGTGAGATTGATACAATCGTTAGCCGGTGATCGTAAATTCCGAAACACGTCCGTATCGATAGATTCCAACGTATTTATGTGACTTGCGATGAAAGAATTCAATTTTAACTCCGTGGAGATCGTCAAGTTTTTAATAGGATTCTCGCTGATATTAAGTTTCTCCAATAATGGTAAATTTTTAATAGATATCGTTTCGGGAATAGAAGTTAGTTGATTGTTAGATATATCTAAGGTTCTCAAGTTTTCCAAAAGAATATTTGGAAAATTGGACAACGCGTTTCCTCTAATATTAAGATGATGTATACTGTTAATCTTTAGATTTTCTATTTTAGAAATGTTGTTGTATTCTATATTTAATACCTCGAGTTGAGGTATATCGAGAAGCATTTCTCTGATTTCGTTATATCCAGAGTGCAATTGAATTAACGTGTTCGGCAACGTTTGAATTTTCAGTTCGGTGAGTAAGTTATTATTTATATAAAGTATGTCCAAAGATTTGAACTGCATTAAATTGCCGCTTGATAAATAATGAATTCTGTTAAAGGACAAATCTAAATAACGTAGATTTTGTAACGTGTTGGGAAATCCTTCAGGCAGGCCGGATAGGGAGTTATGCGAAAGATCGAGCTCAGTGATCCTCGTAATTCTTTTGTTCGTCATATGTTCTATCGAGTCCATTTGATTACGACTAAGATTTAAGTGCATCAGCATCGGAAGCACTTCTAGTAAAGAGTCGTCGAAAATTCTTAATCTGTTCTTAGAAAGATTTAAATCCTCAAGATTTTCCAAGCCGATGAACATTACTGTATACACTCTTTCTATAGCGTTCTCCGACAGATCCAATCTTCTCAAATATTTTAATTTCGTTAATAAGTTCCTCGGGAAATTGGTGGTAATATTGTTATTCGATAAAACAAGCTTGTGCACTCTTTGCTGGCGATTTAAAGTCAATAAATCAGAATTAAGGACGTCATTGTTGACTAGATCTTTCCCATTGCAGTTAATCTGCACCGCGTTCGCTGTAATATATGACATATAATTTCACTCATATTCAATTGCTACATAAAGAAAGAGTTTCTTCACTTACGTGTGCACAAACAAGTTGAACATATGTCACATACAGATGCCTGTATCGCGCACAGGAAATATAATCCGGTTAGAAATAAATAAAGCGACATTGTGACAATTGAACAAATTATATTTAAACGTAAGGCACTTTATACTTGTACACTTTAACAGATATTACTCATATGCACGGTCTAGCGTGTAGATGATATCACTTTTGATAGCTTATCAGATAACTATATTTGGGGAGAGAATAAGCATTAATATCTCATGTGAGAATTTCATAGAAAATACTTTCGATTTTAAGATAAGACTTGCATTAGTAATTCTTACCAGTTCTTATTCTTGTAGTTCGCGTGCAATGATAGTGTCTAAAGAGACTAAGATTTTTTAAAGAAGTTCATCAAAGAAGTCTGTTTAGTATTCTTCTTTGTTTTCGAGTCAGCTTTAGATTTCAGCTTCACTTCCGGTTCCGGTTCCGGTTCTTCCTCAGAGCAACTTTCATAAACATGCACTTTCTTCGTAACAAGGAAGCCATCCTCTTCAAACGTTTTGTCCACCAGTTTTAAAACCTTGCGTTTTCCAAATTCCACTTTGTGTTTGGGAGGCGAAGGTGAGCGTTCCTTTGGAGGTGAAACGCGTTCGGGCGAAGGCGGCAACTCATCTTCTTTTTCTTCTTCTTGATCAGATCCAGACTCGCTGGAATCACTCTGAATCGCAATACGCTTCCTTCTCTTTGCAGTGCTGTTCACCTCCTTGCTTCGATTACGTTTTCTGCCACGAACATTTTTAGGTTTATTCGTGTTCTTCACTGTTTCTTCCGGTATCTTCTCTTCCTTTCTCGGGCTCGTAATATGGTTCTTCTCAAAAGAATTTGTAGCTTTGTTATTCTCAGAAAAATCCGCAGTCTTACTCTTCTGAGTAGAATCTTCGTTTGCTTGGCTTTTGCCCTGTTGCAGGAAGCTACTCAATCCACCCTTTTGTGGAGCTTTCTTTGATACCTTTGCAGTGTTCTTTGACGTTTCCTTCGTTTGATTAGAAGATTCTATTTCCATTTTATCAGCGCTGGACGCTGCAGGTGGATTCTTCTGCTTATTAACAGTTTTCCCAAATAAATTATTGAATCCTTTCTTATCTGCACCCTTCTTTTTGTCCTGTTTCTTTTCCTCTGGACTTGCTACCTTTTCTTTATCACATTCTTGTACCTTCTCTCGTGAGACAGGTTGTATTTGATTGGCTGCAGCACCCCAACATAATTTGTGAACTTCTTCGTCGGTACGCACATTGTTTTCAATGCATTTGATTGCACTGTACTTGACATCCCCCTTATCAGTGAGTCCAAGCAATTGTATGTCTGGGAGTACCTTCTGAATACTGTAAACATGTTCAGATATGACTTGCCTATACTTCTTCTTAGCTGCATCCAAATCTTTCTGCCTCACGACTTGTACATGCATCCCATCATCTTCCGAAATGCCAATCAATAACACAGTGCAATCAAAGTCTTTGTCATCTTTATACTTCTGCCAGAATTCCCATAATATTTGCTTGGCCACATTAACATGAACCTCCAATTCCTTACTCAACCAGCAGTAAGTTACCTAAAATTATATCAAAACAATTCATTTGTTGGGCACTCTCCTGTATTGTTTGATGCACGCTAACGTGTAATTATTAATACAGAATAAGTTACGGTACAAGTTTATGATTACGAATAAAGATGACCTCGTGAAAGGTACTCACGATTTTATCATTATCGAATACGTATCCTCCAACGGTTTCTAGATATTCGTTTAAGCGGTCAATCATCATGTTCCTTAAGAATAAATATCAATAAATATAAATTAAAGATTCGTAGCAAAGTTTGAGTCTTTTATACGCACTTATTTACCTGAGGTTTCTTTAAATCGGTCCAGAAAGTTGTATTGCCGCTTTTCACTCTCACCCGGGCGCTACCGGCGCTACTACCACATGGTCCATGTATTATCGCAATTTTATTAGACTCAAAAAATGGGATGTTTAATAGGTTAAATGGTTATTTATAATTAGTTAGTACCACTTCGAATATTTTCTAGATACAGAGAAAATTTATATCATCCTGTTACAGACTTTTGACTTTTTTATCTCGTTCCGACCAATCACAAACTGAGTGGATGTTAAGGCGCCCTTCTAATTTATCTAAACCTTAAATTTGTATAGTTTCCGGTAGTAGGCGTCAATTTCGTTTAGCGACTCGTTTAGACTTCGTTGAATTCTGTAGAACGGGGATAAGTGCTGATCCTGAATACAATTATTAAATTTAGCTGAGAGTTACTAATTTAGAGAGTAAACACAGCAGAAGGTATACACGTACGTTATATTTTCTACTATAATTAACAATCAGAAGTATGAATACTTTCTCTACATCGTGGGCATTACTGACGTACCGTTTCCTACGTCGCACGTTATGCCAATATTGTTTTTCACAAATTTTATTCTTGCTTGAGATTCTAATTTAACCGGCACCATTCGCATAGCAAGTTTAGTACGTAGAGGTTATAATTGTTTAAGAAATCGCAGTAACTTTACAGAATTAAGATTCCTGTTAGTAAACTTATGCTTTTGTTTCACTTTCATAAGCGTGCCGTTCGGCATTTTCAGTTCCCAAGTATTTCTGGTTTTTATTTATCGTTGTCGTTTCTATGTTCTATAATTATACATTATATTTGTTCCAGCAGGCTTATGTATTTTATAATGTTTTCTGTATATTGCAGAAATGTCTGAATCGGATCTTTTAGCTACGGATCACATTGATGGTCTAGATGGACTTGAAAATGGTCAGGACAGCGATGCCATCATGCAGTGTGACAGTGTTAAACGTGAATTAAATGAAGCAAATATCGATGATCCGGTACTTATTTTATTGTTAATCTTCGATCATTTTTATTTTACATGAATCTTTACTTATCTTCTTTGTTGCAGGAATTAGAAGCTATTAAGGCACGAGTCAGAGAAATGGAAGAAGAAGCAGAAAAATTAAAGCAATTACAGTCTGAAGTGGACAAACAGATGAATATGGGTAGTCCACCTGGGATAAGTAAGTATAAATAAGTGATATTATAAATAATATAATAACTAATATTAGTGGACTACATGCTGTTTTTCATATTTTTAGCAAGTCCATTAAACATGTCACTGGAAGACAAAAAAGAAGTTGATAATAGATCAATTTATGTTGGAAATGTAAGTTAAATGTTTTCCAATTTGTCCTCTTAAAAGATTAATGACACTTATGGTAATGATATGAAATCATAGGTAGATTATGGTGCTACTGCTGAAGAACTAGAACAGCACTTTCACGGTTGCGGTAGCGTTAACAGAGTGACAATACTGTGCAATAAATTCGATGGACATCCGAAAGGCTTTGCGTACATAGAATTCGCAGAACGGGATTCCGTGCAAACGGCGATGGCTATGGACGAATCTATGTTCAGAGGTCGTCCAATCAAAGTGATGCCAAAAAGAACGAACAGACCTGGACTGTCAGTGACGAACAGGTAATTCGAAGTTTTATACGAATTGTTTATAAAATGCTTTAGAACGCGGTTAAAACGTATTTGACTTTTAGAGGACCACGTGGAACGCGAGGGTATCGAGGTGTAGCTAGAGGAATCATACGCGGTAGCGCATACTTCGGATATAGACCTAACAGACGACCTAGGTACGGTTTGTACAAAACTTCAATAGCTTCCGCTATTGCCTTTGTTCGAAAATTGTTGTTCTAACTTTTAGGAGTTACAGACGAGGATTCTATATGCCATATTGACCATTTTAAAACGTTGCACTGGGATTTTACGAATTGAGGTAAGTTCTTCTGATCTATACTACGAGTTTATCACTTTTTTATGATTATTCCCTCCTGGGCGAATCGATTTCTCGTATGTTAAGTACAAAGTATTTTTACTACATTTTCATTTTCTGTTTGGGCAATCGGTTCATATGTTGTAAAATAGTACGTCTCTAGGAAATGCTAGTGACATAAAATATTTATATAGTATTGTAATTATCAGATGAAAAGTAATGTTCACTAGCTGTTCCTGAATGAATGTGAAACTTATTTTTCAGTGACGGTTCATTGTATGTAATTAGATCGTTCTAACATTCTGATATGTCTATATGATTTTATTAAAATGATTGTAAATTCGCGATGCTATTAATCTCATTAAATTATATCGATTAACTTTTTCGATAGTATAAATTCATATTTAGATACATTAGCTTGTTCGGGAAATGTTATTACATTGTGCTCAAAACTTTCATCTGCCTCGACACTTGGCCATATTTCAATCCTAAAGTGTTTCGTTTTTAACATATATTTTACGACGCATTTCGTTTGTTCAAATTGTTAAATAATTATTGTACAAAGAGAGAGTTTTTTCTTAATACAGAGTAGTATGGCCACGTGAACTGTGACATTAGATATTGTGAGTTTTTGTGCATATCTCATTAAATGGTTTACACAAAACTTACAAATATTTATGAACACGCATTACGATATCACGCAGCTAAGGTGTTTTAAGTAAATTGTTATGATATGTCCACAGAAAAAAAAACTGATACGATGGGAAAAAAAGAGAAAGAAAAAAACCTCATGTCAAAAGAAAAAAAAAAGATTGGACAAAGATGGGCACAATTAATCATATTTGATTTAATAAATCTTCATATAAAAAAAGAAATTACAAATGTAGATCAGCGATAGTTTGCTATTGCAGTTCAATCATTGCGTTGTCTCCCCAATTGTTTACCATACTTTGTGCGTTACGTATTATCAGCCTTTATTCATTTCTCGACATCTTCGTTTTAGATTACAGAGCATTCGAATATTAGTAGTATTGTATCGATATAAAAAATGCACTGATTATGTGTGCACACGTCCACTTATACCTTTAAAAATCCACACATATTGAGCGCTATTTTTACCACGAGAAATTGTAATCGTCATTCATTAACAATTATAAGATATGGGTTGTAACATATAACGCCTTTTCATTTTTTCAATTTAGATTAGGTTCCATGCGGGTTCGATTATTTCCGTTTTTTGTAAATTTTATATTAAAGTTTATAGAGAAAATCATTTGTTAGGAATCTGATGGCGCATCTAAACTCGTTTTCCTGATTAAAAATATAACGATATACTACATAAAAAGAATCGGTTAGCACATGAATTATTGTCGCTGATTAGTAATATCAAATATGTTAAGATAATGATAGATACGACAAAGAAAAAAAGAATAATTTTGATAGTGTACGCGATAGGAATGATAGTTAAATTATATTATAGCAATAATAATTTTAGAAGTATTTTTGCTATAAGATAAAGGCTGATACGATTATGTATAAAGAAGTATCGTTACGATTCCAATGTATCCACGTGTTTGTAATGTAGCTACGGATTTACTTTCGATTATTCAAATTTCATTTGCGAATGTTAAGCATGAAAAAATGAATTGAACTGCAATGTGAATATCTATAGTAATACTATAATTTATAGTAACTTTGTATGCACAGTAAGTGAAAGTTGCGATGATCAGAAAATATTGTTACTGCCTTGTGCAAGATAATGCTCCTGGCATGCATCGAGCGTGGCGCAACTTTCATTTATTTAATACTAACTATACATCCTCACTTTTATCGAAAACATATTGCTACTAATTTGTAAGATGCGTGTAAGATGTTTTTGAACTATTAACCCACTGTGCTATGATGTTAGGAGGAGAAGCCAAGTTTTCCCACACAGTTACCGAACAATATTTCGTAACGTTACTTCCATGTCGCTAAGTATTTTGCAGGTGCAGTGCAGCATCGGCATCAATTGAGTGATAAGCATACAAATTTCATGAACAATTTTTACGTTCCATTAAAAAAACGAAAAAAGAAAAGAGAATCGAACAGAAAGGAAAGAAAAGAAAAGAATAAGTAACATATACATGTAATATATAAATGTAACACGATTGGGATGATCAATAAAGATTTTCTTGGCTCAAGTATTCGGCATGCCCCCAACGGGTAAAATGAGTCGAACATTAAGGGATTAGTGATTTGCGTTTATTAACATTTAGCAGCATTTAAATCGACATTTTTACACTTCAGTTAATATTATTAGGACGATAAATTTTGTCCATACAAATTAATATTTCGATAACAGACATAACCAGAATATCGTTATATTGTTCTATTAGAAATTTTTATCTCTTTTATATCTCTGAAGGCATGGAAATGCACGTCGTGAGTAGAGAGTGTAACAGAGAAAATTGAAGACCTGAATTCACAAGTAACAAATAATCACTACATTTTAAAACAGCTAGGTAAAACAAATTCAGCATAGCCGCGTCTCTAAGATCTTACTATAATTACCATTCTGCTCGTTTGTAGATAACACGTGTAACATTATCTCCTTTAAGCCCCAAGAGGAACGATAGACACCTAATTTAAAAGAAACCAGTAAATCATAGCAATGTTTTGTACGTAGCAACTATTCACTTTTATAGACTGAAACCTTACATATTAAGCAATACGATTTATGACGATCCTTCAAATATTATAACTTAATTATCATTTTTGTACAATTTCATTCACTTTCAAGTACATTTACGAAGTGATACTTCGAATGTAATGCAGTTAACAATTGAGGGAGATAATAACAGCATTGGAACGGGGTGTAACGGGTTTAAATGCTACTCGCACTACTCTGTGAAATGAATGTATATACAATGTCCTGTATGTTACACAGACACCGTCTCTCACAATTCAGGTCCTCAATTTAAATCTACGGGTTCGAATCGTAACATCCTGGACTTGTTTCACTTCACAGTCCTTTCACTTTTGATAGATATCCTTGTTCGCGTAATAGTTTTAATTATTTGGTCTAAAGAACAGGATACGAGATTGCATTGAAATAAACATTGACTAGTATACCAACTTGATGGTACGCGAATTTTGTATTTGGAAGGCAATAGCGATCATTAAGAATTTGATTCAAGCGTTTCAAGGATCGATCGGCATAAACTCTGTATGTTCGGCGTTGTCGTATTTTCCGTGGGAGTATTTGCCAATTGCTTTAATATCTCTACGTTTCCCTCTTTAATCAACATACTGCAATAACGTATTGCTAAAACAGAATATAATCGGATATAAATATGCGTAACTATTTTTCTTTTTATTTAAATTAACGGATATTCCACTTACGATTCTTCGTGCACACGTGATGTATCGCCCAAACTGCCCATAATTGAACAGGGTACGCATCTGAACAACGCAGAAGCGGAGAGAACGGGTGGAAGCTTCTGTATGCAACCATTTCCCCTTGAGGTGCTTGCCAATTTGTTATAGTGTAAGCTAATTGTTCTAATAATTCATCTCTACTTGGTATTGAGGATATTGTCCATGCAGATGGACCATCGCTAAGCAAATGTGCAGCAATACCTGCTGCGAAATAAGATACATCAATGTGTATAGATGCTAGCAACAGAGAAAGCATAGAGATGAATCTAGGTTGCATTAGTCTTGGTCTTAAATGAACCACCTATAACGAGTCACAAAATATAGTCAATTACGTCAACCGTATTTATGATTATCACTAAATAAAAGCATTGCTAAATAATATAATACGTACAACAAACTTAAAGTTAGTGTACTAAAGCGATTAAATCTAAAGGTTTAGTTCTTTCATAGTATCGTACGGTACAAACCTCTGCTATATTGTTCAACGAGCCGAGCACTTTAGTCTCGACGCTGTACTGTCCTTGGAAACTTTCTAACACTTTAAGGAACAACTCCAATCCGCCTTCGTCTAAAAAGACCTTGCACGTCGTCGCGCTCTCGTCGGTTAAATTCCACAACGCGCTCAACGTGAATTTCATCGTTATGTCTCCCGATTTCGACTCGACTTTCGACCAAACCATAGCCAGCAGTTTAGACATGTATCGGGGCTGAGCACCGAGCATAGACGTTTCTACTGTCGAAATCTTTGCTGCTAAGATAGAGCAAATGGCAACGGACATGCGATTCATCGACGGCTCGTTGAAAGCTAATAAAGAGTTCAGCACTAGTCTTGCGCATCTGAAAAATAATACGAGCGTGTAGAGCAGTAAAATTTGAATTTGCCAGCCTTCGGTTACCTGTATTTGTCGAACGTGATCTCCTGCAAGATTCTGTCGCTGCACAAGATTAATAATGTATTCATCTGAAGTCGATAATTAGTCGAATACACTTCCATCGCCGTCATTGTCAATTCAACGATTTGTTTAAGTATCGACGGGTGTATCATGATGGAAAATTCAGCTTTAGTGAGATTATAAAGGCATGCAGTGCATGGCACTTGTACGCGAACTTCCTGTGGATGTTCTCTCATTGCAGGCAATACTAACTTTATTACATCGATCCGTGATTCAAGAAAGTTGTGTGTTAAACGGAATAAATTAAATAAACATTTCTCAAGATAAAGTGGTCTGGATGTATACCTTCTGAGACCTTCCAAAATTTGTGCCTCTGTTGCCGTACCAGTGACCTGCAGCGAGATTAAGTATATACAATATTTCGCACGTTACGACGCAACACATCAGTCTAAATATTCAAATAACTCACGACAAGTTCGGGTCTGTAATCTTCATCTGAAGGATTTGTTAAAACGTCGTGGTAACAAGCATCTGTACTTACGAGCCCCAAAAACCTTAAATGTGGGTGAGCTTTAATAAATTCTCTTAAGTCTTTTGGATCTATATCACCTTTACCTGTGCAGAACATTGAAAGAGAATTAGGAAATTGTTATATAAAAAAGTAAATCAATACATTTTTGTTGATTACCAGATATATCTAAATTAGTTAGATATGGCATGCAATCCACAGCTTTTAAGAAGTCTGTGACTTTTTGTTTCTCAGGCCCCAATACGGAGTTAAGCGCGTGTGTATTCTTCTCGTCCGAAATATCTAAATTTCTTAGTTCATTCAATTCCAGTAATACTGAGATCAAATCTGCACTTTCGTTTATCTTCAGATTGTACATGTTCAGCGTCTTCAGACGATTTTTACACTTTTTCAATGGTGTTATGTCATCAACTTTTGTACAGGATATATCTAAACTTTCTAGTAAAGGAAGATCCTCGACAACTATCTCCAGACCATGTTTATTAAATTCTGTTCCTGATACGTTCAAGGTATGCAGTGACCTCAACTTGCTTAACGTTACTACCATGCAATACCTATAAGATTTCAATGTGTATAGCGTAATCCTTAGAAGCGACACTTTAATTCTGTAAAAAAAAAACCGTATACCGTGAACAATCCATAAAACTTCCTTTTGCCACGCTCAACGATCTTAGATTTTGCAAACTCCAATCACCCAAACAGCTTATTAGATCGTTCACTGTTATCTTCAATCCATTCACTGTCAAATCTACAACTTTGTGTTGTTTTAATACTTTCAAGCCTTTTGCTGATAATGCCGATGCATCCTTTAATCTCACGTGTCTACGAAAAGTAATGAAACTAGTGAAACAACAATACTCTTATATTTCTAAGAAATTAAAGAATATCATATAAACATGATCACCTTAACCTGGTGGATTTTGAATCAAACAGCGTAATCGTCAAGTCTGATAAAGTTTTCTTTTCACAGAGATTAGACAACAACTGTTCAGAGATTTCAGCAGGTAAAAAAGCATCCGGATACCTAAAACTAAGTCTCGTTGCTAAACTCGACGATCCATCACTGGATGCTCTACCTGTAGCAAGAAGTTCATCGATTTGCAACAAGCAATTATTTATAAAAAAATGAATATGAGAGTGCTCACCACAAACAGCTGTGCCTAACGAATTAGGGGAATGTTCCTCGGTGTCGTCGAGGTACAATTCGCACAAGCTCAAAACATTATTGCAAATGAAGTCGATGCAAACCTCGAGGAGGCTTTTTGGAGATTCGAACATTTTACGTTCTTATTTGAGCACAGATATTCTTCCTTTATTCTTTCTATCCCTCGTTCGATATTTATTTCGGACAGTCTAACATCTCATTCTTTTCATATTCAGTTCAGAGGATCTGTTGCAACATATGTGCGCCTGTACAGATGTGGCGCACTATGTTTAGAACGTTGAATGTTCTACGATTAAACGTGTTAAATGCCCCAATTTTGCAGTTAATCGAAACACTTGTCAGCCGGAACGATTAAATCACATGCAATTCGAATCGATTAAAAATATCAAAAGTCGTGCTACGTCTACGAATGCTTTACTCGAAGCGAAGTACAACGCTCTGCGAGTTGCATACGTAGCTACCTCCAAGAAATTGTCAGAAAAGGAATTACACACTAAATTTAATTCTTAACGCACAGGTGACAGAATTTAAAACGACGATTACGTAATGACAAGTCCATAGAATGGAATAAATATTTGTGTCACTATGCATCTAAGCACTGAGCACATTGCGTAGTTGCAACACGTATCGCGAACGAATAACTTTTGAAATTCGAACGTCGATCATGCGAGTGAATCTTATTATCTGGTCGCGATAATTTCTCCGAATATCATTCAAACGATCGCAGATATTTTTTCTCAATCACCACTGTAACGTGCTAAAGCGAAAACAACCGCGGTAAAACGTAATCTCTCACCTGTAGAGAGAACGCCATATTGACTTCGAGTTAAATGTCAAAACAGATTAAAAAGTACAAAACGCGGATGCTTATTGTCGCGTAGGCGAACGTGATCATTAGACGCGATCATAAAATCAAGAATGAGATGCGTCAGGCAAAGTAATCGATTCGTTCGAATTAATTATTGAGTCAGATGTAGGTATCACATATGTAATATGATTTAGAGCAGACGTTACCTCTAGAGAAGCTGACATTCTCTTCCTTGACGAACGGAGTGGATCACGCGGAGAATAAACATTAGGACGACGATCCTTTCTCGATCAAGGGAATCTTTTCAACCTCGAGGACATAGTGAAGTGAGTGTGAATCCTATGTCGTATGTAAGGCGAGGGAATTCATCCGTTATTGACACATTATCAATATGGCGGTGAAGTGGGAAACGATGTGCTTTTCAGTATGCATTTGCACTACAATTTTCGCTTCAGTACAATAGAAAATTTTTCCAGGTACGATATATATAATGTGTACGCAAAAAGTCTCCGGGTTTAACGAAATTCACGAGTCTACTTTACGTTGCGAAACTGATAAAAGAATTAAAGAATGTAAAACAAAACGATTTCAAATGCAACGTTTAAAGTAGAAAGTTACACATTGAGTCGTTTGAATAAAATTCGTCAAACATGAATCGCGAACGCTTGAACGTTTCGAAGCGACTACAGACGATTTTAAATACCAATTTCATTTTTCTCGTTCAAGGTTCAAGCATTCCTGAAAATAAAATCATGTCTTAAATCGGTTGATACGTGTCGTCAGTCATTGTACAAAGATATGTGGAATTGATTGCACTTTACACATAAAATTTCATTTCGCAAAAGAATGCCAAGTTTGAGGAAAAAAGTTGCTGGTTTCATGAGACAATTGTCCATTAGTAATTTGGCTGGAGTCGTAGAAACAATAGGTCATGGAGAGCAAACGTTGCGTAGTCCTAGATCGTTGACTCAAGATTTTTCAAGTGGTTGCTTCATAACGCGATATCTCGATGGGTAAATATTTTATTAATCGCTGTGTTAATCATTTTTAACATTCATATTTACCGCCTTGCGCTTTCAGCTTAGAAACAAAACAAGAGGGACCAGCGATATTGCATGGTAGAAATCCAGAAGAACTACCGGTCAGACAGCTTGGGAATTTTCAGGAAAATAGAAATGTAGTTGCTGCTCACAGTGGTCCGGATAACGGACTCACAGCTGTCAACGTACAACAAAGGCATCTGAGTATTAACGATATCGATATAGATTATATAGACATGTTGGATCAAGGAGAGCAGTACAGAAATAGTACGTGATAAAACGTTATGAAATTATAAGATAACAGGAGAAATGTAATGAGAAACTTTTGTTCAGCATCAACCGCGACGATTCCTACGATTGCTGGTATCGCCGATTGGTTTAATCCTCACGAGAAGGTTTACGGAATTGCTACTACACTTTATGAAAAAAATCCTACAAACAATATAAATAATGGAGAGCCGATAGCAGATTGTTTCGGTATAGTTGCCAGGTCGAATTCAGCTATTTTAGCCCTAGCAGACGGAGTCAACTGGGGTATGATCATACTTTTTGATAAGCCGAGCATGAATAAATTCTTATGGAAGTGTAATTCTCAGGGACTAAAGCAAGTATCGCAGCCAGATCCGCAGTACACGGTAGTATGGAATACTTGAACAAAGCGCTTTTCTGTCCACCGATCAACGGCGAGATGACGACGACGAAAGACGTTTTTATAGCACTACTTCGATCATTCCACGCTGCACATTCGTTGATCTTGCAAGAGCAAGGCATGTTGACGACGTTGACAGTATGCGTGGTTCTTCCACTGCCAAGTTCCGATTCCAATACCGAACAAACTAAATACATCGCGTGTAGTTGCAACGTTGGCGACAGTTTAGCATACGTGTATTCAAGGTAGGCATAGATCGTCCGACGCGTTGAAATATTTTTTCGAAATAACGTTTGTGTCATCGATAGGAAAACTGGAGTGAGGGAGATTACGAGAGGGTCCCACGATATTCATTGTATGCGCGACATGCGCGACGCTCTCGGAGCCTTAGGTCCCGTGGACGGATCTAATCCGGAATTGAACAATTTGACGCTCGCAATGACGGAGGTCGAGAAGGGAGACATTGTATTTTTGACGAGCGACGGAATTTCGGACAATTTCGATCCGGTCGTTGGAAAATTCGCTATTTTGCCGTGCAACAATTCTGTACCTGATTCAAGTGTGAGAAGTCATACCGACGGTATAACGCGAACGCGTCGGAAGTCCGCGGAAAATCTGCGACATGCGGAGTCTGGAAACAGCAACAGCAATAGAAACAAATCCAATTTGCCTGTGGTCGAAGCTTATCAGAGACACGAATTAACGCTTCTTAGGATAGAAGATCTGTTGAGGAGGGGTGTATCCGGAGAAGGTCCACCTTGCAACAGTGCCAAACATCTCTGCGAACTTCTTTTGGATTTTGCAGTAAGCCTCAAATTTAACGATAAAATATATACGATGTAAAACGAAATATTAACTGCAAGTGTTAACGCAAGTTTTTGAATTTATATGAAGGTACGCATAACTGCCGCTAAACGACGAATATTAGAAGACACAGATTTATATTACGCACAAAATAAAGACGGCCAGTTGATTCAGCTCTCGAAGCAGGAACAGAGAATGCGTCGGATAAAGACTCTGGACAAGGTTTCCATGATTCCTGGCAAATTAGATCACGCAACAGTCGTGGCATACGTAGTTGGATCTGTTTCAGAATACGATTTATAATTACTATTATGATTACAGCTTTCATTTGTAAGATTAATCAATTTCAAACGATTCTCCTGGCAGCGAGGATTGAGTTCAAATTACTGTTTTATTATGAGATTACGTTGTTTATACAATTTTTTGTTATTAATAAAACGATTCATGTATATGGAAAATTTTACTTTGTCAAATGTGTACAAAATAAAATGATACATGCAATATATTTATGTATACATGAAAACGTTGGGTTTTATATATTATAAAACACGAATTGTTTATATGATTAACAAATCGGTTTGATTCGAAAGCCGGTCGTGTGAGGATTACAGAAGATAACCAGCATTTTCCCTTCGGTGATTGGTTATTAGTGAAAGAATGGGCCAATGAGGGGGAAGATTTTGGTAAATGGGTTTGGCAAAAAGTTACAGTACTATAATCGAGGTGTCGCCAATGGTAAAAGCTTCTGGGATTTTATAGACTCGTGCTAATGGCAGCCTTGACAAATACATGATGGCCGTTGCCACCGAATAGTGTAACGCGTACATGGAACTGTCGTGTGCCAGAAAAGTTTGTTATTTTAAGTAGAATATTTGATCGGACGGACGTCGCGCGCACTGTTCCCGTTTGCGATGGAACAGAGTAACGTGCTCGGCGCCGTGACTGCGTCGGGAGAAGTGTGAAAAAACGCGATATCGCGAGAGGAAAACACGGGTGGCAAAACCGCGTTCGCGGAGGTAATATTGACAATTTTTCATCGCGACGCTACTCGCATTTTTCGGCGTCAATACGAAACACAGGCATTCGGCGCACCTCCCGCGGGTTCTTCGGCTAGCCGAACCGAAATATTTTCCACGAATGGTTGCTTTTTCTTTTGTTTACGCCTTGTCAGTTGAGCTTTTGTTGTGTGCATCCGCGCGCCGCTGGTACCCATAAGTGAGAGTGAGACGTGCAAGATTCTTGTGTGCGTGTAAGTGGCTTGTGTGGCACGTATGCTTGCACACAAGCGCGCTGGTTATAACCTCAAAATATGTTTCCAGCTGTCGAATTTTTCCACAAAACCCTTTTAAAACGGTTCCCCGTAGGTACGAGTGTCACCGCATTGTTATACATGACAATCGCCAACCTTGTATACGCGATACAATTTCTCGATGATATTACGCGTTTCGGTGTACCAGATTCAGCTAACTTGAATACTAACAGTTCAAAGCTGATTTAAATGAAATAAAACTGTTTCCTAACTGTTACCCTATCTACGATGACTAATTGAACGTTGTTTTCGTGTTACAGAATACAATTCGAATATAGAACCTGTGGAGCCACAAGTGTAGTGTGCGTGACATTTTCAAAGAATATTAAATCTGGGACAGTCCTGAACTGTATCAAATGTTTCCATATTAATGCCTTAAAGTTTTCTCTGATAAGTGGAATCGTCGGTATAACACGGAACATGCACTACCTGTTAAGTGATTTAAGAAAGTGTTTCATAAACACATAATTTCTGATGTAATGTCATGGAAAAATGTAGTTCAACTGTATTTATACATGGATGGAATTTTGCAACAAATGTGTCTTAAAGATAAACTGGAACACTTTCAAAATGCAGTTGTGCAATTGTTCTTCAATGGATAATGTAGTTCGGAAAAGAACTACCTACCGTGTGGAAGAGATCCGAACATGTTTCACGCTAAAGTATGATATTAGAGACAAATATCAGCAACATATTTGAATAAATCTGTGCTCCCAGAGTAAATGATTGTTGCCTAAATAACGGGTGAAACAAGAAGTTACATGCATGACAGGAATAGGAGACGTAGGTCGCAGACGCGTTGAATGGCGCCGTAGCGCAAATGCAGTCTTCTACTATCACTGAGGTGTAATGTATGAGTAAGGTAAATACAGTTAATATAAGTTTAAAGTTAGTTTCCTGTCGATCGATGTTAAAATGTATGTTACACACGAATAGGAGTATACAGAAACAAACATAGATAAGCTGAAAAGGTGGCTAGACGCTGCCCAGAGTAAAGAGGGGCTGCGTGGGCATGCAGCAGCCTCAGTCACGCCCTCTTCTTGGGGACTCAGTATCCTCTACGACTTCCCCGACTGCTCGGCGTAACAATCCTCTCGCTGTTTTGACGCATCAACAAGTATGAACCGTCGATTACATAAGAATTGTATCGGTCTCAGTATCGTATATTTACTGTGACTTCTTTTAGTTACAACAATTGCAACAACTGCAGGCTCAAAATTCGAGTGGTCAGTCGTTGACATTTGCTTTGCAACAAACATCAAATAACGTGAGTAAAGAGATAGAACGTGTTGTTTTCGTAACAGTGCTTGGAAAAACTGAGAGTAACGGTTGGTCTTGTGAAAATTTACAGCCGCAAGACCAAGGAAATGGGTCGACAACTGGAAACCACATAGTATATGTAAACCAGTTAAACCATTTAAATCAGGGTACCATAAATCCCTCGGGGACTGGTATGGGCCTACCCCCGGCCACCCCCACTTTTGGGGTGGGCCTTAATATGGGATTGCCACTATCACTACTAAATACCAGCCTCACGTCCCTCACGTCTAACGTCATCACTACGTCAAATCCTCTGCTCAATTTGGGCCTGCCGAGCATAAACACAGGACTAACTACAATAAATCCTAGCCTGAATCAGTTGAACACCATAAATTCGAATTTAACTTCGAACATTGGTTCAAACAGTATTAACAGTGGCTTGTCCGGTCTGGGCCAGGATATAAACAACATAAATCCTGGGATCAATCGGCTTAACACGTTGAACTCTGCGAACATAAATTCTGGATTGTCGAACGTCAATGCTGGTATTACGAATGTGAATCAAAATTTGACAAGTTTAAATTCACAGAACATAAACCAGAATGTGACCAGTCTGGGCACGAGCTTCACGTCCCCGAGTCCCGGTTTGACCGCGATCAATCCGAATATAAACGCGAACACGAGCAGCATAAACTCTGCTGGCATAAGTCAAGGTCTCAACCGACCTGTGAACGCGTTAACGACCGGATTGACTCAAACTAGCCTGAACTCCAGCGGTACACAGTTTCCATTCCAAACGATACAAAGCATACAGAGCATCACACCGCACATCGTTGGCTCGACGAACATCGCGCATGTACCAAGCTCCGCTATATCGCAACACCCGAATCCGAACGTGTCCACCATCTCGCAAATATCGAACACTGGCACCAGTTCCAGCATATTCACGAGCACCTCGAACGAGCCGATTCACACGACCACGGCGAATCATGCCTCGAGCGTGAACATTTCCCATCTTGGTACAATGCACTCGAACTTGTCTAACGTGTCGACGTCTAACGTGCAGCACGAACCAAACATGTCGCTGAGCTCCCATACCTCCTCTTTGAGTTCCTCTCAGTCGACTGGATTTCAGCCTCAGCGACAGTACACGCAGGGGATCAATCCTAGTTTAAGTTCGTCGGGAACGTTAACGGGCTCATCTCAGTCGAACGCGGTCAATACCATAAACACTGTTAAATCCATGCAAACCATTCAGAGCCAGAATGTCAGTTCGCCCAGTAGTCCGTTTTCGATACCATTGAAAAGTCCAGCGTCTAATATCGCGCCGCCTACACCTAGCCCTAGCCCAAACAGACTGTTGCTCAGAAGCCCGGCATCGAACTCGATACAATCCAATAGGAATAGTCCAAGCCCTGTCGGAACGTCGGCGTCGAATAATAATTTTAACATGCAAATGCAAAGCCCGATGCAGAGTCCAATGAGCGTCAGCCAAATACAGAGTCCCGTACTTAGCCCGTATCCTCCTGCGAAAAGTCCTCATCTACTAAGTGGAAACAACTCTCTGAACAACAGAAGTCCGGCGCCTGGTGGTAGCCCCGGTCCGCCTGTGGTAAGGAACGGACCTCGGTTCGAATGAATTCAAACGAATTTCGTGTTAATATCTACCTCTTGTTCGCTTCAGGTCAGGCCTAATACACCGATACTTCAACAAGGCATGCAAGTGTTACAAATAATTCACGGTACGCCGCAGGGATATCAGTCGACGCCGACGCAGCTGGTCACTAGGACTCACTTGATTGGAAATCAACAAATTCAAATAGCGACCAAGCCTGCTAAGCAGCCACCGCAAATATTGCCGAAACCTCCGCAACAGCAAGTAGTCGTTACTTCTCAGCAAAAGCAACAGCGTGTCACCACGACTATTACCAATCAAGTAATACATTTATTTTCGGTTCATTCTTTTCTACCGATACGTTTGTCGTTACCTGAGAAATGATTCTTTTACAAGGTAACGCAACAGACTCAACCGCAGTTGGTTCTTGCTGGGCCCCAACCGAACCCCACGACGGCCACGATGATACCGACAGCACAGGGTTTACTACTAAATCAGGTAATGACACTTATTTCGTGTATATATTATCTGCATGTCCGTTTTTATGTGGCCAGTCAAGAAGTACACGTCGCCCAATTATCGATATTAAATGGAATATTTTTAATACGCTAGTACAACAGCTTACATGCATCTGGTTTCACGAATATCTGCTTGTGCTTCATATATATGTTTATCACATTTCATACATAGGTTTTGCCATCGACCGGACCCGTTATCGTTCAGCAACAACCAGGCGGTGTTCAGCTCATACTAAGAACGCCAGCCAGCGCCCAGCAACAAACACACACTGCACAGGTGATGGTCTCATTCATTCAGCCATCGTGTTCACAATCATTGCTTATTTAACTGTACAATACTTTTTACATATCGTGTTAAGTGTTATCTACGTTGATCGATATCTTTGCATCATCAGTTCCGTCTTTTATGATTTATACTTAACATCGACGTTTCAACGAGATTCACGACAGTATGGAAATTGTATAAAATTTCTCTTTTGTTCGTAGCTGACGCAACAGCAGTTAGTGAGAGTGGTCACAGCTCAGGGTATGCAGTTACAGGGTATCACACCCACGTTTTTCGCTGTGCCCAATGGTTTTCCTCCGGCGGCGTCTCCTGTGATCAGACACACTCCTTCTAGTCCTGCACCTTGTAAGTAGCGATCGAGACAGTTTGTACAAGTTTCCATAGAAAGAATAATTTATTAACGCCGGTGTTTCTCGATGCAGCTGCTAATTCGGGGACTGGTAACTCTATAGTGATTCAGAACGCAATGGTACAAAGCCCTCAGCCCCAAATTTCGCAAGTAGGTTCGGGTGCCAGTTCTAGCACTCCCTGCACGCAGACCGTCGTCGAGCAGCCTTTGTTACCGCCACCGAAGAAAAAAGCGAAGAAGAAGAAGAAGGCGAAACGGAAAGATGACGAGCCGCCGAAGCTGGACCTCGCTAGTATAATGAAAATATCGGGAATAGGAGACGACGATGATATTTTTGATACCGATCTTACCACCGAGTCCGACGTTCCTTGTCAAGTTCAAGTCGAGCAAACCTCGGGACAGAGTTTCGTACAGCATTCCCAGCCCCAAATAACGACATCCGCCAGTTCTCAGAATCTGGTACAAGTACCTGCGTCGAATACAACGAATACACAGACGTCTGGCTCCCAGACGTTGAACAATCAGCTCGTTGCCCAGCTCCAGATGCCCGTGCCGAACGCGATACAAGGGCAGTTGAGATTCGCTCTCGGAGAGGACGGTAGAGTTGTTCTTCACCGTACTTCGGATTTAAATCAGCCCGAGATGGATTCAGCCACTGCCCAAGCGTTAATACGATCGTTGACGCAGACCGGTGGACCGAACTCGCCGATCATCTCGCATCTCCTCGGACAAACCACCCAGACGACGGCGACACAGCCGACGCAAAGCACCGTACTGCACAGACAAAAGTTTGTTAAATCGCCGCTGTCGTCCAACGTGACAACGGTCACCACCACTGTAAGTTCTACAGGCCCGCAAACTGTTTCTTGTGCTACTAGTCCGCAGCATGTGCAAATATGCTCGAAACCGAGTAATCATCATCATCAGCAGAAAAGTGTGAATGTTCCTCAAGAGTCCAATCCTGTGTTAAACGTTTGTGTCCAAAGCAATCTCGTGTCGTTACAAACATTGGATATGCAGGCATCGAAAAACATTGTACAAAATCATCCGCCGACGACGAAAACTAATAACCAATCATCTAATACTAGCCTCCCGAACAGTAATGTCCTAACGAGTCCCGATGTTCTAGCAAAACCCACGTTCAATGTACAAAATTCACGGTTGACTAATACGAGTCAGACTAATCAGCAAAATTCTAATATGTCCACGCAGAAATCTAGTCAAGTGCGACTTACAAATGCTTGTGTAACTACTAATGTGCGGCAGAATTTGAACAAAATCCAGTCCCAGAACGCTCACATACAAAAGTCATTGCCGAACAATTTAACTGTACAGAACGAGCACGCGGCCAAAAGTAATCTGAATGTTCAGCAGGGGAGCCAAGAGCCCGCCGCGTTGCAGCAGGAGTCGATCTACCAACACGGTCAGCATCCGCAAATGACGGCGCAGGGCGTGCAGACGACTCAGGTCTTTGAGCAGAACCTTCCATCCTCCGGGTCGAACGCTCAACACAATTCCATGAACGTGCTGCAGCCCATGCAACACGACGCCATGAACGTTCTGCAGCAACATTCTAGCATCCAACAGAACACGATCAACGTTTTGCAGCAGAACGCGGCCAGCAACGTGCAGAGCATGGATCAAAATATACAGACCGGTGTCGGCGACTTGACTCACGCCCAGCAGAACGTTATCACGAGTATGCAACAACAGAATACGTCGGCCATTCTACACAACACGAGTATACAGCAGAATTTGAATGTGCAACAACAGAAAGTAGTCGCGGCGGCGAACACGTTCTCCTCCGTGAACACGCATCATTTTGAATCCCAGAACGCGATCAATGCCATGCAGCAACAGGGAGTGAACGCGCAGCAGAGTAATCAACATCAGAACATTGTCATTACGAACGTTCCTTCGTCGAATAATACGAACGCGCAGAGCGAATCTCAAAAAGTGGAGGCTCAAACGTCGACGATGATCAATTCGTCGTCGAACAATATTTTGAACAGTGCGCCCAAAATTACACCGGAGATTTTGAACGCGCTGAGCAATTTAAATCCCAACGATCAATTGTTGATAGCCAACGCGAACGGACAGATGCAAGTGATTAGTCAACAGTTGTTGCAACAATTTTTATCAGGGCAGCTGAGCGTTAGTAATCAGTCGCAGAATCAAAACCAAACTCAGAAAATAGTGATCGGCGAGCCGGACGCGAATAATCAGAATTTGCAAGGTGTGCAGATCAACACTCCGACCAGTCAAATAATTGTAAACAGTTCCGGCGGTGCTCCGACCATTCAGAATAATATACAGAACATCGTTGTGCAGGCCGCACCTTCTCAAATGCCACAGCATATACAGATTCAAAATTCCAATTTCCCTAGTCAATTCATCGACAATTTGAATCAGCAGCAAATCAGGAATCTAGGTAACAATCAACCAAAGAAAGCGAAAATTGTCAAAAGGACGAAGTCGACTAGTACTGCTCAAAACACTGTGAACGCCCAGGTACGTAAAAGTTTCTTTTGATTTCGCCTATTTATTATCTAGACTCGATCATAAATTTAAAAATTGTGATAGGTAACGAAAACTGTTACAATCACTCGGCCGACGTTGGTGTCAACGAGTACGAGCAATCTTCAGAAGATTGACAATTCAAACAAAGTCACTACTGCAGCATCCCAAAGTACAAATCCGATCAAGAGCGAACCATCTCAAGTCATAATGAACGGCCCTGTGCTTTCAACGTCCACAGGAAGCCACTTGTCGGTTCCTTCGAACGGTCAAATGGTTCAAAGGGTACAGACTATCCAGCTTCCTGCCCAAAACCGGCAACTGTTGAAAAATATCCAATCTCAGATACAAGCTATATTATCTCGAAAGACGGGAACGCCCGACCAAGCGACTTTGTCCAAGTTGTATCAAGAGAAGGCTAAAATTTTGGCCAGCGGGAAGATCGTCAGTACTACAACACATTCCGTCAGTAGTGTAAGTATTTTATTTGTATATAATATTTTGTGTACAATAAGATGAGCGACGTTACATGATATTGGTCTGAACAGGGCACCGAGACCAGCTTCAGTGTCAACGCGCTTTCGACAGTAGCACCGAACTTGATGCCCCAGAATTCCTTCAAAACTCAAACCTCGGCTGTGCAAACTCAAACGCAGCCGACCACGCCAGTGGTATCTTTGCCAAATATAATTCCGAGTACATCGTCGACAACGCAGACTAATTCATCCAACAATTTTATAAACAATCTTTCGGTAATGAATAATTCGTTTCGCTATTGCTATCGTCGAACGACACGACATCGGTCCGAACGATTCTTTAGAGGGGAATGTTTGAAACTAATTTTATTCTTGAAATTAGCAGGTACAACAGAATGTGCAGGGGCAACAGCAACAATGTGTACCGAGCAGTCAGAGTGTACACCAGGCGCACACGAAACAGCACAAGATTTCATATCAGAACCATGGGAATCAGATATTGAGTCCGTCCTCCGCCAACGTGCAAATGTTCTCGCCGCCGATTACCTCCGTATCCAGCGTGCAGACTAACGCACAAATGACCTCAGTCCAGACGCAGCAAACGACGATGCAACAGTCGGCCCAATGTCAAACGGACCCGCTAGATATTAAACCAAATATTCAAGCATCGAGTCCTGTGAAGCAAGAAGTTTCCTCACCTGTTCAAGTACAAGTTCAAAGCGGCTCTCCTGCGGGACAGGTAGCCTCGCCTAGAATGATGGGCAAAGGACCGCAGCGAATTCAAAGTCCTGTGAACACCAATGGCAATGCCAACAAACAGCAGACCGTCAGTCCCAGCAGCAATTCGAGTTCTTTAGTATCAAGTCCCAGGCAAGGGGTGAAACGGCCCGCGTCCAGCCCGCTTTGTAGGCAAGTCAATCGTAGCGATTTGTAAGTAAAAATCGTAACTCCGATGCCTAATCAATTTTCATACGCAACGACCGTTTACCGAATGTATTTGTATTTGCAGGTTGGAGCAACAATTAAAAATCGATCAAAACGGCGCGATAAATCCAGATGTTAATACACCGTTCATGAGCAAACGGGATGCCTGCAAGCGTCTCGTGCGGTATCACTGTTTAAACGAACAAGTACTTAGCTCGAAGGATTTGGCAAAAGCTGACGAGATATTCGAGGAAACAGCGAAACATCTGTTATCGAAATTCCATTGTATGATGAACAAGTACACGTACCTTCTGTTGATGGAAAGCATGGTACGTATTAAAAATGTTTCGTAGCATTTCCGCGATTTAACGAATCGATCGAAATTCACAGCGGGAAGTAAGGACATCGGAATTGATGATGATCGACAGGACTTTCGTCGCTGAGGAACAAAGTATCTTGAACAGGCTACGCGAGCAAGAGGCTAAAGTCAATGGTAAGCGGAAAGATTCTGTCGTCTCCTATCTGTAACGATTCTAATATAAATGTTTCATTTTACAGAGGAGTTCAAGAAAGAAGAAAAGCCGTTGGTGCCAAAGGTCGAACCTGGTCTGGAGGAAGATAAACTATCGCCACCGTTGACCAACGTGTCCGTAAAACGTGAATTGGAAGACGATTTCCTAGGCGATGAAATGGAATGCAAACCGGTGATCAAGTCGGCGAATTGTACTAGTGGCGATTACGACGAGTGGCTAGAGATACAGAAGGAACTCGGCGTCTATCCGTCTACCACGGATTCGTTCAAATGTAAAAATAGTAGTAATAGTGGTAGCAATAGTGCTGTGAGGTCATCGAAAACTGAGAGGACACGAGCAAACGGTGAATGCCGCGCGGGCGTGTCTGGAGTTCAAGCCACGATAAAAGACAGCTGCGAGCAGGACGGTACTCCGATCTTTGAGAGACGTTGGAGCAGCGCCACGGATCTCGAGCGTGATCTATTAGAAGACACGGACAGCCTGGACGGACTGGCGTTACATTCTCAAACGCAGTGTCCGGGTTCTCTTCACGTGTCCACGGAAAGCGGTACCGGTAACGAGCACGACGACATCACCGCACAGGTACAATCTGCCATCGATAGCATTCTTAATTTGAAAAAACGTCCTACAAACACGTTAGCCGGCAGTGGCGGCGGCGGCGGTGGCGGGGGCAGTGGTAACAACAGTGCGTCGCAGTCCAGTGAGTCGAAGGACACAGTGCTCGATCAAGCAGTCCGCAGCATTTTAGGCTCGTGACCCTCCTTTAATAAAGTATGTTGAAGTGAAGTTAAAGGTGAACACGTTGTTTGAAAAGAAATTTTTAAAACGACCCACCTACCTATACACTTTTTTTCTTGGTGATTTTAGTTTGTGGTGAATATAATATATACGAAAAGGAATCGTGTCTGATATTAAGAGAATTATCGTTCGGTAATGCATACTTGACAAGTATCCCGCGAATTGTTGCTAAATTATTTGTACAAATCCTCGAGCATGAATTGTGTTTATATATTATAGAACGACGATGAAAACAGACTATCTGGATTTTCTATACTCGATCCAAAAATTTGTTCTGTAATGGCAATAACTACTCGTAATACGAAAGAAAAAAACGCAAAAAACATGTATACTTTCCAGTAGTCTAGTTCTAACAAGGCCACCGCGTTTACCTAAATCTAGCAGCTGTACATGTGGATAGATAGACGAATAGATCGGTATAGATAGATAGTTAAAAATAAAATTAGGTGAGCGCGCTCAGATTTTTCAATCTGCCACTTTGTAATGTAATTTTGTAAAAAGGTAATTATTTAAAAAAACAACTTATTCCACTTTGTCTGTAGTACTTGTAGAGAAGAAATCTTACGGATACTTAACAAAAAAAATGGGTCGGTGAATTGTACATACATTTCTAATGTATATTATTATTCGCATTATTGTTATTGAGATTCGTTCTCAGAATTATTATTGTATTATTATTATCATTATGATTGTCATTAATTATTATTATCATTATCACGGTTATTATCATTATTATTATTGCTACTATTATTGTCAGCGATACCATCGCCTCGTGTGTATGGTAGAAAGAGAAAGTAGTAGTTTAAGAGACTGACAGACCATGCGAATGCAGAGGGCAAACGATTACCGGGTGAAAAGGGAACACGATTAATTCTGTAATAATTTCAACGACTTGAACTATTTCATTTCTATTTAATGTATATGCAGTCTTAAATGTTGAGAAAACGGAAAATCAAACACAGACATTTTTTAAGTAGATATGTATAGTATTTTATGAATGTTTTGTCATCACGCGAAACGAGCTAACAGAATCACAATAGATCTGATAAACAACAACATGTGTAGAGAGCACATGGGTGGAAAAAGGTGACGTTTTAAACGCTGATAATAGAGGACCGGTGATGAAGACTTGGAAAGCAAATCTTTCTATACGTGCCTTTTTATTTTTTACATAGTTGACGACTATATCATGTATGTACACTTGTCTTATATGTACGTAATTTTAATTCGATTAGTACGGATGTTTTTAAACAAAACCGCAAACTTGCATATAACCATTGTAATTGTCTGATTTAATCATTTTTCTAAACTGAACAATCGGATCGACGACAGCGGTGCTTTTACGATAAGAAATTCTTTCATTTACAATTTGCATGGTCGCATGTATTTTTCCATCCTTTTCCCACGACGATACATGATGGCTCTCTATACGCAGAGGCAATGAAATGTTTTTCGGTAAAAAGCAATTCAAGACTGACGTATATACAGAGAATCATGCAAAAATTATCTAATGTATTACAATAAGGAATAATCATTTGTACATAATATTCAATTACACTCTCGACGGCAATCGTGACTTAATGATTCTTCAAAGATTTTAAAATTTGGATATGCTAAAGTTCTTTTGATCCTAATAAATTGCCGATATTTCACGAGCACGTCTACCCAAATAATTTTTATCCTTGTCTAATAGTCAACATCTCCGTTCATCCAGTATATCAAGTTTCGTTCTTTCAACGACGAGCACGACTGCGAATTTTATGCACTTGGACGCGCGGGTAACACCGTTAAGTTTTTTTCAACGACGAAACGCGTTTGTATTTAATTTCGTACGAAAATCCGTAGTCTAATAACGGACAGAATAAGATGCCTGACGAGAGTGAAGTAAAAAATGATGCGATAAAATGTAATTAATGTTAGAAATTACATGTGATTTTAGATATCGTGAACATCGTGTAGTGAACAATTCCTCTCCTAGCATTACGTATTAAAAATTGCAATTTTAACGAGCTTAGGTGCCTTACGGGACGTTGACGTTCGTTCAATTATTATCTTGTCAGGTATACAGTATTTTAATAGAAGTACGTCAAATTGTTGAATGTTTTTATTGTATTTCTGATACGTAATAATTATTCTGTGTACGTATAATGTATAGTATACTGCATCTTCTCTTTAAACGAAATTTTACTATTAAAATGTACCAAAAGTGATAAAGTTAATTTATTTATACTTGTGATTTTGCACATTTTATTTTATAGTTAAACGCGCAATTAAAAAATACGAATAATATGACATCAACGGAACTTCGTTTTGCGAACGATGCAATTCGATTTATTAGAATTTCTTTTGTTTCTCACGATATCAACAAAGTATCATTTGCTCGAAGGTAAGTTGTCATCTACGAAAAAGATGTCCTATATATGTTTTTCTTCTAACTCCAATTAATCTGTCTGCCGCTACCACGTCTCCTGATAGTTGCATTTTGCACTAACCAATTTGCAGTATACACGCATACAGAGGATTATTTATTGGTAAACAATCTTTACCGTAAATGTGTCAGTGCTAAAGTATAAACCAATATGATTCCACAAGTGAACGAATTAAGTGGAAAACTCGAAATGAGCAATAGCGTAGACGAAGACGATTATGAAGTGGAAAAATGTAGTCAGTGGATGAACACGTGCAATTTAAGCAAGGTTCAAACATTTCATTAATTTTATAAACGTTAAAAAGCTAAACGTTTGATCTCATTCCATTTTCGTACTAATTCTAAGACGGTTCAAGGGTTAGACGTGAGTACAACAGATTTTCATGTTTCCAGGTCTGTTTGCAATTTCCTGATCATCTTTTACCGAATTCAGTAGAAATTGCCTTACGCTTAGAAAGTCGTGTTAATAAGAAAGTTTACATTTTGGGAGACACCTCTTGCGGTAGCTGTTGCGTCGATGAAATTAGCGCACAGCATATTAATGCCGATGGTATAATACACTTCGGGCATGCATGCCTCAGCCCTACAGCTCGTTTGCCTTCGTTTCACGTTTTACCGAGAAAAGAAATCAACGTAGCGGACGTCATACAAAAATTTAAATCAATCTTTACAAATCAGTCTGAGAGAATTTTATTTTTCTACGACGTAGCTTATGCCTATAAAATTGGTAGGTGTTTCTAATTACATTTCAATTATCATGTTTTGCATCCTGTATACGAAATTTCAGAATGTATGTACAAAATACTGAGCCCAATTTATAAGAATCTGATCTTTACTTTGTTAAATTGTACCTCCAACGTGGGATTCACGGATAACAAAGGGAATTCCTCTGTAGAGATCTTGGGTAGATGTTTCGAATTAGACACAGATTGTAAAATAGGAGATTATGTAGCATTTTTTTTGGGAGACAATGGGAAAACGTTCAGTGGATTGGCAATGGCAATTCCTGCGAACAAATGGTACTTTCTAAAGAACAATAACATCGTCGAATACGAAGCTTTGAATACGCCATGGTTGAAGAGGAGGAGATATTTAGTGGAGAAGTTAAAAGATGCCAAAGTCGTTGGCATAGTTGTATCCACTTTGGGTATCAAAGATTATTTGGAAATTGTAAGAATGATGAAAGATATCATGAAACGAAAGAAGAAGAAATCTTACATTCTGAGCGTAGGTAAAATAAATCCAACGAAACTTGCCAATTTCCCAGAGGTACGTCGAACAGTAATATACAAAATGTATTTAATCGCATTACAATTACTAGCGATGACAGATTTGTATGTTTACAGATAGATGCTTTCATTGTGATAACATGTCCTGAGAATGAAATATTCGATTCTAAAGACTATTTAAAGCCGTTATTACTACCTTATGAGGTAGAATTAGCATTTAATAGTTCAAGGGAATGTTACACCGAATATTGTACGGATTTTAGACAGATACTTCCGGGTGGAACAAATTATGTTGATTTTAAAGCTTCGACAGACTCTGACGTATCCCTGATTACGGGAGAACTTAGGAACTGTGATGAAGAAAGTACTGTTTGTACAGATCAAATGAATGCTTTAGTACTTAACAATTCCTCAGGTAATTTGCATGCTATTAAAAAGTAATAAATAGTAAGAAAATATATTTACTTTTATTTTCTTATTAACACAGGAGTCGTTGCGATAGGAAAAGCAGGGGCAGAGTTCTTGCAGAACCGATCGTGGAAAGGTGTCGAGCAAAGATTAGGCAAAGACGACGTACATTCAGCAGAAATCGGCCGTTACGGTCTGCCAAATTGTTACGAGAACGAGCCTATTTCTATACAAAAAAGTACCAATATAACGTAATAGTACAATAAGTTTTAATGTAGAATTAAATGGGAAATACATTTCTTTACAATACGATTGTGTAAACGTTGTTAATATTTTCTACCCAATTAATGATGACTAAAACAAAATATCGAAATAAGAAAATTTTCGTATATTGCCGTAGAATGATACTATGAGAATACAAGTAAATGAATAGGAAAGGCAAAACAGACAGTTAAAGAGTAATAGACGATGAATGAAATAATAAATCGATTAGTCCTAAAGTATTCGAGATAGAAGAAAATTGTACACGATTTTTTTCGCAGGTGATAAGGAAATTATTTAACCACTCATTTTTAGAAATCAACTCGAGAATTATGCCTGTCATAAAACTGTCTAAATAAATAAGCATTGAATCGCATTAATCTCAAGTCCACGTGTCCGTTAGTGACGTAGGCACGGTACGAGATATCGAAATTTCTGAATTGGCTGTCATTCAACAATGACAAAATCAAGATACGTTTAAGAGAAGAAAACAATTCGAATATGAATTCGTACACGGTTGATAATAGAATCACCTATTTAAGCTTTACAATTTGTGTAATACTCTTCGTTTTCGGAACGTGGCCCGTGGTGTCATATGCCGAAGAGATCTCTAACCTCAAACATGAAAATGTCACGTTGGACAATAAAAATGTATCAAAAGATGTGACACCAACGAATTCGAGCATAGATACGTCCACAGATTCCGTAAGCAACGATTTAAAGATCAACGCTTCGAGTACAGTGAACGCATTACAAAACAGTTCCATCAGTACTGTGACAGTTCAATCTAATCATGATACTAATAATCAAACAATTGAAACATTTACCACGTCGCCTGCGATCACTGTCAATGACAAGAGTGGCAACATGTCCGATTTTACTGTCACATCGCAAAGCTCGGATATCAGTAATGCGACAACGAACACGAGTACGACGACGAGTGTACCTGCGGAACCAGTATTACCCGACAAAGGGTCTGCAGAGGAGGAACACAACAGTTCCATGTCCATATTTTTCGTCCTCTGCGTCCTAGCTTTAGGCATTTTACTTATACACCTGATGCTGCAAACGAATTTTCAGTACCTGCCGGAGTCCGTAGTTATCGTATTCTTAGGAGGACTGATTGGTATGATTATAAATCTGATGTCGAATCAGAACATAGCCAACTGGAGAAAGGAAGAAGCCTTCTCTCCGACTGCTTTCTTCCTCGTACTTCTTCCGCCTATTATATTCGAATCTGGATACAATTTGCACAAAGGAAACTTTTTTCAAAACATTGGTAGTATCTTAGTCTTCGCCATATTCGGCACAGCGATATCTGCGTTCGTCATCGGAGCTGGAATTTATCTATTAGGACTGGCTCAAGTAGCATACAAGCTTAGCTTTGTTGAAAGTTTCGCATTCGGATCGTTGATATCAGCTGTAGACCCTGTTGCTACTGTAGCTATATTTCATGCGTTAGATGTAGACCCAGTATTGAACATGTTAGTTTTCGGAGAATCTATTTTAAACGATGCCATTTCTATTGTATTAACCACTTCTGTGTTGGAGTCGAATAACGCCACGACTACCAGCGAGGCAATTATACTAGGCTTGAACAGATTTTGTCTCATGTTCTTTGCCTCCGCGGGTATCGGAGTCGTCTTTGCACTGATAAGCGCATTACTACTTAAGCACGTCGACCTTAGAAAGAATCCTTCTCTCGAATTTGGACTGATGTTGGTATTCACCTATGCACCGTACGTTCTCGCAGAAGGCATACAGTTATCTGGTATGGACAACACGCTGTCTACATATAAATAAATGAATAATTTACTTAAGAGAGATCGTTTACAGGTATTATGGCAATTTTATTCAACGGAATCGTGATGTCGCATTATACACATTTCAATTTGTCGACTGTTACACAAATTACAATGCAACAAACTATGAGGACTTTGGCGTTTATCGCTGAAACTTGTGTATTCGCCTACTTGGGATTAGCTTTGTTCAGCTTCAGACACAGGGTACGTCATACGCACCTAAAATTTATCTATGTAAATCTACCGTGCATTAACATTATCGTTTACAGTTTGAACCGGCGTTAGTGATATGGTCCATAATCCTCTGTCTGATCGGTAGAGCAGCAAACATCTTTCCTTTAGCGTTTCTCGTGAATCGATTTCGAGAACATCAAATCACGAGGAAAATGATGTTCATAATGTGGTTCAGCGGCCTACGCGGCGCGATTTCTTACGCCTTGTCTTTGCACTTGGATTTCAGCGATGAAACGCGACATGTGATCATCACTACTACATTAATTATAGTGCTGTTCACAACTTTAGCGTTCGGTGGCTCTACCATGCCTTTGTTAAAGTTTTTGCGAGCAGAAAAGAAACAGAAGAATAATAACAGTAGGAGGAAGAGAAAGGATAAAGAGATATCCTTGAGTAAAACCAGAGAATGGGTACGTTGAAAACGGCTACAGAAATTTTACACGTGTTCTCTGCATCGTATTTTTATTTCAGGGGCAAACGATAGATTCTGAACATTTGTCAGAACTCACGGAGGAAGAGATCGAGGTGTCCTTCCTCCAATCTAGAATTCGTGGCTTCGCGAGATGGGATTTGAAGTTCTTCATTCCATTTTTCACGAGGAGGTTCACGCAGCAGGAACTGAAGGATTGTAAATCTCAAATGACGGACCTAACGAATCAGTGGTATCAAGCTATACGAATCAGTCCAATCGAATCGGACGACGAAGTAACGACAGCGTCGACGGCTCAGTTGAATATTAATTTGTCGACGGAAGCTCCCAGTCGGATACACGGGAAAAAGAGCAAGAGACGTCCAAGTCACGGGTCTATATTAAGTATATAATTATTTTTGTGTGCCGTGCTAAATGTGCTATCGATACTCAGCTTCAGTTGTGAATAGGTAATAACTTTTTCTTGACGGCGATTTCGTCATCATAATCGAAGGAAAACACTTTCTGTGATTACGTAGTTTTAATCTCTTTCTATAAGATGTTCGTCGCGCGTATCTACGATTCAAGTTCAATGTTTCTAATTTATTTTGCCTGATTGCTGACATTTTCCCAATGACAATAAGGTATAATTAAATTATTAGCTTTAGCAGATGGTTTGTGGTTCTCTCATAGCTGCAAAAGTCGTCTGATGAAAATTGTGTGGCATCTAAACATTTGCTTTGCTGTCAAAGCTTATATCGTTGGTGAGGGGTTGCATTTAATTCTGTCTTAGTCCTTAAATAATAATAATAATAATAAGCTTTACAATTGATTTGCAGAGACGACGAGGATTGGTCTGGTTAATGATCAAGTTTATAGATGTAAATTTGCGGGTTGTTTCATCGATTGATATAGAAAATATGTGCAGACGTTGTATTATAGAGAATGATATTTTAATATCGAACTTGGACAAGTAACAGGTTCCTAATTTTATTTAGTTATCAGAAAAAGTATTATTTACCTAACTTAATGAAAAGATGTATGTGATATTTTCAAACGAATATTTGAATAATTGCACAAAAAGAATTATACATAAGTGATCACGTTGCATATCGAAAAGATACTTGTATACGGCCCTAACACACTGTACTTACTATGTTATTATAAATCATATGCAATGACTTCTCTAGATAAGTTTGATAATTTCAATATTTATCGGAGTTTCTCATCTGTGTACATACACTATGGAAATGTAAGAATGTAATAGGATATTTACAAACCAATTTTATTAATTGATATTCTTCGATTTGCACTGAGTCAAGTAAGTATCCTATCATGTTGTCCGAGTATTATTGTAAAAAGAAATATCCTTATCATGTACAGTAAAATTCTGTTTTAAAATGTAGAAGACATCTCTTCTCATCTGAATATATTTTATTGATATAATAAATCTCTTGCTACTCAATCGAAATTGGTATTCTCATATCTAACGTTCGTTACACTGATTCTGTGGGCTGTATGGAAGAGGAAAGAATACAGCTGATCTTATTTGAATGTGAATTTATTTTTAATATGATATACCGATCTCGGGAGGTGGGTACATGGGTGTGTTATCTTATTTCTTTCTGCAGCAGGGCACATAACGGAGGCAGCGTCTAAACATCAATTCTGTTTATTTGTTCGACTCGTTATCTCTACTGTATTATTTCTACTTTTTTTATGCCTCATCTGGTCGTACATCGATTGACTGGAGCACAAGGCGAATAGTCTTTTTTTTTTATTTATTTAGGAATGATTCTTGCCGTAATATCTCTCTCTGTCTCCTCACGGTATTTCCTCTCAGCTGCGGAGATACAAAGTGCAATGAGAATGAGTAAAAACCGTATATAGAAAAATGTTTATAGTTTTTTGATTGCGTGACACCGTTGTTTATTCGTCGTGTGAAAAAAATGATCGATAATCGGAAATACCGTCGTACGAGCTTTAAATTTAATAGCGTAAGAAATATTTTTAGCTCTCAAAGTCCCGCGAGATGAGCAAAACTCGTTACCAATATTCTCTCTAAAGGGTGCGCGTCTCTCTCTCCTTTATAGCAAATTTAAATTCTATTTAGCCAACATTAATACTAGAACGTCGTTGATCCGTTCATTATTATTCAGAGTATTGTCTAAAAGCATGGCAGAACACTCTCTTGCCTTCAATCGTATCTTAATGCTCCAGTCAGTTTTATTTTATTTTTTTTTTTTTAAATCACACGTTCTCTCCGCGCGATGGATCATCATCCAACAAATTCTAAAAATGATCTCCATGCATCGCGAGCGTCTATATGCATTTGTTTGTTTAATCGATAATTATATACCCTTAATAATGCTCGGTACACGAATGTATGTACAACATCGAGCGATCGACTAAGCATGCAGAGATAAATAATCCTAACAACGCTACGACCAGTATCCCTAATTTATATATCGATCCGTAAGACGATACCCCGATTTTATTCATTTATTACAGAGATTGTTTCCAATGGATTAGAATCCGTTCGAAGTAATCCGTTGGAAGGTTCCATTAAGCACTTTCCGAGACTCGTTTTCGTTTTTAAACGTAGACGCATCGGTCTAAAAATGTGTAAAACCCCCCGATTACATTTCAATATTTACAATGGATACGTGTCAGACACGTGACAATTTACATAATTATAACTTGGTGTTCTTTTCAAATCCCTTCATTCCTTCTTCGTGTATATTCATAAACATTTCCCGATATTTTCAAGTTACAAAAATCATTTATATCTCTCGTAACCAAACTCGCATCTCAGCATCAGGAATGCTCCTCGCGATGACCAGATCTTGTCACGAGACGATTTCGAAGAAAGCAATCAATTCGAAAGAAACTCGCTCTATGCCTGTAATTGATGCTCCAAGATGTTAGATCAATCCGGTCTACGTGACGCGCAATTAATTAGTTCTAAAACGCAAGGTTTCAAGGTTTGGGTCCCAGTACTCTTTGGTTCTCGACACCGGAGGAAAAAGGGCTGAACAAAAACAACGAGCTTTCGATACCGCACGCGCCTCGTGCTCAGAAGGAAACGGGGGAAACTCTCGTACATCAAGCTATACATATTTTACTGTTAACGTCCGTTAATTTCATCCTAACTAATCTAACGCCAAGCAGCGAATCACACCTACGTAAATTGTCATTCCCGTTACTCTATGTATGTATATATGTATATTTATTTATTTATATCGGTATGTATAATCATAATACGCGATGAAATCCCTCCTCGAAATCTGTTAAAGAAACCGATCACCGTCGTACAATCATTAATTCGATATTATTGTACAACCTGTCATACCTTGCGTCTGCTCTTAATGATTCTCTTCATTTGGTAACATACATCGTATTATACAATTTCGCACTTAAACGATCGCTAGGTTAGCGATAAGGACAGCGTGAGAGTCATAGGTAGGTACCGGGAAATTGTTCGTGTCCTTATATTGCTGCTATTTTGTTCCTTTCCTTCGCAACAATGTATGTATAACTTGTAACGACTTTGGTCGCGTACTATACAGATTCAACACGATTGCCATCGTCGGTGGTGAAGATCGTCAGCGGTGGTCGCGTGATCACTGGGAAATGTTAAACGAGCACGGAGAATTTCAACCGAAGTCTTGGTCGACCACAGCACGGATAAAAGAGGCGTTCGATTAGAATAAAAACGTCGTTCAACGTTCCTAGACGTTAAAACGGAAATTAACGTCCTCTTTTACCCGAAATACGTAAACGTGAATGAATTGTTTTGCGTACGCGTCTCCACCAATTTCTAAATGCTTTCTCAATGAAATCGTGCTGAAGCGTTCCTCGATTGGCAGACGGAGCGAAACAGGACATTCGTTCGGAAGCATGCACAAGGGGCGTTCAACGATGCAAGCGCGCGTATTGCGATGTTGAACCGTCGTCGGTGAGCGTACTGTTTCGCTTTTCTCGTTATAAAATAGAAGACAATTTATCGGCAGAGAGCTTAATAATCAGTCAACAGCTCGAAGTGAAGAAGGTCGCGCAGAACTTATTATGATTAACCTAACGTTTCTAACGAGACGTCAGTCATGATGTAAGAAACGTCGTCTCCGTTTGCGACGACGCGTATACGATTACATGTGTTACGCTTCTCAGTGTGTAATAAATAAAACTGAACGAAAATTATGTATAATCGTTGAATGCTTGCCATTCGAAATTCGACAGTGTCTACATTGCTTTTGTAACAATAATTTCATTACGAAAGTCTTTACAATCGTAAGTTTTTATTTATTATAAGCATGTTCGTTACTACCTACAAGTTTCAATTATGCACTGTCTTATTCCGAATCGTTGTTAAGTGTTTTTACCAAGAATCTGGCGACCAACTCTTAATTACAATGAGGATCAAATTTGTACAAAGGTTCAGTTTCTCACTCACACGTTCCGGCGTGTGCGCGCTATGAGTATTTAATCAATATTAATATAACGATTAATTATATTCGACCTGAACATCAATTAAGCACGAGAAGAAATCACAGAGAAAGAAGAGACCTGCCAGCAGACGAGAATTTTGTCAATGGAGAAAGTAAATGTATTTGAATGAAAGTTTCAGTGTTCGTTATAGTTTAACAATGGGCCTGCCCTTTTCAAATGTTCATTATGAGTAGGTTCCATGACTCTTGGGATGGTCGATAAATTAATTGACGATTAATGTAAAGAACAGCATAACGATGACCGTGTAAAATAATACGGTAAACTACGAAAATTTTAATTTAAGATACCATTACTAAATGAGGAATATGATCTAACAGATGTATAAATACACAAGTAGGCAGCCACCGTCGAGAGTGTTACAATCGAAAGCCGCAGTCGTTTTTATATGTAATTGTTGGAATTTCGATGGAATGTAGCAAATTAATATTCCAATTAAAACAGTTTTACTTCGTTTAGATCGCGTAGAAACGAGCATTAACGAAAAGAAATATCAGTAATTAAAAAAAGATTAAAAATATATGTACTAGTGACAATTTTGCATCCTACAATTACATTAAGTTAAATATTAAATAATCTGATAATGTGCGTGTTCGGTAATAATGCACTTGTCACGCGGGAATAAAACGTATGTAGAACGCGAAATGATCTGACCACTGTCAGTCGTCCCCTCTTGCCACACTCTCGACTTATAATTACATCAGGATGGTAGAAGTGTAAAGTTGAGGAATTTAAAGATAAAACGATAAAAAAACGTGATCACTTTTTGATTTGTAGCCAAGGATGCTTCAGGCACTCTGCTGCTGTAGCTCGCATACTCGGATCGAACTCGAGCATCGGAGTTAGGAACTCTTCAAACTCGCGCGCTTCCCTTGGTGACCAGTCATATTTTTCCGTAAGCACCTCGTACAGTCCCCAAGGTTTCAAACCAGTAATTCGTTTCAGCTCGCCCTTCTTGTTGAAGTACATTTTCGAATTTTTCCCAGATAGGGCAATGTGTCTCGGTATCTCGCCAAGCAACTCGATTATATGTGCTAAATGATCTTCGTCTCTGCGATAAGAAATTGTACGTCAGTAGAAATTCTTAATACATACATAGACACAGAATTGTTGCGAATAGTTACGAGAAATTTTTACCTGCAATAATAATTGCCGCTGTGTGGCTCGAACAAATAATCACCAGTCGCTAATTCAAATGCCATACAGGCGGTAGACCATATATCCGCTGATGTATCGTATCCAGATCCTAACAACACTTCTAACGATCTGTATTGACGAGTTTGAATGTCGTCTGTGAATTTTTTATTAACCCAACACGCGTTCCCGAGGTCTGCTATCTTTACTTCGACCTCGCAGTCCACTAAGGCAGGATCTAGAGGAATCACCGACGCTCTTTTCAATTGTTTACTCTCGGGTGGATGTAAATTACGACCTAGAAATGTTGATCGCGTAAGAAGTCAGTTATATTCCCTTTCATAAAAATCTCACCTTCGCTACATTCGTCCGTGTCCTCGCGATCGGGCGAATGCACACCCTCGCCGCAACTTTTTTCCACGTCGCACGAGTTTGCGTTCTCCATCTTTTCGGATTGTTGAGGTAATTGATTCTCTACTTTTTCCCCGCCTCCTAAACTATCTACACCATTTATGTGCAATGACGGTGCGGATGGTTCTGAAATATCGGGCGACTCTTTGCTCTCCGTGTTGTCCTCTATGCTTTCCGTATTGATATCTTGATCAGGGCTGTTCGTCTCCAATTCCCCGTTCGCTCGTGTGCTGTTCGCGAGTTTATCCTGCTCCTCCAACTCCTCGATTTGTTCCATTTGCCTCTTCAGCAGTTCGTTCTGGCGTTTCGCTTTCTTTTTCAGTTTTTTCTTTTTGTTTTTCGACATCTTAGAATTAGGGGCGGGCTCTTGGAATTCTTTCGGCGCGGTCGAGATTAAAGACGTCGGTAATTTCATTCCAAGCGAGTGCAACTCTGTTGCCTCGCAAGCTAATTTTCTTATGTACGCTTCGTCGACGCAAACAAGAACGTTTTCAGGTTTAATATCAGTATGAATAATTTTACCTGGAAGAAATACGACAACGATTCATTTAAATATCAGAACAGCTTGTAGACAAAAACGAGTAACGTCGAACGAGTTTATTTGTCACGAAAGGATCTTACATTTATTATGTAGATAATCGAGACCTTCGAGAACTTGTCTGATGATACGCTTAACATTATTTCTTGGAATTCCTCTGTAGTTGGATTTGATAATCAATTTAAGAAGATTATGTCCGAGTACTTCGAAAACCATGCACACGTGCAGGCCATTAATGCCGCTGATCTTGAAGTCATTGAGTAACTGGACGGTTTTATTACGCTTCGGATCAACGGGATCCGTGTCGCGCACATCTTTTAACAATTTAATTTCGTCCAACGCGGTCTCAGTAAAATGAGATGCGGACTTTACCACTTTAAGGGCCACGAATCGTTTGTCCTGAAGAACATGTTTGAGAACGTTCTGATTCAGAAATTCAATCAAGAAGGTTTACCTCGTAAACAGTCGAGATTCTTACCTGCATGTCCCAACAGAGCCAGACCGTCGAGAAGTGACCCCAACCAAGTTTGCGAGTTACATGATATCTGTTTAAGAATAAGTCTCCTATTTTAACAGGGTGATATCCTCCTTTACAATAATCACTGCTATCTTCTTGCTCCTCGTCCCCGCTGATATACTCGTCGCCATCCTCCATTGTTTCGTTACTAGAGCTGTGATACGGTACCAATCTGTTAGGAAAAGGTGCACGGGCAAAGCGCGAATGGGAAAAAAAAAAGGACCGAACCATCGATCTAAAATTTTGGACGGCACGAACGCGATATTGCTGAAAAATATAATCATCCCGCAGTTTACAATGTAAAAATAATTCGATCGGAGGTTCGATGGTATCGCATATAAAAAAAATTGATTTATACCGTGACTGTCAACAGACGAAGGCATCAACGTGTATAAATAAAACGACGAACTGAAAGGCAGATACCTGTTCCCATTGTCGCCGGAATATGGACTCTGAGCAGAATCCTGATAGAAACCCGATCCCTGTCCCTGTTGAGTAGCCGGCGCCTTCGAGCACTGAGCTGCCGATGTTTCCGTCTCGTCCTGAGCACTGCTCTTCCCTTTTCGCTTGCTAGGCTTGTGCCTCTTTTTCTTCGCCTGAATCGCTAAGACCCGCCTGTTCACGTCCGTCTTTGCGCTCATAATGTTCTCTGCGCCTCGATTCGTCTGCCCGTTCCCTTCGCGCTTCCGTTTTTTCACTTCCTCCCTGAACTCGTTCCCCAACTGTCTCGACCACGGTCTCGACGGAGCCACTCGCACCCGTTACCGTCTACCCGTACGTTTCGCCGATAGATCCAAACGTGGTTTATTATCGTCTCATTTCTGCGATGTGCCGCGCACTTCGCTCGGCGGTTGTTTGAGTATGGCCGCCCCCGCCGTCGCCGTGTCCTCGTCCCTCGTTGAAAACCGAACCAGGTGTCGTCTCTGAACACAGGTTGCCGACGTCCAGCCGCATTCACCGAGGCACCTTCGCCTTCTCGTCCTCGTTCCTCGTTCCTCAGCACGACGACGACACCGAGATGTACCAGCGGCTCCTTCCTCTTTCCCGTCCACACGCACGATTTTCCTACTTCTCGGTTCGTTGATACTTTGGTGCTCAATAGCACGGTATCCTTTTCTATGCCGTGGCAGCAGACGAGGCTCAAAGTCTTCAAACAAACAGTCGCTCGCTATAATGTGGTCCTGGATTTTCCTTCGTCGAAAACATTCTGTGCTCGACTCAAATATTCCTCGAGGGACACTCGTGCATGACATTAATTTTGTTTCAATTTATGATACATAACGTCGAATATATACAAGCGTATATAAAGTTATAGGTAAATAAAAAGTTTTAGCAAATTTATAATTCTTGTGTTTAAACCTCTTGGAAGATGGCACCACGTTCGAGTCGCGATCGCTGGTCATCTATGCAGGATGTATTTCTGGCTATAACCAAAAAATATTTTTGTGGGTGACGTTTGATCATAGAATCTTTTCGGATTGTATGATTTGATTGTTACTTAACATTTATGTATCGCGCACTAACTTGAGGGAGCGTTGAGAAAATGGATACCATATTTCACGAGAAGGTAAGCGACGATATGTACGAGATGAACTCGCGACTGTTGCTCGAGCGACGGACCGTTTGAACGTTTCAATGTTTATTACAGCAAGAGGGATTTTTATGTGCACAACATTGTTTAAATGCACTTTTGCAAGGCCCATATTATAATGCAGTCGATCTCGCTAGTTTGGCACACCAAATGGACGAGGAGGAGAGGATAAGAATGGCAGAATCTGGTGTTGACAGTGAGGATTATAAACTTTTCCTAGAGGTGAATCCGTGGACTGTAGTTATACTATATGTATTGCATAATACAAAATAGAAGTTGCAATTCGTCTGATGTATTCTATTTTGTAACATATTGATTTATTTCGACTGTTTATATTTACTAATAATGTTATCTGTGGTAAAGGGCATTAATTATTTTGCTTAGCAACCATCAGGCAACATGGACGATAGTGGATACTTTTCGGTACAAGTAATCAGCAGTGCTTTAAAAGTTTGGGGATTGGAACTAATTCCATACAGTAGTACAGAACCTGCAGCTATAATGGCACAGAATGATCCTTTGTATGTTATTTACTTTATTGTCAATCGTAATAAATGACGTATCGGCGTAAAACGCTTGCACATAAATGATTGAAACATTTTTAAAAAGATATCATTTCCAGACAGATGAAAGCATATATTTGTAACTACAAAGGTCATTGGTTTACTATAAGGAAAATTGGAAAGCAGTGGTTCAACTTGAATTCGGTGCTAAGCGGGCCAGAGCTTATATCAGATACTTATCTCTCGATGTTTTTAGCCCAATTATTACAAGAAGGTAAATATTTCGTAAGCCATCGTAAAAAGACGAGAAAACGAATTACATGATGTTACAGGTTACTCTATTTTTATTGTTATTGGTGCACTTCCTCAATGTACTGCAGACGATGTCCTCTCGAAGAATCCGATAGAACCGGTAAAGGGACAAACATCGTTAACAAAACCACAAGGTCGCTATTTCGGAACACTGAAACAACAGTTTGTTTTCATCGTGTCTATTACATTTAACCTTTCATTTTGCAGGTATGAGTAATGTAACTTCGAATACGTGTAGGCCTGTATCTAGTAAAGAGAAGATATCGACAAATAAGCCACAAGAGAAAATAATTCCTATAAAACTGGAAAAGAACGATGAGGAGGACGACGAGAACACAGAGTTACAGAGAGCCCTTCAGTTAAGCTTTGAGGAGAATAAAAGGAACGACGTGGACAAGTACCTTAAGTTAAGTCTGGACTTTCACGATTACAATAAGAAAACAAATGGAAGCGACGATACGGACGAGGACGACGATTTGAGAAGGGCGCTTCAATTGAGTTTAGAATGCGCCACGGCTCCTTCCACACCAGAATCAGAAGACATACATTGGCGTCAATTAAACCACTTTGGAACGTATTCAAGGACATCAAACGGGGAGACATCGCAAAAACTGAATATTTAATAATATGTGAATGAATATTTTTAATATTATTAAAAGAATTTTATTTGTATATTATAAATAACTAGTTACTTTGTGTAGTATGGATAAGTATTGCAAAAAAAATAAATGTATAAATAAAAGATCTGTACATGTTATAAGTTTTAACTACATTGTTCATTTATTTAAAACACGGATCATTGTACTGCTGCTGCTTTCATTCCTTTTTACCGTTGTTTAACAATATTAAAATTGCATTTTCTATCATTATTCCCGGTTCATAACTCGACAACGTCAACGTATGGTATTTATTTGGTGGTATTGAGAACACACTTTTAGCCTGTACATGTTAATCGTCGTCGTCCTGTGTGTGTGCATGCGTGCGTGCCTGTTCTATTTCTATGATTAAATAATTATTTATTCTATAACGGATTTATTAATTTTTAAAATAACAATCGACCGACAGTTTTGTTCACGTGTGTAAATAAGACAAGCGAGTTTATTATCAAGAGCAATATTACCAGATGGCTATGAACGGAGATTTTTATTTAACTGTAGTCGCTCACCGTGGTTGCTCCTGTTTTGTGTGTGAATACTGAATGTTGACATTCAACATGGCGGCATGTCGTCAGTGCTGTGCTGTGTCGTGGTGAGTTTTATAAATCTTTCTAAAGCTGTCCGATCACGAGCTTTGCGATGAAACGTAGACCATTAGAGCAGTCAGGAGCTTGCCGAAGTTTTTATTCGGGTTTCGTACGGCGACCAGCTGGCGATGAATTGTCACGGTATTCAAAAGAAACGGGTGACCTCATAAAAAATTAGAATCTCGTAACTGGCGATCGCATACAATATTTCAGATTTTCCTTTCGGTATATCGGTTAATATTCAGCACCGCGTTCGAACGCGAGATCGGCTGAATAGAAATCCGTCAAATAAAGCCAGCCGATCGTTTATCTCTCTAGTCACTCGTAACGCTTTTAATTGTTATATATATTTCAAACATTTTCATGTGGGTGTCCAACTATCGTATCCCATTTACAACAAACTTTGAGAATTACGATTTAAATGGTAAATTAACGGTGACACTGTTTGCCCGACGTTGTGGATCACGAGAGAAAAATTTCAGGAAAAAAACATTGAAAAAGTAGCGACTGTTGGGACGTAAAAAGTCAATGTCAAGCCAGTCAATTATTGTGAACATCTCATTAATCTTACATGTAACCGTAAATAGAGCTTAATAAATATACTGTGGATCGTCGTATACGTTTCAATATTTCTATAATATACAATGAATGTATATTAACTTGTATTATACATCTGTTTTTTTAGTTTATTTTTACTGAAAATTTTTATTTTGGCCTATCGCTGTGTAAAAATAGTTACACGAATTTGACGAATCTGTGAGGATTACGATTGTACTGTATTATGACTCGTCGTATTGCACGAGTGTTTTGTAGATGTCGTGAAGCATTAAAGCGTTGCATCGCAAAGCTTGTAATCGTTAAATGTAGTTGTTCCGTTTAAACGTATTAATAGAGACGAACGATTTCTTCTTTCAGCTTGTGTAATTGTTAGTTTAGGACATTTTTGAAACCAAGGCTCACTGTAAATTCCACAATTAAATGCTGAAGAAAGAAACGCTAACATAGAAATCTTGGAACAACACAATCACACTCAGCACGCATTGAAGACATCTGAGGATTTTCAAGTCAACATTTATCTTTTAAATCTCCTATGTTTTTTGATTTACTCCTTTTTATAAAGGATGACTGCTGTTTAAAAGGAACACAGTTGTTCTAGTGTACGCTAAATTGAGTAAATATCAAACAGTCGTTATAACAGTCGTGCATACGTATGTGGAAAGTATCAATGGTCTATGATGTGCTAAGAATTTTGTACTTGTATTCATTCATAAAACAACATTAACTCTATATTGTTCATTTGTATATTGTACACAAGCTTTGTGAGAAAAAGTTAGGTGAGCCATAAAGTGACCGTGATTGTGATTGCGGCTGAGATTGTGCTGCTCTTGACTACCAAAACTGTATCTGTATTTAAAAAAGCAAACAAACAAACAAAAAGGAGTGCCAATTTTGCACATAGTTGCCTGGGGTACTCTCTTACGAATAATTTATGACAAACATCAAAATATACTTTGAAAACCTTCCTTCCACTTCTTGGTCACAAAAGAGCCTGCATTTCTGCAGCATTTTAAAGAGCCTCTCTTCCTCTATTAAGTTCTTATAACATTATAATAGTGAACGAAGATATAAGGTACCAAGAACCATTCTGTGATATCTATGTTAACACTTAAATAATTGAAAGACTAAAAATTTCTAAATATAAGTATATATATACATACATATATATATATATATATATACATATATATATATTGTGGTGAAACAGAAGTGAACACAAAAGAAATTAAGTAATTATTTCGAGAGAAAAGAGGGAATACTTATACACAAAATATTACAATTTCAACTTGTGCGAGTTCCAAACAATGTCCAACAATCCTCAGTGGAAAACGTTCCAGCCGCCAATCATGAACTCTGACCCCGCAATACTTGATTACAAGTCTATGACTATACCGAGTCCCAAAGTTATAACGGGATCGCATCAGCCGACAACAAATATCTATCGGAATGGAAACAGCTACAGCGGTGACCATTACATGATGGACTCGCCACCTGGAAATGGGAAGAATATATCGTACGCCGGCTACCCCAACAGCAAGATGTCACGAAACGGAGTCACCAGATTTTCCTTTGGAACGTTCACAGGAATGGAAACTAGCACCGGGTACACGGAAGAGCCGGCAACGAATAACTCTACCTATCAAGATCAAACCGAGAATCAAGGACCCCGAGAAACAGGAATAATTGAAAAGTTATTAGTAAGAATTCTATGGTGAACGAGCCGGTCAATCTTGTCATGTGCTAATTATGTTTCTCTTATTTGTTTTCAGCATTCATATGGATTTATACAATGCTGCGAAAGGCAAGCGAGGCTATTCTTTCATTTTAGCCAATTTAGTGGTAATATAGAACATTTGAAAATTGGGGATCTTGTTGAATTTGAAATGACGTATGATCGACGAACGGGCAAACCCATTGCTAGCATTGTCAGCAAGATTGCTCCAGAAGTGGTTCGTACATTTTTATCAATAGACTCCTGCATTTAATTGAAATGTTTCAGTTTTTCGATTACATCCGCATTTCTCTGATGCAGGTACTAAACGAAGAAAGAGTCATTGGGAATGTAACAACAGAATTAAATACAAACGGTGATACGCAAGGACGTATCAGTTACGAAAATCGCGGGGAGTGCTTTTTTCTGCCATATACAAAAGACGACGTTGAAGGGAACGTTACTTTGCGTGCTGGCGATAGAGTTTCGTTTCAAATTGCTACCAATCAACGGTAAATAATATTAATTGTATAAAGACACAGCGATAATTCCGAGTTAACTGACTTCCAATTAATTACAGCGGAAATCTGGGTGCGTGTCACGTAAGATTGGAAAATCCAGCCCATCCCGTTCGCTATCGTGGAGTCGTTTGCTCGATGAAAGAAAATTTCGGTTTCATCGAGCGTGCCGATGTAGTTAAAGAAATTTTCTTTCACTTTAGCGAAGCTAAATCAATGAAGGACGAACTTAAACTAGGAGACGACGTTGAATTTATAATACAAACTCGAAATGTAAATTTCCTTTTACCATTTTACGTCCAACTGTAATTATCTCCAAGTTTAATCGCTACCGGATATGTCGTAGGGGAAAGAGGTGGCTTGTAATATTACCAAATTGCCACCCGGTTCTATAGTTTTCGAGGAAGTCAGTAACGACATAGTGAAAGGACAAGTATGGAAACCGCTAGAAAGAGGAAACGCGGCCCGCCATCAAAACGATCCCTTGCCTGGAAGAATTCGGTATAGAGATACGGATCACTCTGAAGTTGAAATACCTTTTGGTGACAAGGATCAGAAAGGCGATTTTACTCTCAGGTATTTCTTTCTGTCTATTCATACTACTTTCATTCGTTGTTCATTGAAATAATTACAATTCGCTTTTTGTAGACACGGGGACTGGGTTCAATTTCGTATCGCCACAGATACTAGAGACCAATTGAAAAGAGCCACGGAAATATTATTATTAACGGAATCTTTTGCTGTGTCCGGTGAAAGACGAGAACAAGGAATTATAGCTACGCTCAAAGATGGATTTGGTTTCATTCGCTGCGTCGATCGAGACTTGCGACTCTTCTTTCATTTCAAAGAAATTTTAGACGCCGATCGAGAGATTAGCGTCGGAGACGAAGTCGAATTTACCATAATTCAAGTAAGTACAACAGATTTTAAGAGATTTTATTTGTTGTACGTATGCGGACGATCATGTTTATTTGTGAATTCCAGGATCCTTCCTCATCGTTTTCAAATAATCGACAAAGTGCAATTAGATTGATACGTTTAGCAGCCGGTACTGTTCAATTCGAAACGATTATAGAAAAAGATTTGTTGGGCACTGTAATTCAGAATATAAACGTACCTGCACCTGGTCTCATTGAATACACGAAAGATAATGAACAAAAAAATATTATTTTCTTTAGCAAAGATTGCGATCCTAAAAATATTCCGAAGCTTAATGACAAGGTACGTGAAGAACGCGGTCACGCGATCAAAAATCGTCTTACAGGGTTGGCTGTGTTACAGGTTCAATTCAGTATTTGTCAGGTGAAACGAAATAAAGAACTTGTCGCGGTTGACATATCTGTGGTGAGCTCTTCCGAGAAAACTCAAAACGGTAAAAAGAAGTTGAACGATCAAGTTTGTCAGGGTTTCATTGCCGCGCTCAAAGATGGATTTGGTTTTATCGAGACTGTAAACCATGATAAAGAAATATTTTTTCACTTCAGGTAAGTCAGGTCGGCGGCGTTTCGGTGATCGACCGGCGACAAACGATAACGCGTTTTGTTCTTTAGCAATTTCGAAGGAGACGTTAGTGCGTTGGAAGTGGGGGCTGATATCGAATGTACAATCAGTTCTGGAAACGGTAGAGGTAACGGCGGTTGCGTGGCCGCCGATTACGTTAAATTGATACCTCGCGGAAGCATTCCTAGGCCGACGCCAGTTAGCGAAGTGCTCGACGGAACAGTGATTAGACCATTGCGAAGCACCAATCCTGACCAGGCAGAGTATGCTGGTTTAATAAAAATAAACGCTACCACCGAGGATGAGGATACTCCGGAATACGAATTCCGAATCATGGGGCTCGTTAACAAACGCGAGTTGTTACAAGCCGGTGATCCTGTGCAATTGCAGGTGGATTCGGCAGGTCACGCTTGTAACATTGTGGCAGTTAGGAAAAAGAGACGAGCGACGGTCGATGCGGTTAAAGGTCCTTTTGGTTTTCTCGCTTACGAGGTCGACGAGGGAAAGAAGCTATTCTTCCATATGAGCGAAGTCCGAGATCACGCGGTACTTCAGCCAGGTGACCAGGTTGAATTCGTTTTAATCACGAATCAGCGTACTGGTAAATCGTCTGCATGCAATGTGACGCGATTAAGGTAAACCTTTTATTTACTCTACGTTTTCATTTGTGACGAGTACGAGAAATACATTCGTTTGATCCCAAAATGTACAGTGATTCGGTTCAACAACGACCTGAACGATTGATCAGTCGGTTGCGTACCACTTCGTTGGAGGAGACGGGTCCTAAATTAACGATAGTCAGACAACCAAGAGGGCCGGACGGTACGCGCGGATTTAGTCAGGAAAGATCCCAGCATACCCCTGGTGCCATCCAAGAATAATGTCGTATCGAATGGGATTATTGCTTATCCAAATTGTAATCTACATTACTTGTTTTTAGTCCATACACTTCGGTACCGAGATTATTATTATTATAAGCAGCGTAAACATTTGCCAAATTGAGACTAATGTGACAAGAATAATAACATTGATAATAATCGATTGGAACATGATCTTGTTAAAAGGAAGAATATAAAGTAAAAAAACAACGAGTCATTTTATCATCTTATAAAAAATAATCAGCAAGGCAGTTTGTCTGAATTCGTTTGAAAATAACAATGAATAACTTTCCTTTTTCAAATGAAATTTTTATAATTCTGATGGACTCTAGTTACGAGACACTCTTCTATCTTTCTTTTACAGGTAAAAATTTTTGCATTCATTCAGTTAATTGTAAGTACAGTTTATACATTGGATGATATAATTGAATATTAAAAGTTGTTTGACAACCTGCCTGTTTGTAATGTTCAAAGATAATGTCCCGTCTGTCTTTATAAAAATATACGTACATGTTGATAAAATTTTTATTTATATTATTTTCTTGGAATCTTTGTTTTAATCCATAATGTATATTGCGATCAACTGAAACAATGTATAATAGCCGAACAAGAATTGTATGCAACGCAGCATATACACTCGAAATACATACGAATTGGCCGTACGATCAAAAAATAAATAAGAAGGAATAAACACGTTCGTACTGAGAATTCTCGAGATTTGTGAATTTACGAAAATTTATAATCGCGGAAATGCAAAAAACAAATGGTGTTTTACTATATGAATTATTGTAACGTGTTGAAACTCTGTTGAAGAGAAAGTGTCTATGAATTTGTAAAAAGGAAGTTACAATTGGCCAATTGTTTGTCCTAGATAATATATAAACATATAAATATATATATGTACATGTCGTTAAGTTCCTGATGCAGTCTCGTGTTGTAAAATGAAACTAGTATTATGAATTCAGTCGATATATAAATCCAAGGAAATTACCACAAGTACTTACGTGAAAAAAAAGAAAAAAAAAGTATGAGGAAACGCATTTTATAAGTTTTGCTATTGGAAACAGCAAGCAAGGCACACGTGGCATTACGTAGAGAGTAGGCGAACGGAGTCAAATTAACAACATGCATCGACGATTGCAGGCACGATACGAAACCAAACGTTTCTCGGAGAACTCCACGGATCCAACACATCACGTGCATACATATTGTAAAATTATTGATGAATAAACAGTGAAAATATCAAACATACGAATCTTGACTGCGTCATTTATCCTGATCAACTTTTATCGCATTAAAACAGAGTACGATGACTCGAGATAAGTATCGTATATACAATATTTATTATGTATGTACAAAGATGTGAAAAGTGTATTTATCGTTTTGTACTTGACATTATACTGAATGTATTTGATTTCGAAGGCGAGCCTCCAAAAATGTCCGATTAAATGATTACGCATTCGTAAGGGAACGGCCCCCGAAAACCTTGATTACTCGGTCCTGCACAAGCTGCAAACCAAACAGTTATTTAGAATAAGTATTCAGTACTTTCCATTGTATATACTTCCCAAATACTAACGTTTGTCGCAGTGTGCTCCGTAAAAGCCAGTTCCTTCGCAACGACATTTGTACCCGGGATCCGACGATATTTGCGAACACGATCCTCCGTTCAAACATGGTTTTGTCCTGTAACATATATCCCCGCGGCCGCCTACGCAGAGGAACAAATTTAAAATAATTGACAATAGTGCACTTTTAACGGTATTCCATTCGAAATTAACAGCTGAGTTAATTACCTCTCAACGCTTCTCTGCAATCTTCGTTACTGTTATATCTGTATTCGGCCGAGCAACCGTATCCGCATCTGCATTGTGCATTATAAATACGGCACCCATATTGCATCTGATCCAAATCGCAAGCCTTCGATAGTCCTATTGTTTCAATTAACAATTTAAGGATGTATTGGCTATACAGTCAATCCCAAAAGTTTATGCACTTTAGAAACGCATTTTTTAAAAAGAAATCAGACGTCGGAAGAACATTGTTAATAATAAACAACAAAAAAAAATTTTCGATTTTTCCGAGATTTTTCCAAGGGGTACCCCTTCAATTTCTTCCAAATTTTCGTTTTTGGCCAATAATTCCCAAACCGTTGGATATACGGAAAAATTGCGTATGACCTTTCTTGTAGAGGACGACGAGATGTACAATTTCCATGTAAAAATTTTTCGCTAGCGTCTATAGTTAACGACTAATTTGCAAAAAACTGTTTTTTCGTTTTTCGTCAATAACTCGTTAAATATTAATGCTAGCGAAAAAATTTTATACAGAAATTGTAAATCTCGTCGTCCTCTACAAGAANTCCTTAAATATAGTGAAATCTCGCCTAATTTTAGGTAAAACGTTAAATTAAATTTTATGGATCAATTCATTTCGAGCATGATCAATTGTTTATAGTAAGAAATGATAAGTTTCTGCAACGTTTTGCATTGAAAGTGAGTCGCGTATCTGCGGTTTATTTACCCCTGAAAAGATAATGTTACGGAGAAGTATTTGTACCGGATATGTCCACTGTACTTCCCACTTATCCAAATTGATAAACATTCAACGAGATAAAACTGTCCGTGCGTGGGTTAATTGAATTTCGGGTGTACGTTTCGTCAGTTTGTTTCTTCTTCGAACAAATTCTATTTGTTTCTACTGCGCCTCGCGTATTCGTAACGGCGAGAATTAATTATAAATGACAGGTATAATCGGTATGAGGCAAGATGTAGAGCGTACATTATCAATTCTTTATCGTGAAACATTATTATCTGGACGCTCGCGGTGAATGAACGAAAACGTTTCAAGGAAACGACTATATATGTATTGTATTTTAAATCATGTATTAACACTTGTATTCCGTTTATTGAGAGAGCAAGAATATAGTTTCGTCAAAATTTATTGTCGAACGAAATGAATAAAGATTAATGTAAAGAAAGGAATTTTCTTCTTGTATCGCAAACTATACATTTGAAAATGTATTGGTAATTTATTTGTTTACATTTCGTGATTATCGAACGCTTGTTTCTCTCTTCGGCTTATTGTATTGCAAGCAGTTTTTTAGACTTTCTCTCGAGTATCCTTAATGCACATCGCGTAGCGTTTGAATCGTAAATTATCAGTCGTACGAGTATTTCATTATAGAAAAAAGTGATAAGCAACCGTACCTAAAATAACGAGGAGTAAAATGATCGGTACTAGTAATCTTGGTAGCATGGTGGCCGCGATATATCCTGGAGACGACTTTTCTGATAAATATCCAGATAACGAAGTACCGAGATCGACGACCAGCGCTTACGATTAGGCTCTCGCCGTTCACTCGGTGAGGTCAGAGTTCACCGGTTCTTCGGGGGCTCGTTCACTATCGCGAGGATAAAATTCGGTTTTAACGGACCGACTATACTCGTTGAGCGCGTCGATCGAACTGAACCGGCGGCTACAGACGACTGGAGCTGGAGGCGACTGCTTCTTCGCGACTATTAACTAAACGTAAACTACTAACGCGTTTAGCTAGAACAGCCTAGCAGACTTTAGCGTGGGCCAAGGAACCATGCGTGGGGTGGAAAATCAGCCGGTGACAACAGCTTACACACACATAACGTTCGTTCCACTAACACGAATTCTCATATGTTTCCTTCCTATCGACCGTTAAAATATTCACAAAAATTCGATTGATAACATTTTTCTTGTTCTTAAGTAAATAATAATGAACACGTACCGGTGCCTCGAGATACTGGAATAGATTTACGAGACATCGTGTCTGTTATATGATACACTTTTCAGACCACATGGTCGAAAGAGAGTAGAAATAGAATGCTAAAAACGTATCTTTTTCTTGGAACACGTTTTAGGCATTTTTATTCCTGTTCTTGGTGCAAACAGCCGGTCGATCGTTCAATTAAGTAAATTATCGTCTTTTGAAGCTCGATAACATTTGACACGCGGATCACTTGTTGTATAGGAAGTAAATGTGACTGCATTGTGAAACGCACAATTCTTTTTCAAGAATTTTTGCTTAGGAGATAAGGGTAATCGTTCGGTATAACGTTTATGATATTATTCACGGAAATAGAAATTGGGTCAAGGCAGTTTAATAATTACAATAATTTATTGGAAAAAGAGTATAATCTTTCGATTATTGTGGACGGATCGTAAGTCGGAGCATTCGCGTTAGGAATGTTACAAAAATACTTTACAAATATAAATTGAAGTTTATGTAACAACTAATTAATTAGTTTTATCTTTTAATGCACTTGTATCGTCTTCGACGGCAAGTCTTCTTGATTAATCAAATTCTAGAAAAGGAATATTTGTATGAAATTTCGTTTTGCGTTGTACAGAAGAATGTCAGGACAATTATCGTGAGTACCTTACATGAACGTTTGATCGTGCTGTTCGTGAATCATCGTGGCCCTCCTGGATTGAACCATCTCTCCTTGTCTATTGTACAATTCCCGTACTAGATTGTCTTTCTCTTGTTCAAGTAGCGCGATCCTCTGACTCTTTTTACTGACCTCCTAATTTACAATTTTCATGAACATATCGTTTCCATTCGCATCATGCAAACTGTGGATTTATCTTGACTTACCTCTGTCAATCTATGGTTCTGCTGTTTCAGTCTGGACAGTATGTCTTGTTGAAGTTGCGTTGACGTCGGGGTGCTGAGAAAAGCGAGATTCATGTGCAGAGGAAGCCCGCCGCGTTCCCAGCTACTTATCAACGCAGCCAGGTGTCTATTGACTTCCAGCACTCTAGCACGTTGCAATTCTAAACGTTCTTGTTGAGCTTCTGTCCATTGTTCCTGAAACGAAAATTTCGATCGTTAATGAAACAAAGTTTTCAAGAGTCAGTCGATAGGAAAATGATGGAAATACCACGTGAGATCCCATACGTCCGAGATGTTTGATCTTTTCTTGAGTAGCAGAAATCTGTTTCAAATACCATTCTCTAGCTTTGTCAACTGCGGCTAAGCCTTGCAGTAGCACATCTTTTTCTTGTTCGATTTGTTTCATCCTTTTCATCTGAGAACAAGAAGATCAAATAGTGTTTGTTGGGGAAAAATTCAGCAACAGGTTTCCCAACTATGCGATCTATCGTGAGATAAAAGCATATTACGCGATGAGCCGATACTTTAAACAATAGTGATACATTTTGTATGTTAATAAGCGCTAAGCATTTCATGCGTACCCAAAACCAATCACCCACCGTTAGTTGGGAATCCTATAGAAGAGCATCTTTACCATATTATAATCAATACCATTCTGCAACGTGTGACGCCTAGGTTCTCTGCGTCTGTTCAATAGTTTCTTTGGCTGTAAACCGACTTGATTACTCTGTAAATCGACGGCTTTACCGTCTCCCATTACTCGAGCCGGTCTCAATAACGTTCTAGCATCGGATCTATAATTCACCGCTGGTAATTGCCGTTTCTCTAGAGCTTTGTCATCGTTCATCAACAAGCCCATCTGCCAATTTTGCAACACAGTTCGAATTTCCGACTTGTCAAAGTTCCTATCGGCGTTAATGGTCCTGCCTTCTAACGCAGCACCCATTCTCGGAGGTTTGGGAGGCCCATACGTTTTATTTAACTTTGACTCAGCCCCGTTTCGTCCGTCCATCAGTTCTAATTGCCCGTGATTAACATCTTTTCGACCTGCTAACAACTGTGGCATGCTTAAAGTACGTTGCTGAGATATAGCATTATTTGGTCTAATGGTCGCAGTATTTGGGGACGTCCATGTCGTTTTGTTTTGATTATCTGGTATAAGAATGGGTGCGGAGGGTGGCCTGTTTGGTTGACCGTCGTGCTTCTTTGAGTCACTCTCAGCTTGAATTTGTATCAAACATATCTTGAGTCCTGTACAAAATCTTTCGAAAGACAACAACCCATTGGACGGTGTGACCTGCTTAAGACTATCCAGAACACCTTTCGGAAGACCTTGCGTCCCATCGTCTTGCCATCTAGCCTCAATGTCTGAGAATTTAACGAAACCTGTGTTTTGATCATCCATTATATCGAACAGCGTGCGCATAGCAGCGACAAAGTGTTTCGGCAATCCCTCGGCACCAGGAGTTTGTATTTGCGCCATATTTATCTGTCCACGAGTCTCTACGATTTGATCACAAATCTCGTATTCATTGGTATATCATGCACGTGTATTATTTCTCAAATACTGGAGCGTACAAATGTTCGCTTTATTCATTGTTTCGCTAATTAACTGTTTCATTCATTTGATAGGCACTCCTTGAATTATTCAACGTTCCTTAACTGTTATCATTTATTAATTGTATACGTAGTCACACCGTTTATAAAAATCTTAATCATTTTTCTATTTCATCAACGCGATAACTGTTGTTTCGTATTATACGTGCAACCTGTTTAAACCTTTGGTTGTATGCAAGTAAATATGAACCATGATACGAATGCAGCAGATGAAACAGGTGTGTCGGATAAACTTGGAACCTCGACCACGACTATCCGCATATCCAAGTCCCGGTAGAAGGCACTATCTCATAATAAGTCCAATTTGAAGTAAAATTTTTCTCCAAAGCGACAGGGCTGCTCAGGGCTGTTATGAAAAATCCCTCACGCCGGTAGTGGGGATTAGTAGCAAATACATTTATATAAAATAATACTGTAATGGATATCGACTAATTATACACGGTTAATTATAACTGTTAAAATTAGCGTTTACGTTAGATTTTATAATCTTTAAGACCGTGGGTTAGATTCTAAATATACCCCCATTAAGTCCCTAGCATGGTCGCGTCGCCCCCACTTCCCAGCCGGGATAAATTATGAGAACCTCCGTAGACGAACGCGGCGCTGAATCTTTCTCATTTGAGTTTGGATGCCAGGCTTATACACTTCGATGTGCGATTTCCTTGTTCGGTTCAATATTCTCCTTGTTACTCGTTATTTTGTTGTTTTCGTTATTGTTATTTATTCTTGTTTTTGTTGTTATTACTTTTCGTGACTGCGAAATGGCTACAGAATCAGGTAAGATCTATTTTTACTACTTATGTATTGTGTATTCATGCACCGAGTATAATTCAATAAATGAATGATCCTGTAAGAAACATGTTGCACACGAAAAGTTGATGCATAAAACAGATGAGCATTTTTTACAAGTGGCGGCTTCATTTATTTTCTCTCAGAAATGTGGAAAATTTTGCAAAATTCGTACATGATGTAAGGAACGTGCTTCCATTGGTGGACTGCATTGTCCGCAATCCAGCAGGCATGGGCAAATCATTTTTACACACACTAGTCGCTCTCCCCACTATTCGTAAGTGTTGTTTTGCCCATGCCTGCTGGTGTAGTGTTAACATTTGTGAAAATTGTGGAATTGTGCACAATTCGTACTTGTCCCGAATCGGGTTCTTCATATTTTACAGATCTCGCACATTTTATGTAATACACGAACTTTTAAAAAATTGAAATGCTCATACGGAGTTGTTATACAAATTTGTGAAAGTATAAGAACCGGAAATATATGGAAGTTCGCACGCAGTAATGAAAAGTAAATTCATTACAAATAAAGTATTGCAGTTTAATAAGTTATGTTATTACTCTGTGAAAAACAGGTAATGAGAGCACCGAGAGCAACACCATTGACATGACGCCACCTCCTTCGAAGAAGGTGGCACGGGCAAAACGATTTTGTGATTCATGGTTAGGGGAACCCGATTTTTCTTCGTGGCTCCAGAAATGCGAGGGCAGCCCATTTAAGGCCTTCTGTACTCTTTGCCAAAGAGAATTACAATGCGGGAAATCAGAACTGAGGAGGCACGCCAGCACGCAATCGCACATTACTATGGTATGTAACAGAGAAGGCTTGACGGACACAGACAGCGCAGAGTGGGTGGCTTCTGCATCCCTAAGTGAGCGTGTAAAAAGAGCAGAGATCATCTATGTTCTGAATATGGTCGAACATAGCAGAAGCTTTCACTCGTATGAGCAACATAGGAGAGTACAGCTGAGGGCTGTGGATTCAATGGATGTTTTAAAGAAAATGAAATTGAAGAGCGCAAAGATTGCAGCCATCACGAAGAACGTGATCAATGAAGCCATCGTGAGGAATGTGACTGAAATATTAAGGAATATATCCTTCTCAATTTTAGTAGATGTAACCACCGACGTGTCAGGGTACAAAAATTTATGCATCCTGGCGAGATACAATTATGACGGGGCAAACCACACATATTTACTGGACTATCTACACTTGAGAGAAGGAAATGCCGAACATTTATACGATTGCTTCAAATACTCCATGGAAAAATACAATATTCCAGTCAAGAACGTCATTGGCATTTCTGTTGACAATGCAACTGTAATGATGGGGAAACATGATTCATTCGTTTCTCGGCTGATGGCAGAAAACGATTCAGAAGTTGTCGTTTTGCCATGTATATGCCACTCCATTCACCTGGCAACCTGCAATGCATGTGAGAAGTTGCCTCCGCACGTGGAATATTTGTTACTTTCATTGTACAGGTACTTCACTACAAGCCCTAAAAAAGAGGAAAGTTTGAAAGACATTCAGGAGATAATGAACATGGCAAAAAAGAAGCTCCTTCAATCATCGACAACAAACTGGCTGGCACTGTCACAATGTATCGACAGAGTTCTGAAGCATTGGAATGTTCTTTACACATATTTCGCTGTACAAATGTATACAGTGGCAGATGCATTATTTCCCGCGATGACGTTGGAAGAAGGTATATTTAACAGGATGAACTATCCACTAACAAAGGCGTACTTGGAGTTTTTGAATTATGTCCTTCGGTTGTCCGCGAATTTCAACGCTCTTTTCCAAACGAACGACATAATAGTACACTCTTTCTATGTCGAATGTACAAAGTTTCTAACACTCGTAGCATCAAATTTTATGCAACCTGAAGTTATACAAAGGAACGACTTATGTACAATAGATCCGTATAATGGAGAATATTTATTACCATCAAATAAAATTAACGTCGGGCAAGGTGCACGACGTACTCTTTGTGAATTCACCTCATCAATGGAGGAAGGGAAACAAGGGAAAATAACAGCTTTCTACAATAATTGCTTACAATATTATCAAGAACTTTTCCAACAAACAGTTAAAAGACTGCCGTTCCAGAACAACTTCATACGCGACTTATCTTTTCTCATACCAGAAAATGCTCTGCAAAAGAACAAAAACTTAAGCCAATTAGATTCGATATTCGAAAAATTTAAAACGAAAATTTTGGAAATGGATACCACGAAAGAGTGGTGTGAGCTCGGACGGCTCATTGAACAAAATGAAGTGGACGATCTGTCTAAATTAAAGCCAGTACAATTTTGGTCTAAAATACAATCAATGAAGTCCTCAAACAATAAAAACATGTTTCCAAACATTTCAAAATTGGCGAATATGTGTCTGTGTCTTCCGCATTCGAATGCAGAAATGGAACGTTTCTTTTTGATGGTCCGTGAGGTACAAACTTTAGATAGAAATCGTTTAAAGCCAGATACTATTGCAGCAATAACAAGAATAAAACTGCACTTAAGAGACACTAAAAAAACCAGCATGGACTATCCTGTAACAGTCGACATGCTAAAATTATTCAATTCGAAAATGTATAATAGAAAAGTAATTTCCGCGAATATATCAGACGTAATTGTAGAAGACGAAGCGGATGACAATGAGAGTGCAGATACTGATACTGAATAAATGTCTTTTTAAAC